AGAAATTACAATTGCTAGGAATGTCACACATGCTATCTGATGTGGGTGCTGTGTTTTGACTAACTCTCTTTGTTTTGAGGATTCTTTAGGGGAGGGAATTAATTGTGAAGTGACTGTGATATTGAAAGTAGAAAGTATCCATTAAATACTTTAAAAAAAGACATGTTATGCCAGACTAACCTAATTTTCCTTTTTGATAGGGTTACTACACTAGTAGAAAAGTGGAGTGCTATTAATATAGTTTCCTTAGCTTTTAGTAATGCATTGGACAGCCTCCTGTGCTATTCTCATGGCAGAGAGAGTGGTGCGAGGTAAACAGGGTGGTTAAATGAAATAGTAACCAGTTGAGTTGCTAGACCCGTAGTATAGTCTTCAGTGGTCTCTAATGGAGTACCCTGGGGAGCTGTCCTTGGTCCTATACCATCGAACATTTTTCTTAATGATTAAAGAGGTAGATGCTGTGCTTATGAAATCTGCAGATGACACAAAGCCGGGAGGGGCAGCTAACACTTTGGATGATGGAATCAGGATCCAAAAAAATCATGATAGGAGAACATCGAGCCAAATTTAATAAGATGAGATGTAATAGGGATATACATATATATTATTATACTTGGGTGGGTGCAAAAAAATCAACATCACAAATAAAAGATGGGGGAGATGGTGCTAGGTAACAGTTCCTCTAAAAAGATCTGAGAGGTTTTTTTGGACTATAAACTCCACCATACATCCAAAGCAGCTAATTTGGTTTTAATCTTTGTTAAGAGAGGTTTAGTTCAGGGCGAGGCAAGTGAATGAGAATCCTGCCGTACTTTGTTCTGGTTAGACCACTTCTGCAGTATGATTGTGGACTGCTATGGTCACCCTTGTCTGGAGAGGGTCTAGAGGAGGGTGACCAGGACAGAAAAGAGCCACTACAACTATGCCTTATGGCAATTTGTTGAAGAAACTGAGGATATTTCACTTGGAGAAGAGGTTTTGTTGTGAAGGGCACATAAGACCTATCTGAAGGGCTGAATCAAGATTAGACTCGTTCTGCTTGGCCTCGAAGGGCAGAACCAGGAGTAGGGAGTCCAAGTTGCAAACAGGCCAATCTAGGCCAGATGTCAGACAGACTTCCTAGCAAATGGAGCTGTCCAAATATGGAAAGGGCTGCCTCAGTGGTGGTGTTTCTCCTCACTGGAGGTCTTTGACCACTTGTCTTTCATACTAAAGAGAGGACTCCTTCACTCTTGGTTGAACAAGATGAGTCTGAAGTTAGAAGTCTCTTCCAATTCTGAGGTTCTGTGAGCCTCTGCCCTACTTCATGTTTTCATACAACCTATATACAGCTAAACCCACATACGACTTCTTGAACTTGTCATGGGGTCTACTATTGGCTTTCTCTAAGAACATGTCTACATGTCTAACATGGCAGCTAGGTGGAGCAGTGGGTAGAGCTCTGGATCTGGAGTCAGGAAGAGCTGAGTTCAAATCCTTACTAGATGAATGACCCCAGACAAGTCACTTAACTTTTGTCTGCCTCAGTTTCCTCACCTGTAAAATGGGGGTAATAGTAGCACCTTGTTAGGATCAAATGAAATTATATTTGTAAAGGGATTTGCAAACCTTAAAAGCACTATATAAATGCTAGCTATTACATGAGGAAAGTAGAAGGCACTGGAGAGCAAAGAAACATCAGAGAGCACAAAATCTGCTTATAGTGGCTTGTTTCTGTAGTGATATCAGAGCCTTTTCAGCTGGGCCTTGCCTTCAGGGAGCAAGAAAGCTATTCCTTTTCCTATTTATAAGGGAGTCATTTGATACTTTTGAGAATACAAATTGTCTGCTCTCAGCCCTAGATCCCTGGACAAATCAGCAGTTAGTGGGCATTAATGTATTAAAGGCTTGCTATGAGCCAAGCACTGTGCTAAGTGTTGGAGATACAAAGAAGCCAAAAACACAGTCCCTGCCCTCAAGGGGCTCACAGTCTAATGGGAAAAAAAACATGGAAACAACTATGAGCATACAAACTATATACAGGAGAGAGGTGAAGGGGGAAGAAATCATGGGGGCATGGGGAGGACCTGATGGAAACAGCGGCCCCAGTTCCTCAAGCTCAACATGCCTAAATCCAAGCTCACCTTCTTTCCCACTAACCTAGAATCCTGGACAGTAATCTGTCCCACCTGCTGTGGTTTGGGAGGTGGGTGTTCCCACCCTAGGCTGCCTGGAGGATTAGTCATTGGATTTAGAACTAGAGGGACCTTAGAGCTCAGCCAGTCCATCACTCTGATTTTAGAGACAAGGAAACTGAGGCCCCACAACCCAGGTCCCCTGGCTCTAAATCCGGGGCTCTTAGCATTACTCAAGAAGTCTTTCCTTTCATTCCAGGTGGGCTGCAGGGTCAGCCGAGGTTCAAAGGTCTAGGGGGTGGAGGGTATATCACCATGCACTTCTGCTACATTTTAAGGTTTACAAAGTACTTTCTATACAATCCCCTTGTGAAGGTAGTGCTATAAGCATTTTCATCCCCATTTTACAGATGGATTAAGCTGAGGCTCAGAGGCTAATTCAATTGCCCTATATCTTTCCCCCATATCCAGGCTCTCCCCTGACCCCTCCCTATCAGTCTGAGAGTAAGGAAAAGGCTGAAGAGGACTGGATCAAGTCCAAACTCCTTTATTTTACAAAATAGGGAATTGAGGCCCCAGAGAATTAAGTTTATACGGGTAGTAAGTAGCAAAGCTATCTGGATCCCTGCCCTCAGACCCCATATGCAGTCCCCTTTCTGCTAACCCCATGCTGTCTCTTAAGGGAGGAGAGGAGCAGATGGGTGTGGAAACTCTCCCTATAGCATCATAGAGAAAAGCTCTGTTGATAAGGTTTGGGGACTAGGGAGGAGGCAAACTGTGCTTGGGGCTGTGTCAGCCCAGAAGCTCCTGCCAGACCTGGGCGGGTAGGGACCCCCCAGCTGTGGGATCATCTCTGCCCTCCGATCCAGGTGGTCCCTGGATAGCGCTGGTCCTTTAAAGAGGATTTGGGGTTGGGGAAAGGGGCAGGCCAGAGGAAGGAAGATTTCTGCCATCCCGAGTGCGTGGCCCTCGGGGGAGGGGAGGGCAGGGACCCTCAGCCCCCACAGGGGCACAGGAAGGACAGGTGGAGCCAGTAGCATTGATTGAAGTAACCTGACTCCTGTGGTGGGGGAGGAGGAGGACGACGAGGATGCAGAGGACCAGGGGGAGGGATCCACAGCCTCCTCACAGGGAAGGCAGCCGGGCATCGCCAGAGCTGGGAGCCGGGCCGAAGCAGAGACAGTCACTGCCTCCTCTTGCTGGGCCCATCTATTTTTAATGAACTCCTCATAGCTTCTGCAGTGAGCAGCGAGCGGGCAGACAGGCCAGGCAGCAGGGGGAGGGGGGAGAGGCCCAGTTACTGCTCTGACCTCCAGCTCTCCACTCCTCGACCCCCCCCCCCCGGGCATGAGGACACTGTTGTGTGGCCCTGAAGTCCCCAGGACGGGGAGGCCTCCCCATGCCTCTGGTGATGGAAATGGAGTCAAGCCCAGACAATAACAGCTGGCTGGAAGATCAGTGGGAACGCTGGTAGGGAGATGGGGAATGGGAGAGGGAGGGGGGAGGGGGTCCTGGGGGTGACCTGGGGCTGTGGAGGAGTCCTTGGACCAGGGTGAGAGGATGAGAATCAGGCTTCCTGAATCATCCTAGAAGTCTGGCCAGTGAGGCTGCAGGTAATACCTGTGTGACCTTGGCCAGACCACACTCCTCCTCTAGGGCCTGGGGTTCCCAAATATAAAAAGAGGTTGGACTGGGTGACCTCTAAATCCTGTGATTTGTGATCCACTAGGATCCCCTTCATGACCTTGAAAGAGCAGGTTTTCCCAACTTTCTGGCTCAGCCTCTTTATTAGACGGAAGAGTTGGAGCTTGTCTGGAATCACCCTCCAGTCCCTTGCCTTCATCGTACCCTACCTTACCAGTGTGGCTCCAGGCTGAAAGCGCCCAGAATCTGAGGAGGGGTGGAGGTCTATGGGCATAAATTGTGCCAGGGTGTGGCTGGCACTGCAGAATCTTCCGAATTTGGGGGCAGGCGAGATAGGACCAATCAGCTCTGGCTGCCAAGGTGTGGTCTCCAAACATCTCTGCCCCATGGAGCCACCCTCTAGGGTCCATGAGTTGACTGTCCCATATGCCCCTGAGGAAGAGGGGAAGCCTCAGGGACCTCTGAGGGACTGGGAGTCTCTAATTACTGAAGCCTTCTTAGGGCATGTGTTTCCATCTCCCCCTTTGTTCTCCAGCTCTTCTCTAGACTAAGGAGGAGAAAGGGGTCTGACATGAGTGGTGGGGTACTGTGAGGCACAAAGACCAGACTCCTAGCCTTGTCCTAAACTGTTACATCAGTTGGGATTTTCTGTTTCAACTCGATCCCAAGGACTTGGGAGGGTCAAGGGGGAAATTCCAACCCATTGACATTGGGGGGAAGAAGACCATTTTTCATCCTGCAGACAGCAGTACATTGTTTGGGGGGGGACCCCTGGACCTTCAGAGATTTTTGTGATCCAGTCCCTTTAGGCTTTCCCACTGACCCCCACACCTCACGCCACATGGTCCAAGCATTGTCCAGCCCACAGGAAAGCTTGGGTTGTGCCCTGGTTTCCTGCCTTAACTGACAGGTGCTTAGCAAAGATGCTGCTCTAATATCTCTCACTAGGGCCTCTTCTAGGCCTTGGGGCCTTGCTTTGGGATCATGGGTAAGTAGGGAAGACCTGAAGTGATCCCCTTGCATCCCATCTGTGTTGAGTCTGAGAGCTGGTTTTATGTATCTTTTGGAGACAGATGCTTAGGCATGCCCTCAACAGCCTCTGCATTGGCACAGGCCTACCCTCCCTCAGTACAGACAAGCCCTACCTTAGCACGTTCACCCAGGGCATTCTTCCTGGTGGCAGCCTTGTCTGGCCACATCTCCACCCCTCCCAAAGTAACACTGGGTCCTTGTCTCTGCCAGGCTCACCCATGACATTAGTCTGGAGGAATTCGAGGATGAGGACCTCTCGGAGATCACGGATGAGTGTGGAATCAGCCTGCACTGCAAGGACACCCTCTCCCTGCGGGTAGGTGAGGGACTAGGGAAGGGCCACTGGGGAGAGGACAGGATGGTCCAGAAAGAGCTGGTTTTAGTTTTCAAGAGGCAGTGGGGGTTGGGGGTGGGGAGTAGAACAAAGCCCCTGCTGGTGAGGTTATTTTCCTATGGACTGGTTTTCCTGTCCTCCTGACACCTAGGGGTGTGTGTGTGTGTGTGTGTGTGTGTGTGTGTGTGTGTGTGTGTGTGCACATGCACGCGCACGCTCGTGTACGTGCGCAGGCATGGAGAATGAGGGTATGGTGTCCAGAGGGGTCAGACAGGAATCTCACAGGGCAGAGAAGGGACACTGGTGCACTTTGTGCACATCAGTGATGTGGGCTTAAAACTGGAAGCAGTTTCCTAGGACCCAAGGGATGGGTAGAGCACAGGAGCCTGAGGAACCCCCAGAGGAATCTGGAATGCAGGCCAGAAGTTAGGGAAACTCAGACAAACCCAAACCCCTAAAAAAAGCCCTATCCAAAAACATCTCCAGCTGCAGGGAAGGTCAGTAGGGGAGGGTGGAGCCAGCCTGCTCTGGGACAGCAAGACCAAGGCAGCACCAAGGCTCCAAAAATGGCCCCAGATTGCTGCACAGGAGCCGGGGTTGATCCCAGCCAAGATGCTCTAGCTGGGCTCCTCCCCTTGGCTGGGGCCGGGCAGAACCCACTCTCCCAGTCCACCTCTAGGAGATTGCTGCTCAGGCCAGGGCCACTTGCCCACTGAGGGCCAAGGTTGCCAAGGAGATGGAGACCTCTTCAAAGCATTCCAGGGCTGAGGGCAAGCTTATGGGGAGTGTCTGCAGCTCAGGCTCTGTCCTCCCTGCTGCCACTATCCTGGGCCCAGGCCCCCAGAACCAGAGGTGGAGGGGCATGCATCCAGGTGGGAGAGTGCTGTGCAGGCCAAGGTTCATTTCATTCCGAAGTCCTTCCTCCGGCCCCCACTCACAAAAGGGAAGGAGGTCCTGAAAGGCCTGCTCGGCTCAATCCTAGGAAAGACTAAAGAGTGAGGGAGATGGGCAGGTCTCCCCAGGGTCAAGCAGGGTCTCCCTCACAGTGGGTGCAGAGAGAATTGGAGACTCCCCCCCAGGAGCAACTTTACCCTGGTCCTTCTGGGAGGGGCAGAAACTCTCATATCACATACCTCACCATCCCCAGGAAAAAGCTCCCTAGGAACCAGGCTAGGCCCCAGAGGAGAGGGCTGAGCTGGAGGCAATAATTAGAATAACAACGTGGAGCCCTGACAAAGAACTTGCACACACTGACCTCCCACGGAATACTTCCAATATCGGGGCCATTATCATGAAGCCACTGCCCTAGGGAAAGCACCCCCCCCCAAAGCGCTCCAGTAAGCCCACAAGCCAAGCTTCTGCATCCAAAGCCCACCCCTCCTGCTGAACAAGCTTTCTTGGCTGTGAAAGAATCTCCCCATGGAAGGGTCTGGAGCCAGGGGCTAACAGAAGTTGAGGGGAATCAGAGATGTCTGGCACCCCACCACCATCCCATCCCAGTGTGTCACAGATCCTCACTTCGTGTCCCTGATGGTCCACCATGACCTCAGGACCCTTCAACTCACTGCCAAGCCCACCACCCTGGCCCTTCCCTCTACCTTGACAGCCCTCACTTCACAGCCCCCCTCTTTCTCCTTACCTCCCCACCCCCTCAGTCCCCTCACAGTCCCCTCTTTCCTCTTAGCCCCCCACCCCTCAACCCCCTCACAGCCCCCTCTTTCCTCTTAGCCCACCCACCCCTCAGTCCCCTCACAGTCCCCTCTTTCCTCTTAGCCCACCACCCCTCAGCCCCCTCACAGCCCCCTCTTTCCTCTTAGCCCCCCACCCCTCAGCCCCCTCACAGCCCCCTCTTTCCTCTTAGCCCCCCATCCCCTCAGCCCCCACCTCACAGCCCCTCTCTCCTCTTAGCCCCCCACCCCTCAGCCCCCTCACAGCCCCCTCTCTCCTCTTAGCCCCCCCATCCCCTCAGCCCCCACCTCACAGCTCCCTATCTGGCCCCTCCTCCCCCACCCTATTTAGGTGGCTAGGTGGCTCAGTGGATAAGGATGTGCATTTGGAGTCTGGAAGATGGGCTCAAATTCTGATTCAGATACGAATTAACTAGGTGACCCTGGCTCAATCGTTCTGTGCCTCAGTTTCCCCTCTTGTACACTGGAGGAAGTGCAGCACCAACTTCCCTGGGGTGTTGTGAGGAGCCACACATAAGCACTGCTTTGCGAATCTCAAAGCGCTATAAAAAAGTAGCTCCTCCTATTATTGGGCCCACCTCGCCCCGCCCTTTCCACCTCCCGTCTCCGGCCCTCTCCATTGCGCAGGCGCGGACTGCAGGCCTAGCCCGGCCCGCCAGGGGGCAGCTCCGGCCTCTTCCGCGATCTTCTCAGCGGGAGCTCGGAGCCCGCCCCAGCCCCGGCCCAGTGGGACCCGTAGGTCCCTGCACCAACCCCCAAAGGGGGGGGGGCCCGCGTCTCCATGGCAACAGAGGTGACCTCACTCCCCCGCTCGGTTTACAGCCCGGGTGAGGTCATCGGCTGTTGCCACGGAAACGACAGGGCGTAGGGGGAGGGGAGTTTGGCGGGCTGAGAGAGGAGGGTGGAGAGGGATGAATGGGAGCGGGCGGCGATGGGCGCGGGGTGGGGCGAGGGCGAGGGCGAGGGGGTCGGGAGCAGGCTGACCCGGGGTAGAGAGGCAGGCCCGGCGGGCCCCGCCCACTCCCCGGGGAGCGAGGAGGGCTAGGCCGCTGCTTCCCCGAGCGAGGCGCGTACGGCTGTCCCAAACCCCCGCCTTGGGAGGCCGAGTGGACTCGCCCAGAGGGGATTGGCTGCTTGCGCATGGCCCCGCCCCCGTCCGGCCGGTCCCGCCCCAGCCATCCAGGTCCAGCCCCCTGCCGTCCCCGCCCCCGCTGACGCCCCGCCCCTTGCCTGCCGCTCCCCCCCTTCCCCCCCCCAGCCCCAGCGCGGCGGACTCATGCCGGGAGGCGGCGGCTGCGGGGGAGCTGGCAGCCGGCTGCAGGCCGAGATGCTGCAGATGGACCTGATCGACGCGGCCGGGGACACGCCCGGAGCCGAGGAGGAGGAGGACGAAGACGAGGACGAGGACGAGGACGAGGAGGAAGAGCGGCGGGGGCGGCCCCGGGGCCCCGGGCAGCAGCAGCAGCAGCAGCAGCAGCAGCCCCCGCCGCTGCAGCCTCCGCAGCCGCTGCAGCAGCAGCGCGGGCCCGGCGGCGGCGGGGGCCCGGCTCCCGAGCCCGGCCAGGACACGGCGCCGCGAGGCCTCGGCGGGGACACCTACCGGCCCAAGCGGCCCACCACCCTCAACCTCTTCCCGCAGGTGCCGCGGACGCAGGTGAGGCCCGGGGCGGGGGGGAGGGGCCTCGCTCCGGCCCCCTGCCCATCACCAGCGTTGTCCCAGGCCCTCCCCATCAGCATCATCCCAGGCCTCCAGCACCGTCCCAGCCCCCCAGCACCATCCCAGGCCTCCAGCACCGTCCCAGCCCCCCAGCACCATCCCAGGACTCCAGCACCGTCCCAGCCACTCCCCATCATCACCATCCAAACTCCCCAGCACTATGCCAGCCCCTCTCCTCATCACCATCCCAACCCTTCAGTATCATCCCAGTCTTTCATCATCAACCCTCCAGCACCATCCCAGCCTCCTCTTCATCATATCGTCCCAGGCCCCTTTACTGACCCAAGCCCCGCACAGCTTCCCAATCTCCCTCATCATCCCAGTCCCCATTAGCTCATTCCTCATCATCTTAACCTCCTCATACTCATGTCAGCCCCTGGTCATCTCCCCACTCTTATTTTTGGCTCATCTCATCTATCCCCATATTGGCTCCTCCAGCTCATCTCTCATCTTAGTCCCTCCCCCATCTTAGTCTGCTTCATCTCATCCCTTCCCATCCTCTCAGTTCCCCTTTTAGGTCGTTTCCTTGCTTATATCATCATTCCCCCATCTCACACACATGTGCTTTGGCTCCCCCTCCTCACAAGGAGGGAGGGAGAGGAGGAGCTGGGGATGGGGGAGGAGAAGGAGTTGGACAATAGGTTTTTTGGAGGGAAATGTAGAAGGATGGGGGAGGGAAAGTCTGAGGTGTAAGAGAAAGGAAGGAGTTTGGCTATGGGGAAATAAGGGGATGAAAAGAGGCTTGGGGATGGAATTTGAAAGACAGGTAAGGGAATGACCCCCAGAGAGTTGAGTACAATGAGTTTAAGGGAAGTGTATTCTAGCTCCACCACTGTGAGCCATATGAGAGTTGGAAGGATTGGGGGAGGAAGTTCTGGGAGGAGAGGAGGATGGGTGTTGAGCATGCTGGAGGTGAACTAGAGTTGAGGAGGGGAGAGAGGCTTAGGAGTAGGGGGTCTTAACGATGAGACGGACATGGAGCCCAGGATGTGGTGGGGCGGCCAACATAGGGAGGAGGAAATGCAGGAAGCTGGGAGTCCTAGAGACTGGCATTGAAGGAGGGGGCAGGTGTCAGGAGTGGATCGGGCTGGTTGGCCCCAGTGGTATCAAGCAATGGCAGAAGAGGGAATAGGACCAGAAGAGGGGCCCAACAGGGCTGCTTGATGCTAAGGAGGTCTGGACAGGCAAGGGTTGTATGTCAGGGGAGGGTGGCTGGAGACTGCCTAGGGAAGAGCTGGTGATACTCTTGTCTTAGTGCCAGAGAAGGCTGGTTTGGGAAATTGGGGAGAAAGGACAATGTTGGTACCAAAGGGAGTGGGGAGAGTCAGGGAGGGGTTCCTTTCCCAGGCTCCTGTGAGCTGCTGGGATGGGGACTGAGGAAAGGAGGGCTTGAGTGTTTATTTCCTGCGAAGGAGAGGAGCCCTGGAATGTAGGTGGGAGTGGAAGAGAGGTCCAAGGGCCTGTGAGAGCATGGGCAGTACAGGAGATTTAGGAAGGCGAGCATCTGGCAGTTACAAAGCCTCTTCTACCATTCCTCAGTCATGTGCTCCTGTGGAAAGAAATTCATGGGAGGAGGAAGAAGATGAGGCTCAGAGAGCTGGAAAGGACCTTGGGGAGAACATGGTGGATAAGGGCGGTGGGGGTGGGTGGAGACGAAAAGGTCCTGAAGGATGGAGGAAAGGGGGCTTGGACTGTGAATGAGTCACCTCGATGAGTCATCCGCTGTCTCCCCCCTTCAACCTTGAGATGCAGGAGACCCTTTCTTCAGCAGTCAGCTCGAGCTAGGACCCTAACTGAGCCGCTGCCAGCCAGCATTCCAATCCCCCCTCCCCATTCTCAGGGATCTCAGGAGGGAGGCTGAAGGGCAGGGGGTTCCAGGCATCCCACCAGTGTGTGGGGACTCAGTCGGGAGATTGGGGAGGGTGGCACCCTGGTCAAGGGGGTGGGGAGGCGGGTAGGGCCAGGGCCTCCCTGTGCCGGGCACTGTCAACAGCTCTAGCCACAAGGGCGCTTTGTTCCCACACGCAGGACACCCTGAACAACAACTCCCTGGGCAAAAAGCACAGCTGGCAGGAACGGGTGTCCCGGTCCTCTTCTCCGCTGAAGACAGGTGAGCCAGGACCGGCAGCCTCCCCCTGCTTTGGGCTGCGCCCCTCATCTTATTCTCCGGGCCTGGGGCTCAGGGCCCCCAAAGAATGCTCCCATCCCCCGCCCTGGGCCGGGCCAGCAGCTGGGGGCTGAGGTCAGCCTATTGCCTATGTCAGCTGCCTAGTCCCCGAGCTCACTGTGGGCACCATGCCAGGGAACACTGGCTCCCATCCGAGGGGTCGAGATGCCTCATGGATGGCATCACGGAAGTCCCTGGGGAGGGCTGGGTAACGGACCACACCCTGAGGTGGCATCTGGGAGCTGTCAGGATTCCTTCCTCACATCCCCCCACGAGGAATCCTGTCCTACCCGCACGTTTCTTTGTAGGCGAGCAGACCCCTCCTCATGAACACGTCTGCTTGAGTGATGAGCTGCCGCCCCAGAACAGTCCCGCACCCACCAAGGACCGGGGTACCTCCACAGACAGTCCCTGCCGCAGAAGCACTTCCACCCAGATGGCCCCTCCCGGTGGCGGCCCCCCAGCCTCTCGGGGCTCCGACAAGGCCCCAGCTCCCTCTGGAGGCCGGGCCCACCCACACCGTGACCGTATTCACTACCAAACAGACGTGCGGCTAGAAGCCACTGAAGAGATCTACTTGACCCCAGTGCAGCGGCCCCCCGACCCCCGGAGGCCACCCCGGCCTTCCTCCCCCCAGCCGAGAGCCGCATGTCAGTTAGCTCTGACCCCGACCCCACTGGCTATCCACCAGCCCCCGGCCGGCCCCACCCCTCCATCAGCGAGGAGGATGAGGGTTTTGACTGCCTGTCGTCCCCCGAGAGGGGCGAACCCCCCAGCGGGGGCTGGCAGGACAGTCGGGCGGAGCTGCCCCGAGCCTCGCTGAGCTCGGACACCAGCGCCCTGTCCTATGACTCGGTCAAATACACCCTGGTGGTGGACGAGCACGCCCAGCTGGAGCTGGTGAGCCTTCGGCAATGCTACTCCGGCTACAGCGACGAAAGCGACTCGGCCACCGTCTACGACAACTGCGTCTCGTCCCCCTACGAGTCGGCCATCGGGGAGGAGTACGAGGAGGCGGCGCGGCCGCGCGGCCGGCCGTCTGCCTCTCAGAGGACTCCTCGCCCGACGGACCCGACGTGCACTTCTCCAAGAAATTCCTCAACGTCTTCATGAGCGGCCGCTCTCGCTCCTCCAGTGAGTGGGCGGGCAGGCGGGGGTGGGCATTGAGGGCGTTGGAGTTGGGCAGCTCTGCCACCCAGAGGCCCGGGGGCGCCGGGGCATGGCAGCCCCTCCCTTCCGGGACCCCGGGGTGAGCCGGGACCTACACCTCCTTCCAGGTGCCGAATCTTTCGGATTGTTCTCCTGCACCATCAACGGGGAGGAGCAGGAGCAGACGCACCGGGCCGTGTTCAGGTGAGAGCCGGGGAGAGGCAGCAGGTGGACTGGTCTCGGATCGGCCCGGTTTGGTCGCGGTCGGGCGGGAGAAGGGGGAAAGCCAGGAGCGGGGGACCCTCGAGCGGGGCCTTTTTGACCTCCTGGCTTGGGGCAGGTTTGTGCCCCGGCATGAGGACGAGCTGGAGCTGGAGGTGGACGACCCGCTCTTGGTGGAGCTGCAGGCCGACGATTACTGGTACGAAGCGTACAACATGCGCACGGGCGCTCGAGGAGCCTTCCCCGCCTACTACGCCATCGAGGTCACCAAGGAGCCCGAGACCGTGACAGGTAGCGCCCGCTTAACTGGGAGGGGCCTGGATGCGATTGGTCCGCGCTGCTTACCGCCCCCAGTAGACTGAGAGCGGAACGATTCAGTAGAGCGTTGTTGGGTTTAATGCTGATTGATTGGAGATCAATTTGATAAGAAACTTGCCCAAGTTGTCGCCAGTTTGCTGCGTAACCTTGGGTAGGACACTTTGCCCACCTGTGCCTCAGTTTCCCCTAGCTAAAAGGAGAGAACAGGCCTGGATGAAATCTGAGCTGTCCTCTTTCTGGGAGGGGTGCTATCTCCTGCTGGCTCTGGTGACCTTTGCCGCCGTTATTAGTTTGGCCTTCCACACTGGGCTGTGCCAGCCCCAAATGGTCCACCCTCCCCTGACTCTGCTCTTGCCTTCCAGCCTTGGCCAAAAACAGTGACTGGGTGGACCAGTTCCGGGTGAAGTTCCTGGGTTCTGTCCAGGTTCCATACCACAAAGGCAACGACGTTCTCTGCGCTGCTATGCAAAAGGTGCCAGGCTGCTCCCAGTGCCTGCCTCTCACTTGGCCTCTGTTGCCTAGCCTCACCCCAGCCTGGCAAGGAGAGCAGCCTGTTCCTGGCCTAGTCCTCCCCTCCCCACAGTGGCTGCTCTCTGTGCCCCTAGGGCAGTCACCTAGATGCCCACTCCCTCCACCCCCTCACCCCTACATAGGTGGGAAAGGGAAGCAGTTTCCCAGAGGCCTCAGGGGCCCGGGGATCAGAGCCGGGGCCCTGAGTGGAAGGGTGAGGAGGAGAGGGGCCTGCCTCCGGTCCCTCTCACCTGGCACCCGCCCTGCAGATTGCCACCACCCGCCGGCTCACGGTGCACTTTAACCCGCCCTCCAGCTGTGTCCTTGAGATCAACGTTCGGGGAGTAAAGATTGTGGTCAAGGCTGAGGACTCCCAGGAGCACAAGGTGACTGGTGCCCCACCTCAACTGTCCAACTTCTCCAACACTTTCCAAAGGTGGTCCTCAGGGGTCCTATAGCATTTGCCCCAACCACTTAGTTCGACCCCCATTCCTAGGACATGGGCAGCCTTGCCAGGTGGAGGGCAGCTTATTGTTCTGGGGGCTTACGGTAGAGGACAAAATACATTTCCAGCATTACCTCCTTGGATTGAGGGGTGGCATGGACTGTCTGCCGTTTCTCCAGAGGTCTCCAAGACCCTGCTCCCTATGGCCCACAGAGACCTCCCTGATTTCTGTTCCCAGCCTGGGCCTCAGTCCCTTCATCTATAAAATGGATGGTTTAGCTGTGCTCCACCTCACTTCACTGGGGTGTTGGGAGGGGGGACAGGTGTGAAGCGTTACCTCACTGGACTCTTCTGTGGCACCAGGAGGTGGACTGGACATAGGAAAAGGGGGAAGAGGGTTGAACCTAGTCTAATGGGACCTAGGCTTGAACCCCAGCTCTGCCCCTTCTACCTGAGTGTCGTTGGGCAAGTGCCCATCTCAGTGAGGGCAGAGCCTTGGCTTTCCTCACCTCTAGTCTCTCCCCAATCTAAACCGCATGACCTGAGCCTCAGAGAGAGGAGGGAAGGGGAGGTCTTCAGGTCAGCCCCGGAGTAGAGGAGGGAGCGGGGACCCGATGCCCTACTCAGTGAGATAACAGTGCTCTTGGGGATGCCCAGTAGGGGTGTGCCCAGCCCTCCATGCCCACCGGGAGCCTCCACCCCATTTTCCCATCCAACTTCTCTCTCCTTTCAAGCTGGAGCTCTGTCTACGTGTCGTCCCTGACTCCTCCTTTTCCTTGCAGGGGAATAAATGCAGTCACTTTTTCCAGCTGAAGAACATCTCTTTCTGTGGCTACCACCCAAAGAACAACAAGTGAGTGGAGCCAGGAGAGGCCTTGGGGCAGGGTGAGGGGGGGCCCAGCTCCAGCGGCACTCGCCACCCTCTGCACCCTCACAGGTACTTTGGGTTCATCACCAAACACCCCGCTGACCACCGGTTTGCCTGCCATGTCTTCGTGTCCGAGGAATCCACCAAGGCTCTGGCCGAGTCTGTCGGGTGAGCCTTCCCTCTGTCCTATTTCCTCACTGCCTCCGTGGCCTTCAATACCATGATCTCCGGCCCAAGCCTCCTCCCCGGGAGGGCTCCCCTGACCAAGGTCTAAGCCTCTGCTTGTCCCTCTGCCCCCAGGAGAGCGTTCCAACAGTTCTACAAGCAATTTGTGGAGTATACGTGCCCCACGGAGGACATCTACCTGGAGTAGCAGCGCTGCCCCCGCCCCCTTCCCGCCCCTTCCTCTGATTGTGCCCTGGGCTGCCCCACCCCAGACTGGAGGAGGTGCCTGCACAGACCAAGGGCACCTGTCAATGCCATCTCTCCTCCGCAGGAAGCCCTCTGGGGCAGGATTGGGGAGGGGGGAGGATTAGCTGAGGGTGGGGAACTATGGGGGAGGGTGGACTGAGGGGTTAGGGGAGAGGCAAATGCAGTTTATTGTAAAATACAGGATTAGATGATTCTATGAATGAACAGGAGATGCTGCTTCAGAAGGTGGGAGGGACAGGGGAGAGGGATGGGCTCAGAGCCAATGGGCCAGGTCACCTCTGTCCTCCATGCCCCCCGGCCTTTCCCCGGGAGTGCTCCCTGCTTCCCCTACCTGGGCCTTGGCTAATGGTTCCTGCCTTTACTCAGCCAATACCACCTGTGCCCACTGACCTCTGTACCCCTGCCCTTTGCTCAGGGCCTTGCTGGGCTGGCCCATTGAGGACTTTTTCAATGAAGAAATAGCAGCGGGTGCAGACATGTGAGCCGCTTGCCAGAGGCCCGCCAGGGCTCTCTCTGCACACACCTGTAGCCTCCGTGGCACAAGGGGAATTTTCTCCTACTCCCTGGCAGGCAGGTCCCTCGACAGGGTTAGGGCACCCAAGGCTCTGGGGTGACATCGGTAGCCCAGGGCCTCTGGTGTTGGCAGGAGGATGGCAGCTTGGGCCACGCCCCCCCCTTCCGGCCTGGGCAGGGAGAAGTGGGCAAAACTGTCTCCTCCAGGCCCCTTCAGGGCCTTCTTGCAGTTGCATCTTGGCCCATCTCGGCAACCACTATTAAAGTGCCATTTCCTGTAGGGCCTGCTTGATGTCTTGCGGCGGGGTCGTGTGTATGTCTGTGTGTGTGCTCGTGTGGCATGGGTGTGTGGACACCCCCAACCCAGGAAGCTCAAGCCCCAAGCCAGTCTTGACAATAATTTTATAGGGCCTTCTCATTAGTGGTTGGCATCATAGTAGTACTCAGACAAATCTGGCCCATCTCGCTTGCGTGCCTGGCCTCTCAAGAGGGAGGAGTGGACAATTCGACGTCCTGGGTGCTTAGGAAGGATCCCATAATCTGGAGGGAGAGAAGGAGGTAGGGGGAGCTGGGGAGAGCTGGTTTGAATTCAGGTGGAATTACAAGGTTTAGCACTAGAAAGAAAGACCCATAGAAGTACCCTAGATGAGACCCAGAGAAGGAAGTGACTTGGCCCAAGGTCCTACAGATCACAAATAGCCAAGCCAGAATTCAAACCCAGGGCCTCTGACCCCAGATTTCTTTCTCATTCACTATGCCCTGATGCCTCTTAAAGAGGAGGCTGCAGCCAGGTATCCTCCCTCCAGGACACTTCTACCTCACCCTGGCAAACGCATCCCAAGGGCTGACAGGAGAAGAGGCATGAGATCCTACCATCCACCAGGCTGTTGGGAAGCTCCATGGCGACTGGCTCTTCAGGAAGGGGAGAGGGGTGACACCTGTGAGATGGATGAGGGATGAGGGAAGGCCCCAGGATGGAGAAAAGACAAAGCCCCCAAGGAAACAAGAGACTCCCACCCAACTGGGAAGCCCAGACCCTACCCTTTAAGTTGGGAATAAGAGGTCAGCCCTGACCAGCATTGCCTGCTGGCCTCAAGAAACTGGGCAGAAGGGTCCAGGACCTCTACCCTGAGGAGGACCAGGTTTCAGGAGCTTACTTGGGTCCTGTCTGACAACACCCAAAGCTGGAGTTGAAGCCTGCTGTCGCCCCATAGTGCCCCAGGATTACCTCTGAGAACAAGGATGAGCAGCTACCAGGACGAGGGTGAGGAGGACGAACCCCAGCCCAATCCTAGGGCACAGGGACCCTAGCATAGTGAGAACAGTCTCCCCAGAACTCGGATCTGCCAGCCCCTTCTCCCAGGGGAGTTATGGAATGCACATGGATAGCACCTCCTCACAAAGGGAGAAGCAGTTCTAAGGCCCTGCCCCCACCCCATTCCAGTGGCTCAGGTGTCTATGGTACTTAACAGTTGGCAAAGCACCTTCCAATAAACCTGTGAATTTATCAGGGCTATAATTAGAGTAAGGCAACCAGGGCTTTCCCCCAGGCATCAGAATTTAGAGGGCCCAGGCCAAAAGTCAATGGAAGAAACAGCTACAAGTCCATTCGTGGAAGACGCGGGACCTCTTCAGTAGTCACTGTCCTCATGCCAATACTAATGCCACCACTATTCCACTACAGCTTGGGGAAGGTGGAGCTAGGTATCTCTTCTCCCTATGGACACACTAGGTTCCTGGGTACAGGAGTTGAGACAAGCATGTAGTTTTCTGCCCACCACTAAGCATCAGGCTCAGCTGGGACTTTAGCTGTCCATCACTGCCTCTATCCTGGCCTAGGACCTGCCCTTGTGGTGGAAGGGAAGCTAGCCTTAGGCTTTAGGGTCAAGGAGGAAAGAGTGGCCAGATCTGGAGGACTAGTGGGGCCAGGAGGGAGCCAAACCACATCAAGGTGCCTCACTGTTAGAACTTCCCACCCTCTCTTGTCCATGAGCATCCTAGGCTATCCCCAGTCCCCAACACAAGGCCTTCCTGAAGAACTGTCACATAAGGGTACCAAAAGCTCCTTTCCCCACAGATGTAAAATGCCCAAGTCAAGACATCACTCTCGTGATGTCACTGGTCCTCTTCGAGAAGGAAGGATGGTGGAGGATCCCAGCCCCTTGTCACCCCCAGCTTGTGGCTGGGCCTCCCCCACCACATTCAGGAAAAGGAACTGACGCCTGGGGTCATGCCTTTGTGAGAGGCGGAGAGGAGGGAAGGTGTTAAACCCCTCCCCCCAAAGAGGACCACCATCCTTGGGATTATAAGCACTTAGTACCTAACCAGCTAGAGTAACTAGAAGGCTAACCACTGACGTCCTCAAGGGGCCTTTTTGAACCTCTTGAGTCAGGTGAGAAAATTGCTACTTGTGGCTCTGGAGAGAAATAGCACAAGGATTTGTTCCCGTTTTACACAAGGACAGTGACTCACCCAAGGTGCCACAGCAAAGTCAGGTGGTAGACCCACTTGGACAGGATTCAAATCCAGGGCTTTGGACTCCAAACCATCAGACTGCCTCTCCTGTACCAGCTTGAGAGGTTACATCCCCAACGCATTAGGATGTCTGGGGCTGTTTTCCAGAAATCTTCAGGGCGGCAAATTCTCAGAAAGTCAGATGTCAAACCGCTATCTCATCAGCAATCTTTAGAGAGCGGCGGACAGTCAGCCAACCTTCCTTCTAACCTAGCTCCGATCCCTACATTCCCCTCTTCTCTCTCCTCTCTGCCCAGAGGAGGCTCTCTCCCAGTAGTAGTGAGAACAGCATTTCTCCCTCCCTCTGAATGACCCTACAACAGCCTCTTTTCTCTTGTCACATTTCAACCATGTCACCAGAACGTACCTTCGCCTTTAAAACAGCCGCCACCCCCTGCTGGGGCAATCTTCATCTTTTTCAAAACATGTACCTTTTGGCAATCTAGTGAAACCTATAAGCTCTTCAGCAAGGTGTTTTTTAAAAAATTTATAATTGAAGAAAACCCCAAATTTCAGTTAGCAGCCAAATACTTCTTTTGCCACCCGAGATTAAGAACCCCTATTCTAGTTGCTGGGCAAAAAGCCTTTACCCTGCAAGGAGACTGCTGTCTTCCGCCCTTCCCTTCTGAACCATTTCAGCATCTTTTCCAAGAAGGGGCACATGTATAGTTTGTCAGAAGGGAATCCTCTAAGGGCTCTACACATTCTTGCCCCATCTGCAAAAGGCAGTGCATGCTATCTGCACACACCATGCCACTGGCCAACGGCCGTGAACCAGACCAGAAACGGGACTGGACATCACGACAGAGGCAGAACTGGGGATGGTCAGCCTGAAGAGAAAATTGAGTTGGGGGTGGAGAACATGAGATTATTTATCTTAACTACCCAAATGTGAATGGTATTCACGGTGGTGAGGGCTCTGGAGGTTAGAACTCACTCTGGCAAGCAGTGGCCACAGGGAAAGATTGAGGTGAGGCAGGCACACTAAAAGCATTGCTGCGGAAGTGGGGTACTGGTTCAACCTTTCCGGAAAATAACTTGGGATTACATGAGAAAAGTCCAGAAACTACACGCCCAGTACTGGGAATATATGCCAAGGAGCTCAATGTCAAGAAGACAAAAAAAAAAGGCAGGAAACAAAGAGGATGCTTACCCTTCATGTTAACCAAGCAAATGACCACAGCACTAGCTCCTCTTCCTAAAGTTCGTCTGATCATGTCATTCTAACCGCCATGGTGGCCCCCCCAGTCTCCCCTCCCCCAATTCAGTAAACTCCCTATGACCTCCAGGATCAAATGTAAGATCCTGTTTGGCCTTCAAGACCTTCGTAACCTACCTCCCCCCCCCAAAAAAAAAAGCCCTTTCCAGTCCCCCATGTACTCTGGATCCAGCGACATTGGCCTCCTTGTTGCTCCTTCAACCCAGTCTCCTGACTCGGGGCATTTCCTCATGCTTGCTTGCAATACTGTCCCTCCTCATCTCTGCCTCCTGGTTTCCTTCCAGGCCCAGCTAAAAACCTGCCTTCTACAGGAAGCCTTTGCAGATCCCCCCAATTCTAGTGCCTTCCCTGTTAATGATTACAGTCATCCTGCATAGAGCTCCCACTAGGCTGTGACCTCCTTGACAGTGGGCACTGTCTTTTGCCTTTCTTTGTACCCTCAGTGCTTGGCACTGTGCCATGGCAGACGGTAAATAAATGGTTTCTGACTGACATCTATACGTGGCTTTTGTGAACAATTTTGCACTTGAATGTAATGGAAAATCACTGCACCACAAATCCAAATTGGTATGGGAAATTCAGAGAAGTACAGGACTCAGATGAAGCGAGAGAGTTAAAAACACTTACGCTGAACTGTGAGAATACCCTATCCTAGAGAGCTCATAAGGAAACATAATAACATGTAACATTTGTATAGGGACGACCATGTGCCCGGTACTAAGCTAAGCACTGCACAATTATCTCACTTGATTCTCACAACCACCCTGGGAGGTGGGTGATTATTATCCCCATTTTACAGATGAGGAAACTGAGGCAGACAGAAGGTAAGTGACTTGTCTGGGGTCACATAGCTAGTGTCTGACGCTGGACCTGAACTCAGGTCTTCCCGACTTCAGGCCCGGTAGGGGGTAGATGTGGACTATTTTAAAAGGACTTCCACAACTGCCCTGAAAAAGAAACGAGTAATGAGTTCAAGCAGAGGTTGGACGAGCCCTCCTTGGGAAAGCTGGATGAGAGAATTGTGGGAATTGAGCGCAACCGACACCGACTCCATTTTCTGACTCAATTCTGGCTCAGTTCCCTTCTTGTTCAATCGTGGGTCTCATCCAATTTCTGCCTTGTGAGAAAACTTTATTCAATTGTGAGAATGGGGAGAAAACTTTATTGCATTGTTTGAACCTGCCCCGAGTGGCTAGAAAGTTGAACCACCTCTATCTGCTATTTAGAGACCCTTAACTCAGGACCTAGATTATCCCAACCAGAAACTGGTCGGATCCGAAGACCGATGCAAGGGATTTTCTCACAACTGTACATCGCATGCAGCCCATAAGCCTTCTCTGAAAACTGGCCTCGTCCTGGTTAATGCTTCCATGCTCCTTCGATTGTTTACAGACGCCTGCGGGGGGAGTGGGACACCTCTTCTTCTGACTTCGGGGAATTGCACCTGTTTACTCTCCCCCTCCCAACTTGGAAACCTCTGATCTTTCCTCCAATTAGAAATTAGATTACCTTATCTCGTATCCTGGTTTTTATCCTGCTCGTTGTTTTCTTTTAATGTAAAAAAAAAAAGTCTTTCCCTGCATTTGGGGTCCTGTGCCAAGCTGATGAGGCCTGGTCCCAATTTGTTATGCGATTGGCACACATCGCTTTATAAATCAATTATTTTCGATTTCCCCTATGACAGACATGGAGAAAAGACTCAAGCATGAAGGCCTTGGACCCAGGTGTGCTCTGCTGCCTCTCTGGGACGTCGCTGAGCTAAAGTGGGACCCAGCCAAAAAGTAGGAGAAACCCCTAATGTTCTGCCTCTACTGTTTGGCTACACTCTTCAAAGGGCGTGCCAGGCCTTGCTCTCGCCCCCGAGCTAGGCCCACCTAGCTATGTGGCAGCCTGGGTAATGAGGAACACCAGACTCAGAGTCAGGTCTTTGACCTCAGCTTCCAGGGACATCCGAGGACTCTGGGCAAAGGCATTTAAACCGTCCTTGCTCTAGGCAGCCCTAAGATAGGTACAGAGAAGGGCTGGGCCTGCTGAGGCAGAGGGAGTTTCCCCACCGACGAAATCCCAGGCCTCACGCCATTTTGTTTTACATATACTTATGAATTACGGTGTTTCCTGATCTCATTTTAGGATTTATATGACCAGTACCTAAAACAGTGCTTGGCACGCAGGAAATGGTCAATGGTCTTTGGAACTGATCACACACTGTTAGTTATGCTCAAGTAGTGATTCCCTGACACCCCCAGATGTTTCACAAGAACTCTACCTACTCCCCAGTCCTGAATACACTTCCCTTATCTTCCACTGTTCCTTCTCACGCTCTTTCCATATTATTGTACTCCGGGAAAAAATGTGGCTCTCTGGAAGACACTGCCACTTCTTTCGAGGACTGGTTTCTCCTCATGAATCCAGTAAGTGAAGTGCGCTCTGCCATCCTCAAAAAGTTACTTCGAGGGCCACTCCACTGTTGATGCCCTCTGGTCCATGGTCCTTGCTGTCATGACCTCTGTTCTTCAAGATATCCCTCCTCTTCCTCCAGATCGGCGCCTAATTCACAGGCTCTCTTCACAACCCAACTTCTGCGGTGTTCAGTCCACCTCAGATAATCTATTCATTATCCACTTTAAACTCCCAAGACACGTCGAAGTCAACAGCACCCGTAAATGTGCCATCTCTCTCCAGTATTTTGAACTCTGAAATTCCAGATCATAATTGCCACTGCTCCTAAATCCTTCCTCATTTCTACTCCTGCTCAGGCATAATTTTTCTATCAATATCATAGACTGATAGTGGAAATGACCTGTACGTCCTCTGCATGGTGAGGCCCATGGGGCCTTTCCATCTGAGCCCCGCAAGCCCGGTGACTGCCTCTCTGCATTGCCACAGCTCAGCTCAGGACTCATCAGCTCTTCACAGCCTTGACCCTAGGGTTGACCATTTCAACCACAATGTCTTCCACACTGGACTCTCTTGTCGCACCATCTGTCTTCTCTGACCATGCTCCCCCCGACACCTAGCTGCCCAGGTCCACTACCAATTCCCTTATCTAATCTCAACTGGCCCTTCACTGCTACACAGCAAACTAGTCACTTGACTCTAAGTTGCCATCTCACTTCACCGAGTAGCTGGACCCCATTCTCTCTTTCCTTCCCAAGCCCTCGTCCTCCTCTCAGCAGATGCACTCACCTCCTACCTTACTAAGAAGACAGACTCCATCTGACACGAGCTCCTTCCTTACTCCCGCCTCGGAGGAAATGGCCCTTTTCCTTGCCAAGGCTACCCCTCTTTTTGTTCCTTCAATGTCATCCTTTCCCAACTCCTCTAGGGCTCGCCCCATCGATCAGTCCCTCTCTCACCTTCAATCTATCTGTTTGCTGCCTCTTTCCTCCAGCACTGATGAACAGATTCAGGTCCATTCTTGTCTTAGTAGCCCAGGATAGGGCCCTGTGGACTTGACCTTGCCATCTCTTCACACTAGGGATCTCCAAGCATCTAGTACAGTGCTTAGCACTTAAGTGCTTAACAAATGCTTGGCGACTCCTCCCTTTCATAGCCAAACTCCTAGAGAGAATAGTTTAATCCTATAATCTACTAATGGTCTCTAGCACCTTTCCATCAATCTTCTCAACCCTTTGCTGGCTGGCTCCACATACCATCACTTGACTGGAACCGCTCCTGGAAGCTACCAACGGCTAAATTAAATGACTCTCAGTCACCAATACTGTCTTCCTGGACCCTCTCTATGTTCGGTTCCTATGACATTATTCTTAGCTCTGTACTGACCACTCTTCAGTCTCTGGGCCTGAACATCACTGATCTTAGGCCCAGTTTAGTGTGCTGTTCCCCAGGGCTCTCTCAGATTTCTCTCTCTATACTCATCCTTGAAGATCTCAGCAGCTCCCAGGGGTTCTAGTATCTCCAGGGAAGTTTTCCCAATGCTACATAGCCAATCTCCTTTCAATTTAATCACGCACCGCTCTCATCAAGTGCCTGCTCCCACATCCTGAGTAACCCACACTCTCGAATTACATCCCAAACAGAACACATCATCTCTTCTTAACCCACCTCTGGTCCTTCCCCTTTGGCTGAAGGAGGCCCTAACCTGTAGCCACCCAGGTTCACAGCCTTGGAGGCGTGCTCTACTTTCCCCGCCTCTCTCTTCTCCATCCAGCGGCTCAGGCTTGTCCATCTCACCTCCATTATCTTACAGTGACGCCCGTAGGCACCACTGCTGAAGGGATCAGGCCTCACCATCTCTTGCCTGGATCACTGTAATAATCCCCAATGAACCTCCATACAGCCCAGCCTCTCCCCTTTCTAAGCCAAACTCCAAGGCAGAGAGAGGTCTGGTCACATCAGTTCTCTGTTCAAAGCCCTTTTGTGCTCTCTACCCCACCCCCCCACCAGTGTCAACAGGAGACATAAGCTGGAGCTTGGAAGCCCTGCCTTCCCAACCTTATTTCTGATCCCTCCCTTTCACAAACTGTGTCCCAGGCAAAGACCCTCTGCCTCCCATCTCTCTGCACTTGAGCCAGGCATTCTCTGGCTGTTGGCTCAGCTGGAGAACTCCCCTAGGAGAATGGAAGCTGTCTGTTCTGTCCCTGGACCTCCCAGTAAGTTTTCTCATCTGTAAAATGAAGGAGCTGGCTTGGACAGCTTCTAAGGGGTCATTCCCAAATGCTTAAAAAGTGATCTTTGAAGTGAGCTGCTGTCTAGATATGCCTATTTGTGCCACAGAGTCAAAGAATCCAAGTGCCAGGCTTTATATTTAACCTCATTAAAGGCCAAGCTCTTGAGACATCTGAGATTCTGACTGGCAAACAGGTTAGCTACTCTTCCCGGTCTGGTCATCTGCAAATGAGGCAAGCATCCCACCTACACGTCCATACAAGCCATAGATAACAATTAGCAGTCAACAGTGTTCATTGGGAAAGTGAAGACTTTTCTTATTTTTGAGTTGGGGAGGAGGGGAGGAAAGATTAAAGACTTGGATGGAGGAGACCCTGGAGGCCAAAGGACTCTCTCTGACCATATCCCAGCTCTACCAAGGTCCTCCCTATTTACCTTCGACAGGAAGTCCTGACCAAAGGTAGGTGGTCCTGAGGCTGGAAGGTGGCCAGTCCTACTTTCCAGGGATTAGAAGTTTCTTGCTGATTGCACATGATGGAGCTTCATTAAAAGAGGTGGCACTGCAGTATAGGGCAGGCCCAGGGCTTGTGCTGTGTAGAACAGGTGGTCATTCATTACGGAGCGGTTCCAGCTCCTAAGGGCCGGCTGGGCTCTCTGTGGGGCCCTGGGCTCCCCTTGCCGTAGGGGCACAGAGGGGACACGCTTAGGAGCATCACTAGGGGCCAGTTTTATTAGAGGACAGAGGAGCTGAGGGGCTGAAGGGATGGGCTGCCTGATCCCGCAGCAGATCATGCCTCCCACATCCCCCACCCTCTCAGCAGCCTTCTTCCTCAGCCCTGGATTGCCTGTCAGCCCCAATTGTAGAAATAAATTTTCTGCCAAGCAGGCAAGTAGTCCATCAGTGGCCCTGAAAGGAGAGAGGAAAAGAATGGGGGGGGGTCAAAGGTCTTCCCCTGCCCTCCACAGCCACCCCTCCAACTTGCATCATTCCATCTTTACCCCTGGACCTGGTCTATGACCATGCCTACTGTCCAGCCACCAGGGCCCACCTACTCCTGGTCTCAACAGCCACCCATGGGCCTTTAGCAGGTCCAGACTCAAGGACCTCCTCCTCTTAGCTCTAGCTCATCACAACCCAAGCCTGGTAGCAGCACCCGGCTGCTGGGAGCCATCAGGCACCTGCTTTGCTCTCACCCCTTGTCCCGACACTTACGGGTAACCAAGCCAACACCAGGAATGTAATCAGCCAGCAGCCGCAGCAGGAAGAGGATCCTGTCCCTGGATGGAAGACAGTGAGGAAACAGGCTGAAGGGGACTAGGGAAGAAATGCTTGAGTCAAGGAGGCCCCTGTCTCTGACGGTAGAAAGTGACTTTGGGAAATAGAACAGACCAGAACCTGCTGAAGGGAAGGTGAGATTCTGTTGGGGTCTGGGGAGGAAGGGAGAGTGAGGGACCGAGAGAACAAGACCTTGGCTCCGGCTTCATCTCTCCCTCCGAGTTCTACTCCGCTGCCCCGTCGTCAGCTTTCAACTTTGCCTTTCGTATACGTTAGCAAGGGTGCCGCCAGCGCTCCCTTCTTCAAAGGGATGAAAAACCAAAGTAAAGGATGGAGGAAAGCCTGCTAGCCAAACCGGCCAACTTTTTTGTTGTTCCCTAATCTGGCACTCGGTCTTCTACAACTGTGTCTTCACACAGACAAGAGAAACCAGATCAAACTTTAACTGGGAACTACTAGCAAATAATAAAAATACAATAAAACAGATGTTATATTTGAAAATGAAGTTAATAAGCAGTCTTCTGCACGGACTAGGGACCCCTTCAATACTTCTTAGAAACCTTTGTGTACTTCCTAGAGGAGGCCTTCTCTGATGACTGCCCTGGGCTGCGGGTGCTTCTGACTCAAATCAGCTCTCATTCCTTCCTTCCTTCCTTCCTTCCTTCTTTCCTTCCTTCCTTCCTTCCTACGTTCTTTATCTGTTCCCTGTTTTCATATGTATACATGTATTTGTATTTCCATATTTATATTCTGTGCACATATTTCTATATACCTATAACTATAGCTCTGTGTTTTCACACAGCATCTCCCCAGTAGAACAGAAGCTTTTTGAAGGCAGGCACTGATTTTCACTCTGTCTCTGTCCCACGCACAGCAGCCTATTGATAAATGCCTAGTGGGTTGCATTGCTAAATTTGGATTGCGCGTTTGGTGGAATTGGACTCTGAGATTCTGTGAGATAAGACAGCAGCTTCCCCCGTCAGCCTGCCTGCTCCTGCTCCCGCTCTGCTATGGCTCCCATGCCTCTCCCCACACCCCTGCAGCTCTAGGGTCTCCCCCACCTCTGCTCCTTGAGGGAAGTGTGGGATTCCGGATTCTCCCATGATGTGGGACTCTCCGATCCTAGCTATACAAGACACAAGGCCACCAGAGCACTTGCGAGTGTGGGAAACACGCCGTTTCAAGCACCTGGCCCCGCCCCACCCCACCAGAACTGTTGTCACAGAACAGACATGGAAGAGGCTGAGACAAGTAGCCCCCGGTCAGCAAGTGATGGAGCTGAGAGTACAACTGACCCTGTTCCTCACTGTATAGTGGGCACTGGGCTTGGGGAGCCAGAGGGAAGGAAGGAAGGAACCCCAAAGGCCTTTGGCTAAGGCTAGCCCATGTGGCCAGTCCTGAATGGAGACCAGTCATTTTGTGACCTCCACCCCTGACCCCATGAGCCGCCTTGGAGCTCTGCTCTGCCAGACTGAGGGTCTCCGCCCCTCTTCTCATGGTCACGGGTGCTCAACACACAGTAGGTGCTTAAGAAATGCTTACTGACTGACTATAGGATTGACTGACAATAAGCTAGACAAGAACTGAACTCAGAATCACAGAATTCCAGAGCTGGACAAGACCTCAGTGGGCCCTGAGTTCTGGCCCCTGACCCCATAAGCACCCCAACTTTAACAAACCCCAGCAGTCATCCTACCCCTGCCTCAAGGCTTTCCATGAGGGTGAACCCAGCAGTTTCAGAGGCAGCCGACTTGCACTCTGGCCTAGCTCTAATCATCAGCCAGCTCTCCCTGAAATCCCGCTTCATCTGCCTCTGTCACTTCCACCCCGTGGCTCTTGGGTGGACCCTCTGGAGCCAAGAAGGACAGAGCTATTTGCTCTTGCACATGACAGCCCTTCCTCTACATCCCCTGGGACCTTCTCTGTGTTCACTGTCTCCAGCTCCTTAACAGATCCTCACTGGCCCTCCCCATTCTGGCTGCCTTTCTCTGGGCGCTGTCCACTTTATCCAAGTCCTTCGCTCCATCTCTCCACCTGCCAGGTTCCTAGTCTGCTTTGGGGAACACTTGCTTGTTAATTCTGATCAGACACTTTCTAGGTGGTGCCCACCTAATCACAATAATAATGACCACCCTCTGAAGCACTGTTCATCATAATCCATTCTAGTATTTGAAAGAGCCATGGATATTTTTGGTGTGGGCACAACCTCCACTGATGCAGATGGCACCCCCTTGATGAAACAGCAGATGGTCTTTGAGCACTGCGGCAGTGGCCAAAAAATTCAACATCCTGTGGTCAACTGGGTGACAAGATCCTCCAAATTTAGCAAGGCCACTCCTTGGACAGAAGGCCAGTGATCCCCTCCCCTGCCACCTCTGACGGGAGTCTGTCCCTTCCATCATTTCCCCACTGACAAATCTTTGATCCTCCATCTGTCGGCTTCTTCCCTGCTGCCTTCTAATATGTTCAAAGCTCCCTCATCTCTGAAAAACTTTCATTTGATCCGGCCATCAATTCATGCTCTTTTCTCTCTCCTACCCTTCACTGCCAAACTAGGGAAAGTAATCCATGCTCATCACCTCCACTCCCTTACCTCCCCCTCACTTCTTAAGCCCTTCTAGTCTAGGTTCTGCCAGCAGTGCTCAGCCCGGGGTCACCTCCAGTCATCCTGATCCATATCTGGCCACTGGACCCAGATGGCTCCGAAGGAGAAAGTGAGGCTGGTGACCTTGCACAGCCCTTCCTCACTTAAATCCAATTCACTTGCAAGTCCTGGCATCCCCTTCCTGATGTCATGGTTCTCTTCGAAAACAAAGGACAAACAACAGCTCAGCCCAAACTGCTCTCTCCAAAGTTTCCAATGATGTCTTAATTGCTAAAGCCCAAGAACTCTTCTCAGTCTTCATCCTTCCTGACAAACCCATGGGAGGCGGTGTGGTCCACTGGAATGAGTGCTGGATTTGAAGTCATGGCATCTGAGTTCTGTGAAATGAGGGACTAAGGACTCAGAAGGTTCTTTCTGGCTCCAAGTTCCTTCTCCCGGTTCTGCTACCGATCTGACCTTCCTCATCCTCCTTTGGTGGGCCATCCCACACGGCTCACGTCTCTATGTGTGAGCACTGTTCTGGGACCTGTCCTGGGCCCTCTTTTCGACACTCTCGTCTGGTGATCTCGTCAGCTCCCAGAGGTTCAATCATCATCTCTGCACAGAAGACGCCCAGAGCTACCCAATCCCCAAGTCTCTCTCCCGAGCTCCTGACCCTCATCTCTGCTGAACAGCTCCCCTTGGCATCTCAAACTCAATGGGCACAAAATGGAGCTCGTTATCTTTCCCCCAACACCTACCTCTCTGCCTAGATTCCCTGTTTCTGTCAAGTTATGCATTTTCTAAATCTCCGAGTCATTCCTGACTCTTCTGTCTCCTTCACCCCCATCTGCCATCAGAGGCTTCTCACTTCAACCTTCCCAGCGCCCCTTGTGGCCATCCCCTTCTCTGCACTCTGGTTCAGCCCTTTCTCACCTCCCACCTAGATCCTTGCAAAAGCCTCCTGGTTGGTCTCTGCACCCCCCTCCAATGCATCCTCCATCCAGCTGCCAAGGATCTCCATAAAGCCTAAGTCAGACCTTTTTGCTGCTGCTGCGACTCAGTGGCTCCCTCTTGCCTCTAAGATACAACTTAAACTCTCCCGCCTGGCATTAAAATCTTTCGCCAGCTGGTTCCGGTGAATCGTTCCAAACCTATTTCCCTGTTACTCTCCTTCCAACCAAGCTGGCCCACCTGCTATTCCTTTGACTTGTTCCGTCTCCTGCCCCCACACCTTTGCACAGGTGGTCTCTCCTGCCTGAAACACCCCCCTCCTCATTTCTACCGTTAGAATTTCTAGCTCCCTTCCAGGCTCAGCCACAGAGCTGACTCCGAGCCAAGGCGCTTCCTGATTTCCTCCCACTAGTGGTGCTCTCCTCCTAACCTGGCAAATCACTTTGCAGCTACTTTGTATTTATTTAACTATGTAAACTGAAAGGGCCTCAAGGGAAGGAACTACTTCATTTTTAAATTCTAATCAATCAATCAACAAGTATTTATTAAGCACCTACTATGTGCTGAGTGCTGTGTGAGGTGGTGGGGATGCTACGGCCCTCAGACGGCTCCTGTGCTGCCTGGGCACACTGCACACACACCCAGACGCATACATCTAGAAGCACAGACGAGGTCACTGGGGGAGAAGGAACTCAAAGGGGGGGGGTGCAGATGACGACGACGGCGACAGTGCCTGCCACCGGAGGTCGGTCCGCCCCAAGAGCATCCCGAAGAGCTGGGGCCTCTCGACGACTGACCACAGCAACACTTACACAGAACTTGAGATGAGAATCCAGTGATGTTGGCAGCATTAGAATTATGACCATGCTCAGTTTGCTGATGAGGAAACTGAGACTCAGAGTAACAACAATAAAAATGGAAGCGGGGAAGCACTGTGCTAGACCCAGAGAGTGAATGGCCCAGTGCGGCCCTGAACCCTGGCCAGGAGACTTCGAGGCACCCTGTGCTGTCGTCAAAGTTCCTTCAACAGCGTCCTCTACAGAACCTGGCCGAGTCGGATCCACGCTGCCTGCATTAGCCACCAAAGAGAGGAGGGAAAGGAAGGAACTGCAGCATTGCAGAGCTCGAAGGGAGCTGAGGGGCCATCGTGCCCGACACCAGCACTACAGCACAGCCCACTAAGTGGCTGTCCGTCCTCTCCCCGAAGAACTCCATGGAGGCGAGCCCAGCACCTCAGCCCATGCTGGGATGGCTCTCACTGGGTTCCTTCCCCCGAGCCCTTTCTACTCACTGTTCCTGGCTCTCCCCTCTGGACCAGGCAGAACTAATCTAATTCTTCCTCTGTGTGACAGCCCTTCAGATACACTAGGACAACTGGCAGGTTGCCCCAAGGCCTCTCTTCTCTTCAACTGGTCCAAATTGGGCAGGGACCCATAGTCCTCCGCCAGACTGGCTGCTGTCCTCTGGGCCCTCGTCTTCAATTGTGAGGCCAAGAACTGACCAACTCTCCCGTCACCTCCTTATGTTTGGAGGTGAGCTCTTTCTGGGTGCAGACCACCATTATGGGAACTTTGTGGGATGCCGGTGGACCATGCTGAGGCTGCAGTCTACTAACGCCCCAAGAGCTTTTTCAGACAAACTATCTGCTGGGCCATTCTGCCTTTGTGAGATTCGGCCTTCATGCTTTCTCAATGTCCTGGCCTACAGAGATATTTTCAGATCTGTGTACGACCTACTGCTGCCTGAGCTCCCGGCGCCCCTAGCTCCGAGACATCGGCAGGTTTGGCCACCATGCCACCTGAGTCTTTACAGGTATGCCACTGATAAAAACTGACACTGAGCCATTAACAACCTTCTCCGAGTCCAGCTCTCAGTGACTCTAACTGGACTGTCATATGGAATGCTATCCTAGGCAATCCCTCCAATGTTTATACAAGAAGACCAGGAAGAGCCTAGCCCTCCTGAATTAGAGGTCGGTCAATGATGGTGAGGGCATTCTCCAGATCCATTAAAAGATTCTAGAATTTTGCCAGGAAGTCAAAGCCAGCTCATTGGCCTCCAGCTGACATTTTAAATAAAGGCTGCCCACCCCCAAGCTTGCAGCACCTGGACCGTTCACTCTATGTGATCACAGCCGAGGGCCCAGCTGCCATAGCCTGAGCTCTCTCCAGACTGGAAAGGATGTGGTTCATCTGAGCGGTGCTGTGAATTCCCCCGGGGGCAGCGGGAGGCTCTTTTTTTACTTCCTCATTGCTATTTGGTATCAGCTTTCTACTTAGCCTCTTTTGTCCTGTCCTTTCCTGACCCAAAGGTCATTTTCCTGGACAGAGAAAGCAAGGGAAAGGAGACCTGAGCAGCTCGGACCCAGCTCCTGCTGGGCATCGGCCTGCACGTGCCCAGCAGTAATCCTTCGTCCTGCCCCTGCCCCCATGGTCCTCCTGGGTCACCTGTACTGGCTTCTACCTCCTGGGCATCAAGCCTTCCCACATCTAGGCTGGTGGATCAGTTCTCTGTGGGTACACACTGGTCCCTCAGGTGACATAGGCCCCAGGCCCCGCCCTGACCTGCCCTAGGGCCTCGCCAGCCCCCCAGGAATCCCTTACTCTGAGAAACGGTCGTAGAAGGGGGAGCGCAGCAGGTAGTAGAGCAGCAGGACGGTCCGTCGCCGGAGCTCCAGGCGCTCCCGCCGAGTCAGCCCTTTCTTGTCACTCAGCAGACTCAGGCTGTGAATGGAAGGAAGGAAGCAAGGGAAGAGGCTCAGGCCTGAAATGTTCACAGCTGCAAATCCATGCATTCAAAGAGGCTATCCCCACGCTGGTACACATCTTTTGCTTATCTCCATCGATCAAAACCCTCTCTTCCTTCAATCAATAAACAAGCATAGATTCAGCTCCTACTGTGTGCCTGCCACTGTGCTAAGTACATACCAAAAATGAAGCCTTTCTCTCTCAGAGCTTGCAATCTACTGGCTCATCTCAGGAGCTGCCTCCCCTGTGAAGCTCGTCCCGACACCCCACTAGGCTGGAAGCTCCCTGAAGACACGAGCTACTGTCATTTTATCCCTATACTCTATACATTTTTTTTTTTGGTGAGGCAATTGGGATTAAGTGACTTGCCCAGGGTCACACAGCTAGTAAGTGTCATGTGTCTGAGACTGGATTTGAACTCATGTCTTCCTGATTTCAAGGCCAGAGCTCTATCCACTGTGCCACCTAGCTGCCCCTTACTCTATACATTTTTGACTCCATATGTGCCTGGTACACAGAGGCATTTATGTAACCCTTGCTGAATCTGCACCCTGCCCCCTCCAACTTCTGTCTGAATGTCTTTGTCTCCAAACGTTCTCTCTCTCACTGTATTTGCCTCTGCACCCTCCCTTCTACATGGCCCCTTCCCCATGCCATTACAGGCAGGGACTTCACTTTTCCCGTGTTCCTAGTACCAGCCCAAAGCCCAGTTCATAGCAGGCATTCATTAAACATTTGCTAACATGAATGAAGACTGGGGGGAGAAGGGGAGTCATCACTCAAGCTCTTCACCCCTCTTCTGAGCTCTCCTCCCCACAATCAGTGTTCTGAGAGGGAAGTAAGAGACAGCCAAGGCTGGATCATCTAGAGCTCTCCAAGGGTTTACAAAACACAGTCCCTGGGACACAGAGCCGCTCTGAGACAAATAATGCAAGCATTATTAACTCCATTTTGTGGATGAGGAAACTGAGGCTCAGGAGAGGTTAAAGGACTTGTACATGGTCATCTTAAGTGCCTGGACTAGAACCCAGATTCTATGACTCCTGTTCACAGATCTAGAGCTCAAAGTAACCTTAAAGGCCGCATGGTCCAAGAACTCCCTCACCTGAGAGATGATGAAACCGAGGCCCAGGTTTGTTAAAGGGCCTCGGCCCAGGACACCCAGGAAGTGCCGGAGCCGGGGTCTTTTTCTCTTAGTCCTGTGCCGCCCTTTTGGTGCCCCACCCTGGGCACGCGCCCTTAGCTGCGCCACTTCCTGTACCGATTCCCCCCTCAGCTGCCTGGCCACAGGGGCCCCCTCCCCCGGAGTTTCGACCTCACAGGGGTCTGCCTTCCCTGCCCACATGGAATCCTGCAGACGAGTCCAGGGGCTGTCCAGGGGAAGATGAGGCCTGTTCTGCCTGGCCCCAAGGGCTAAGCAAAAAGCAAAAGGAAGAAGCTGCAAAGAGGCAGATTTAGGCTTGAGAAAAGGAAAAGCTTCCTAACTGCTAGAGATGCCCTGACATAGTGCAGGCTGCCTCCAGCTCACTGAGAGCCTTGAAAACAAGGCTACATGGCCACTCCTGGAGGGTTTGGCACAAAAGGTCCTTGGACAGGAGCAGCTCCTGAGGTCAAAAGGATACCAACGTTTAAAGTGAGAGGAGGGGAAGGAACAAGCATCTATATGGTACCTACTACGGGCCAGGCACCGTGCTAAGTATTTTACAATTATTATCTCCTTTCATCCCCACAAGAACTCTGGGAAGCAGGTGCTGTCATCATCTTCATTCTGCAGATGAGGAAACTGAGGCAAAGAGACGTGCAATGCCTTGCCAAGGGTGACAGAGGAAGTATCTGAGGTCGGATTTGAATCCAGGTCTTCCTGACTTCTACCAGCAGAAGCTGCCACCCCAGACACACACACTTACCTAGTCACGTCCAAGACGGCAGACAGGAGCCAAGGCTTCCACGACCGCTGACCCCACAGGCCCAGACTCAGCACTGACAGTGAAAGGGTCAAGGTCCTCTTGAACAGTGCGGCCCCACCCCTCAGCCCCCCTCTGTCCTCAGCCTCTCCTCCCCCCACCACAGCCTGGGTTCTGGCAGATACAGTGCAGCAAGGGTCGGGCTATGTACACTGACTCAGCAATGGTCTCCCGTAGCCCCAGGGGGGTGGGGCCAGCTTCCAGCTCCTCCCCTCGGTGATGCATCCGCCCTTCCTGCTGCTGGGGGGCTCCCCAGTGCCTTGAGTGCAAGGATGGTGCTGAAACACAGAGTCACACCCATGAGAAGGGAGGGCTTCCAGGTGGGGTAGGGAGAAGCAAGGGGGGCAGGTGGGGACAGTGGTGGGGTGCCATGGAGCTAAAGCCTGAGTGACCACGTGTCCCTCCCCCCGCCCTTTCCCGCTTACTGCTCTGCAGGGATCGCACCACCCGGTTGGACCGCTTTCCCACGTATGGCCGGTCCTGGCTGCCCACACTGTGCTCACCACCTGCAGAGGGGAAAAAGGCCAAGGGAGCAGGGTGGTCGGTGTCCTGGAGGAAGAAGTCACATGGTATCAGCACCAGCAAGTCTTCGCAGGACCATACCAGCCCTATACTCAAGCAACTCCTTGTTACCTCCAGAACCAATGATAAAACCCTCTCTTTGGTATTTCGAGCCCTTCCTAGCCTGGCCCCTTCCCACGTTGCCAGCCTATTTCAACTGGGCTCTCTGCTCTAAGATCCAGACTAGTCCTCCCATGGGACTTCTGACCTCTTCCCTCTGTGCTTGTGTCTCGCTGTGTGCCCCCACAGCTGGGGGTGGGGTCCTCCCTGCTTACTCGGGATCCTTCAGCTCAGCTCCAATGCCCCCTTCTGCAGGAGGCCCCAGCCAGGTGGCCAGCCATCATCTGTTCTCGGGTTCCCTTCCATCCACTCTGTACAGATCTGGTCTACACATAGTTACGTCCATGTTGTCCCCCTCCTTGGATAGTAAGCTCCTTGAGGGCAGACTGTTTTAGTCTTTCTTGGTATCCCCAGCACTTAGTACAGAGCAGGCCTGGTACCCAGTAGGCCCTTAGCTAATGCGTGAAGATCAACAGAAAACAATGCACGCTCTGCCCCTGTCTGAGGACTAGCCCCAATTCTCCACAAGGGCACCAGGGGCAACTGAAAGGTGAAGGCGGAGTGTCCACTGGATACCAGCGTTGACTCCATCAACTGAGTCCTCTAGGGAAGAGTTAAACGACCCCCATCCCACAGAGGCACACAGTGGGTAGCGCCTGCCAGGCAGCCTTGGTGTAGGGGAAACACACCGTCACAGGCCAAATCCTAGAGACTAAAATCAGCCCAGGAGAGAGGAAACCCCCCCCAGCACCAGCTTCCCAAGAGACGAGGAAACCCTTCCAAGGAGCAAGAAAAAAGATGGGAGATGTCTCAAGAAGCTGATGTGGAGCAGGGAGGTCACCAACCAAGACGTGAGTTGGGGCTCAAGAAATGTGCAGAAGAGGGAAGCGAGAGCGGATAACAGAAGACGAGGGTGAGGACGCAGCCCAGCCTTCGTTCTGGTGACCCCCAGCAGCAGCTGAGGACAGCAGGGAGAGGGGAAGACAATGGAAAGAGAGCTGGGGTTTTGTTTCCAGGGGTCCCTGTATCCTGATGAAGGTGGAAGGCCCCCAAAGGGCCAAGACTGCTGCTCCACACGAGCAGCCACAGCAAGGGAGGAGCTGCCTGGCTCAGCCTTTGCTTCTGTTCTCACCCAGAGGGTCAGCTGTCTGATGAGCGTCAACGCTTGGGCTCCAAGCTAGGTCCCTGGCTCCATTAGGCACCATTTTCATGCCACTGCCTGCACCAATTACCTGGAAGGGCAGCCATTGAGCTGTCTGCCAGGAAAACCATTTTCTTTTGCTAAGGGTTGGGAGAGGTGTGGCAGTGACCCACTGTCCCTGGAAATTCTACCCACCACATACAACCTTGGGCTTCCACCAACAGGCAGCGTGATGGGGTGTGGCTCGGGAGTCAGGAAGACCCGAGGTCAAATCCGACCACAGACACTTCCTAGCTGTGTGACCCAGGCAAGTCCCTTCACCTCTTTGCCTCAATTTCCTCAACTGTAAAATGGGAATAACCATGGCACCTTTCTCCCACGGTTGTTGTGAAGACTGAATTGGAAAAGAATTGTAAAGAGCTTAGAGCAGCGCCTGGCACACAGGAAGTGCTCTATAAATATTAGGCATTGTTGTTGTTATTATTATTAAACTTCTGCTGCTACATACCTCTCAGAGGCCTTACAGGAGCAAAGAAGGAAAGATAAGGAAAATACTTTGGAAAGGAGAGCTCTCCACAGCCATCAGTAATAGTGTTACACAGCCCTCAAGCTTTCAGGTTCAAAGTTCCAACAATAGGACTACAAGGGAGAAGCCAGAACTGACAGTCGGGGGGGGGGGGGAGGGAGCAGGAGAGCTGTGGCAGAGCGAGGCCCAGAAGCCAGCTATCCCAGACCTCAGGGCTTGCTGCTGCTCAGAGCCCAAGGTTTCACTGTGTGGGCAGCGGCCACCTTTTAAAGCAGTGCTCCAAGGAAGGTCCTCATTTTAGAGAGAAAGAAACCGATGTGCCCCAAATCACCTCGCTGGCAAGTGTCAGAGCCAGGACTTGAACTTGGATTCTGGAACGCCACGGAGTCCGTGATGATGGACAGCCCCTTGGCCTCAGCATTCTGAGGGCCCTCCATGTCCCACCTCCTCACGGGGCCCAGGAGAGCCAGGCAACTGGCCCAATGGCTCCTGAAGAACAGGTCACATACATGGGGGAACAGGGCATGAAGAAAGTGGGGGCTCACCTTGGGGGTGAAGCTGCATCTCCCGATCAAGTGGCATGATGGGGGGTGAGGTCTGGAGGCCAGCCTTGTACCAGAGCAGCAGCAGGACACGCAGCACAGCCCTGTGAATAGAGAAGCCTCAGTGGAGAAGAGAGCGGCACAGAGCGGACAGAGGACCTACCCTGGCAGGGCTCACCGTGAACCCAGGGGTGTCCTGGGCCGTCCCCCCCACCCCCACCCCCTCCAACGTACTTAGCCAACTGGATGAGGACGATGATGAGCCAACGGCCCATCTCCCCCCACACCTTGGCAGCCCCCATCTCCATGAACACTTCCACGCACTCGAGCACACTCAGCCACGTCAGCAACTTCTGCTGGGACAGCGACTGCAAGGACGAGAAGAGAGGGGCATCAGAGGGGCCTAGAGGCTGCGTCTGTCTCCCCCCCGCCTGCAAGGGTCCCTCCCCGGCCCCTTACCACGGGCAGGCTCTGCCTGAGCTCCTTCCGCAGGATGCCGTCATTCAGAAGCACCAGCAGGTTAGAGGCGGAGTACACTGGGAAGGGCCAAAGGCAGCCAGTGAGGAAACCCTCTCCTCACCTTCAGCCCAGAGTCGCGAGCACCAACACGCATCCACTCAGCGTGGGGAAACCAACCTGTTCCTCCACCTCCTGTCTCCCCAAACTGACAGGGGGAGGGGGGAGCCCAGAACTTTCGAATCCGGGTCTGACAACCCCAGCCCACACACACCTTCCTCTTCCAGGCAACCGCCCCCCCCCCACCCAGGTCTACCCCGGCATACATACCCAGTTCTGACAGCTCGTGGGAATCGGCGAATCGACCTGGGAAAGAGAGAGAGAAGGGAAGGGGGTTAGAGGGGAGCTCCCTCACCCATCTCGGGGGTCAGACCGCAAAGGCTCTCATTTTATAGAGAACAAGAACCATACATGAAGGGGCTTGTCCAAGGTCACCCCTGCAGCGTGTCAATGGAGGTGCTGACAGTCACGTATGCGCAAAAGAAGTTTTTCTGAATTCATGAGTCTCTCACTCTTAGGGGGTCTCTGTCTCTCAGTCTCTGGGGGTATCTGAATGAGTATCTTGGGGGTCTATCTCAGTCTGCAGGAGTCTGTCAGTCTCTTGGGGGGGGTCTATCTGTCTCTCAGTCTTAGGAGTTTCTATCAATCTCAGGGGCCTCAGTTTCAAGGGGTCTGTCTCTCAACCTGAGGGGTGTCTCTAGTCTCTCAGTCTTAGGGTGCATCTTTGTCTCTGGTCTTGGGGATCTTTCAGTATGAGGGGTATGTCTTTTGGTCTAAAAGGTCTATCGCTCAGTGGGGGAGGTCTCCATCTCTTGGGAGTCTGCCTGTCTCTCAGTCTTGGGAGTCTCTATCTCTTAATCTCAGAGATCTCTGTCTTTCTGTCTCAGGGGTCTGTCTCTCGGGGGTCTCTGTCTTTCTGTCTGAGGGGGCTGTCTCTCAGTGGGAGGGATGTTTCAGTCGGGGGAGGGGTCTCCATCTCTCGGAGGTCTGTCTGTCTCTCACTCTTGAGCGTCTCTGACTCTGTCCCTCAGCCACATACCCCACTCCGGGGTCAGAGGTCAGAGCGGTACCTGCCAGCAGGTAACTGAGGCCCCGCACCGCCGTCTCCAGCTGGGCCGTGGCGGCCGGGTGGCGGGTCACGTACTCCTGGTAGCGCAGGCCCAGGAGCCGCAGCTTCTCCATCGCGCCTCGGGACTGGCGTGAGACCGGGACTGGGAACAGGGAGCAGCTGCCGCCGCGTCCTGCGCCCTACAGCCTACTTCCTGATTCCGGCCCTGATCCCGCCTTATTTCCGCCCGGCCAAGTTCCCGCCCCTTAAGGTCGTCCTTGGCAACGGCCTGCCCGGGCCCTCCCGCTCAACCCCGCCACTTCATTGGTCCCAATGCTCCAGAGGGCCGTCCAACCAGGATCCTGCCCGGCCACGCTCTACCGCCTTTTGGCAGAATTGGCTCTGCGCCTGCGTGGATCCGTAGGGCTTGGGGGGCAGCCCGAGCAGTTGCTTCCAGAGAAGGGAGGAGGAAGCTCGTTCCTTTCGACAGGTGGACTAAGCCAATCGAACGCCGAGAGGGTCGAGTGGAAGGACAGGATTTAAAGGGCTACGCTGCTGGGGGGCCGGCAGACCTGGCCCGAAGTAGCCGGCGGGAGCGAGGTCGGGCTGGGGGCGGCCGAGCTTTTGGCAAGGTTTTCCCTCGGTTTCCTCTGGGGCTCCTCTCCTTCCCTCATGGGAGGGAAGGTGTGTCATTGGGGGAAACTGAGGCACAGGGCCTGGGGGACCCAACCGTCCTGCCCCGCCCCAGCCCAGGCTCTGACGCCAGCCGGTCCCTGCCCGTCCCGGGTCCGAGCAGCCCCGGCAGCAGCAGCCCCAGGAGGGCACTGCCCGCCCGTGGGCGCGGATAATCCGCCGCCACTGAGCCCTCCCAGCCCAGGGAAGCTCGGAGTCCTCCGAAACCTCACCTCTTCGCGGGCTTTGTGGGGGTCCTGGCCCACCAAGTCTATACTGGACCCCCGGGAAACTGCCGCCTTTCTTAGGAGGGCTCCCTAAGGCAGGAGCTTGGAGTGAGCGGGAGCCGACTAGAAGTTTCATGTCGGGGTCATAGAAAGAGCCGTAGGGTTAGAGTCAGGAGCGCTGGGTTCAAGTTCTGACTCTTCACCTTGAAATCACTGGTTTTAGAGCTGGAAGGTCCCATCAGATGGGAAACAGGCCCCAGAAAAATTTAGTGACTCGCCCAAGATCACCCTGCTAGTAATGATAGCACTGTCCTCTGACTCCGAATCTGGCACCCTTCTCCAGCTCTATGACCTCTCTCTACTGGTTACATCCGCGGAGAAGTCACTCCTTTCTCCGGGCCTCAGTTTCCCCGTTCTACAAAGACGATCCCTAAGGCTGTGATTTCAAGAGCAAGACTGGTTTGAAGGTGGAGGGAGGGAGGAGAGAGGAAAAGAAGAGAAAGAGAAAGTCCAGCTGATTAGACAGAAGGAGGAAGAGGCTTTCCTCCCTTCGGAGGCAGGTGCCAGCAAGCCCTTGGCAGGGTGACGCTTAGGGACTGAGCTAGCCCTGGGAGGCCTGGGAGCGGGGGCACTGGGCTAGCTTAGGGACAGAGCTAGTGGGAGCTGGGGCACGTAGGACTAACTTGGTCACGCATCACTTAGCTTCTGGGGCTCAGATCTCTCTCTGTCTCTGTTTCTGTTTCCCACATCCCACCCCTTTCCCAGCCCTTCAGAGGATCCAAGTGCCCTCCTTACCCTCTTAAGGGTGTTTCACAGATCTAATGAGGTCATGGGTAAAGAGGTGCCTGAGAAGTCTAGGGTGCCAAGGACATTTTGAGACTTTTTTTAATTGTCTTTCTCCTTCCCTCAAGTAGCAGGGGGAGGAGTAAGAGAAGAAAACCAAGGGGAGGGAGCACAAGAAGGTGTGTGTGCGTGCGTGTGTGTGTGTGTGTGTGTGTGTGTGTGTGTATGTGGAGAGAGAGAGAGAGAGAGAGAGAGAGAGAGAGAGAGAGAGAGAGAGAGAGAGAGAGAGAGAGAGAGAGGAGAGAGAGAGAGAGGAGGGGGAGAGACAGATCTGTAAAGAAACTGCCCAGAGCCTATTGAATAGCATTTAGTAAGCCCCTCTAGTGTGCCAGGCACTAATGCCTTTGGTTCTCAAAGGCCCTTCCAGATACTTCATATATACTTTGTATCTCCTTATGTTGTTTACCCAAATGTTCCCATTACACTGGCTCCTGGGGATCAGGCACGAATTTTTTCTTTTGCCTTTCTTCAGATCTCCAGTGCTTAGAACCATGTGTGACACACAGTAAGGGCTTAATAAATATTGGTTGACCTGGCAGAATCTGGGAATCACAGAACTTGAGAATTCAACATTTATTAAGCATGTACTGTGTACCAGGCATTTCTTAAAGGGCCAGCTGTGGGCCAGACATTGTGTTGCGACTGAACCTGAGAATCACAGAGTCTGAAGGTTCAATTCAGCAAGCATTTATTAAGTGCCCACTGTATACCAGCCACAAGGCTAGGGCTGAACCTGTGAATCACAGCCCAAGAACCTTACAGTTAAAGAAGATCTCAGAGGTCATTCTAAGCCTCTTCTACCATTTACATTCGTAAAAAAAAAAGCCCTCTTTGTGCTCTGTTGGCTAAGGGGGTGTAGAGGGTGGGGTATAGTCGAGGAGCCAGGATCTCAGAATTAATTCCCCACCTCCTGGTGGGAGAGGGATTTGAATCAAAGGGCCTGAGCTCTGAGGAAGGACTGTCTCCTTCAGTCTCAGCTGGGCCAGCTAGGGGTGGGCTGGTGGAGGGAGGCCGATGGGAGAGCCTCAGGCCTTTCCAGGGAAGTCAGCCCCAGAAGCCAGACCTCTTGGTTTCCCCTCCCTGATCCCAGACTAGATAAGTGCCCCAGAGACAAAGAGCAGCTGTGTGCAGAGAGCCACGGGCTGGGCTGGGCGCCTGCCTGGGCACAACGACTTCTTGGCTCTTGCCCCAAGCTGGCACTGGCACTCCGTTAAACCTAGAATTGGAGGGGAGAGCAGAGGGAGGGAGGCTGGCCTTAAGCCTCTGGCCTGAAACTGACCTCCTTCCCTAAACTGAAGCCCTTCCCCACCTCCCCCAGCCCAGCCAGCTTATTGAGAGGCCAGCGCTTCTCTCTGGGCCTCAGTTTCTCCATCAGGTGAGAATGAGGGAGAAGGGAGTTGCTGTGTGAAAAAACTGTCAGGTAACTGTAAAGTCAGTGTTAAAGAGCCTCCCAGTTCTCTCTCAAGGGCCAAGAGCTGGGCCTCCCCTTGAGGGGAGGGGAAGGGCCCCACTCTGAGGTGCACATTCTGGCCAGGAGCCCACTCACCCCCGAAGGAAAGGGCAGGACCGTCTCCCCCAAGAGTAGTGATGTAGTGCCTGACCTTGGAGTCAGGAAGACTCGGGTTCCAGTGTTGCCTGCCATCCCCCTGCCTAAAGGGGGGAAGGAAGGATGTTCCCTTAGTGCCTGAGGCAGCTCTAAACCTGTAAGTTATGGTGGAGTTGCCAACCTGGGGAGGTAGAGGAAGTCTCCACACTGGAAATCCCCTCACCCTGATGGAATCCCAGGTCCAACCCATGCCAAGCCTCTCCAATGGGGTGCAGGTTGAGGGGCAGGGGAAGAGAATGTTTCAGGAGTGTAGGGAAAGCTCAGGGCTCAGGATGCCCCTGCCCCATCATTCCCATTTCCCCTGTCCCTCCAGTTTTCCCCTTGTGCCCTGGAGGGCCACCTAGAGACACTATTGTAACTTGAAAGGCACTGAGCTGTAGAGCTGGCAGGTGCTAACCTGCTCCATGGGCCTTTGACAAATCACAACTTCCCTGGGCCTCAGTTTCCCCATCCATGAAAATGGATGATATAAGAAATATCTTCCAGCTCTGACCTTTGTGTTCTTAGGTGTTTCCTGGCACTGACTTTCTGTTGTAATAAAAATAACTGACATGGATATTGCCTTTTAAGATTTACAAAGCACTTTTTCTACCTTATCTTCTTTGACTTCACAGCACACCTGTAAGATAAGTACCACAGGTGTTATTAGCACCACTTTTCTGAGGAAGAAACCGAGGCTTAGAGATATTAAATGACTTGTCCACAGTCACAGTGTCTGTGGCAGGATTTGAACCCAGATCTCCTTGACTCAAGGGCCAGAACTCTATCTCCATCACTAAAATGCCTTCATGTTCTGTGGTTCTAAGATCTTTTATATTCTAATATTTGTATGTTATGAATATATGTATTATTCATATATAGATGAATGCATTCTAACAATTCATCTTTTGTATTCTAAGGTTGCTTTCACTTCAACATTTTTTTTCTCACATCCTCTGGTCCAAAGTTCTTTCCATTTCAGATATTTTGTATTCTAAGGGCCCTCTAAGCTCTGACATTCCCTGTTCTGAAGCCCCTCCCAGCTCTGACATTCCCTGTTCTGAAGCCCCTCCCAGCTCTGACATTCCCTGTTCTGAAGCCCCTCCCAACTCTGACATTCCCTGTTCTGAAGCCCCTCCCAGCTCTGCCATTTCCTATTCTGAAGTCCCTCCCAGCTCTGACATTCCCCGTACTGAGGTCTGTTCTTAGGTCCTTCCCAGCTCTGACATTCCCTGTTCTATGTGCTAAGGTTCCTTCTGCTCTTATATTCTGTGTTCTATATTTGCCCCATATTCTACTGGGTTGGGGTGGGGGGAGACTGGAATGGAGCAGAATGACTACTCTGGGTAGACAGTGGTATAAAGAGGGAGAGACCTTGAGAGTCTATTAGGAACTGAATGCTGGCAGTACTCAACCAGGAACCTGAGAATGACCCCCACACATCCCCAGCTCTGGTCTCCTGCCCAGATCAGGATAATCTCATTCTATGAGCCTTGAGCTATACTTTGTCTAAGGGCACCCCAGCCCTAATGGCCTCCCAGGCTCATATGGTGCCAGGCCCCCAGACCTGAGATCTGTCCTCTCGGATGGGAGGTGAGAGATGTTTTGCTAAAGAAGGTCTTCATGCCCAGCCTGGTCCAGAGCTCTGGGAGATTGGGGTGGAGGCGGGGAACACTGGTTGGAGGAAGACTCTCAGATTCATGGGCTCCTGAGCCAGACCAAGGCAGGTCTCAATGTGTGCTGCCCCCCTTCCCCAGGCACCTCCCTGTCTCCTCTGAAGCCACAGCCACAATCTGAACAGGGGCAAGAAGGGCAGCACTGGGGAGAGACTTCTTCCCCCACCTGCCCTTCCTCCTTTTCGCCTCCTGCCTGAGGTCTGGCCAGGTTTCCAAGAGGGACAGGTGTCCCCACTCCCAAGTCCCCCCCCACCCCCTCCCCGGCAGGACTGGGACACAGTTCAGTGGAATCCACATTCCTTTCTAGGCTGTGGCCTCCACCCCCATCCTCTCCGCCCCCCGCCCCCCCCACCTTTCACATGCAAACTCTGCTCCTGTCCAGTAATTTCCCTGCCTCCCCAGCCTGTCTCCTTTGATCCCTTTGGCCGGGGTCAGCAGGCCCCAAGAGGCCCCGCCCCCTTGCCTGTTTGAGGGGGGGATTGGGAAAGAGCCCGAGAGCTGCGGACTGGATCTTTTGTGCCTGCGAGCCAGGGTAGGGGGTAGATTGCCTTCGCCCAGCCGCCCCCCCTTCCCCAGCTGCCTAGCTTGAAGCCTGTGAGCTGTGAGATTTGGTGGGCACGGGGAGAAAACTAGCCCGAAGAAGTGTGTTGAGTTGAAACCAGGTAAATGGGAGGGGGGAGGGGGCACTTCCTGGGTGGTCTTCCAGGGAGTTGCATTCCGCAGCTGGGCCGTCCCCCTGACTGAAGCGGGGTGCATTCATGCTCCCCGCACCTTTCCAAGTTAGAGTGGGGGGGGAGTTCCTGATCCCCAAGCCTCGAGCTAATCGGACCCTCCCCCCTTCCCTGTTCCAGGCTGAGCAGAGCGGAGTCGAGGTGAAACTTGAGTCAAGGTGGCTGGGCGGGCAGGCAGGGCGGGAGGCGGGGCAGGATCCTGCCTGGACGGGCTGAGCGCTTTCAGGAAGAATCGGTGGTGCGGCCGGGCGGGCCAGGCCGGACGGGGCAGGACAGGGAACGAGTGGCGCAGGTGAGAGCGGGAGGGCGCCTCACAGAAGGGCCAGCAGGGCGGGCCAGTGCTGCCTCGACGGGGCGGCCGCGGCCGCGGCACTGGGCAGCCCCAGCCCCAGCCCCAGCCCCAGGCTCGCTCCTGCCTCCCTCTCTCCCCTGGGTCTAGGATGCCGCCTGCTGCCCCGGGCCGGGCCGTCCCGCCCTGAGCTGGCCATGCTGCCCCGGTGGCGGGGGCGGCTGAAGGCGCTAGGGGCCAGTCTCCTGCTGCTGCTCCTGCTGCTGCTGCTGCTGTCCGGCCTCTACCTGCTCAGCGGGGACCTGGCGTGTGAGTGGTCAGCGGGCCAACGGGAGGAGGGCTGCTCTCCAGCCAGGACCCCGACGCCGACCCCGTGTTTCCCTGCTCCCCTGCAGATGGCCGCCTGCTACTGCCTTCCCCTTGCTCCAGAGGGGCCCTTTCGGGACTGGGGGCTCAGGTTAGGGCTGTGGAGGAGGAGAATCGGCAGCTTCGGGAGGAGCTCCGGCGCTGGGGGGCCCCGGGGAGACTTCCCTCGGAGCGCAGCGGAGAGCGCGACCTGACGTGGGGCCGCACGGCCTGTGGTCAGCAGCCCACAGTAGGGAAATGCGAGGTGAGCCGAACCCCCGGAGCCCAACAGATGTTACAGCGAGGACCTGTCCTAGCGGCCCACCCTAAGCCACCTGCCCAGACTCGCCCACTAACTCGACAGGGGGTCGTGCCCTGTGGGAGAGAAGCAAGAGACCCTTGGAATTAGTTCGCTGGGCCACTCGGGCCAGATCACTTACCTCCTCTGGCCACCCCGTCCTAGTGGGTAACCAGGGGGCTGTCCCAGATCAGGGATTCCTAACCCTGGGGCCCATGGATAGATTTCAGGGGGTGTGGGAACTTGGGTGGGAAAAGTTACACCTTTATTTTAACTCACTTTGGGGTCCTTTTGTAATCATTTTATAAATTTAAAAACATTATTTTGAGGAGTTCCTAGACTTTACCAGCCTGCACGCAAGGTTAAGAGCCTAAGGCCTCTAAGGACCCTTCTGGCTGAGACTTTCTGTGATTCTGAGATAGTATCTTTTTCCATTCCCCTTCTCTCAGTCACTCAAACTAGTCTCACCAGTCTCCCAAATATGCCACTGAAGCCTCCAAGCTCATCTTTGCCCCATTACTCCCCAGTTCCCACTGCTGTCTTGGGAGGCAGGAGCTCACTGGTTGGGAGTCAGAGGACCTGAGGCTAAATCTCAGCTCTAAAACTTACCATCTGTTGTAACTTCTCTGGGCCTCAGTTTCCTCATCCGTCAAATGAGGGGTTTGAACGAGATGACCTCTGAGCACCTCCCCCCCCCAGCCTAGTAGGGGAGGCTTGCCTGAGGGACCAGGTGGGAGGGGTGCATAGGACCTGGGGTGCATCTCTCCTCTTCACCCCCGACCCGCCAGCTCCTGCATGTGGCCATCGTGTGTGCCGGGCACAACTCCAGCCGTGATGTGGTCACTCTGGTCAAGTCCATCCTCTTCCACAGGTACCTCCCCTTCCCCACCCCACTCCCCAAAGTCCTGGGACCCCTGCCAGTAAAGATAGTGGGAGCAGCTTAATGCTGGTAAGGTTACAAATTGATTTCCTCCCGGAAGCCTGGGGGGCTAAGGCTAGTCCAAGCAGGGTTGGGCTGGCAGCTACCTGGTGCCTCTCAGCCAGACTCCCCCCACTTCCCATCCCCAGGAAGAACCCTCTGCACTTCCATCTGGTAACGGATGCTGTGGCCCGAAACATCCTGGAAACCCTCTTCCACACTTGGATGGTGCCCTCTGTCTTCATTAGCTTCTACAATGCTGATGAGCTCAAGGTAGGGAGCCCTGATCCTGCCCCCTCCCTGCCCCAGTATTAGCTGCACTCCCTTGCAATCTGATCAGCGTTTTGAACTGCCTGCCCCATTCAGGGAGGTACAAAGAAGAAACAAAAAATGGCTCTTGTCCCCTGGGTGCTGCCTCCTCCCCCCAGCTGGAGCTTTCTCTTCCTCTTCCCAAGTCCTGGGCTCTTCCTTTACCATCCCCAGTGGCCAGCAGCCTGGGCCTGGCCCTGGCCCTGGCCACGTTTCTTGGGGGCAGTGTGGTGTAATGATTTTGATGAGAGTGCACCTGACTCTGCCTACTAAGCTAGCTGGGTGACCTTGGACACATCATCCAATGGGCTCCCAGACTTAGGAGCAGAAAAGGACCTCGGGGATCGGCCAGTCCTCCCTGCCCCAACCCTCCCCACCTTGTTGGAAGGCGGGGGGAGTGAGCCCCAAGGGGTTGAGGGACTGACCTGGTGTAAATCACCCCGCAGCAGAGAGGGCATTCTGAGCTGAGCGGGACCCCCCAGTCAAGTGCCCTTCCTGTTGTACCTTGTTTCATCTTGTCAGTCAGTGCTGGGGTAGAGTAACACAGTTCAGCCCCACAGGTGACCCCAAATCCTTGTCCTTCAGGATGGTCTCAGAAAAGAAGTGTCTGGTTTTCCAGAATCAGGCAGGCCAGCAGCGTTGTCTCCTGTCTCTCTTCTCCAGCCCTCCCCTCCTTGTCCAGGAGGCCTACCCTCCACCCTCCTCTTTTTTTTTCTTTTTATTTATTTTTCAACACTCACTTTGATAAGATCTTGAGTTCCAATTTTTTTTCTCCTTCTCTGCCTCCCCAAGATGGCAAGCAATCTGATACAGGCTATACGTGTACAATCCTATTAAACATTTCCACATTAGTTGTGAAAGAAGAATCAGAACCAAAGGGAAAAACCATGAGAAAAAAAGGAGAGAGAAAATGGTACTCTTGGATGTGCATTCAGACTCCCTAGTTCATCCATCCTCTTTTCTCTCCTTAGCTTCGGCACAGTGATTCCCCTCACTGGGCCTCCATTGAATGAAGAGACCTTTGGTCCCTTGCTGATCCGGCAGCCTCTGGGCTCCAGGTCAGGAAGGGAGAAGTGGGCTTGTACCTGCCCCCTGCGACTCATCTCATCCCCTCTCCCCTATAGCCTGAGGTTGCCTGGATCCCCAATAAGCACTACTCAGGCATCTACGGACTCTTGAAGCTGACCCTCCCCCATGCGCTGCCCCCCACCCTGACCCGTGTCATCGTCCTCGACACTGATATCACATTTGCTTCTGACATCGCTGACCTGTGGGCTGTCTTTGCCCAATTCTCAGGTGGGGAGCCTGGCAGCCTGAGGTCCTTGTTCCCTTGCCCTTCCTACCGTCCAAGACCTCTGACCAAGTGCCCTGTGATACCCCTCTTCTCCATGGCCTCTTCCCCCTCCCCCCAACCCCCACATATAACGTTGGACATCTTGGACCCCAGTACCAGGAGGAAAGGGGAGGAGTCTAGCCCTGCCTTTGAACAGGGGCCAGTGGTAGTAGGGTATGGTTCCTGCCTCCTCCATTTCCTTCCCTGCTTTCTTTTCCTCCCAGACAAGCAGGTGATTGGGTTGGTGGAAAACCAGAGTGACTGGTACCTAGGGAATCTCTGGAAGAACCACCGACCCTGGCCTGCCTTAGGCCGTGGCTTCAACACAGGTAAGGCCTTCCTGTGTCTGGGCCTCAGTCTTGTCATATGAAAGAATGGGATATAATTTTCACACTTCCCTGCCTCATTTAAATATCACTGAAACATGAGCTGCTGTTGTTATTAGGGTACCACATATGGGTACCATAGGACCTAATGGGAAGGACAGGAGGGGTCGGAGGTTTTGGAAATCCCCCAGCCTGAGTGCCTTCCACAGGGGTGATCCTTCTGCATCTGGATCGACTGAGGCAGGTGGGCTGGGAGCAGATGTGGAGGCTGACCGCTGAACGAGAGCTGCTGACCATGTTGGCCACCTCTCTGGCTGACCAGGTAGGGAACAGCCCCTGGGCTTGGGCTCCAGGCTGATGGTGAGGTGGGGGTGGGGGCGGGCTCAGGGTGTCACTGCTGCCTTTCAGGACATTTTCAATGCTGTAATCAAGCAACACCCTTGGTTGGTGAATCCTCTGCCATGTTCCTGGAACGTGCAGCTTTCAGACCACACCCGGGCTGAGCAATGCTACTCGGAGGCGTCTGACCTCAAGGTGAGTGCCTCGGTCCGGGGGGCCCCCCCTAGGGGCATTAATGGGCAGGACTCCAGGGCCTCACCTTCTCTCCTGCCTTCCTCTCCCAAGGTGATTCACTGGAACTCACCAAAGAAGCTTGGGGTTAAGAATAAGCATGTAGAATTCTTCCGAAATCTCTACCAGACCTTCTTGGAATATGACGGGAATCTGCTGCGGAGAGAGCTCTTTGGCTGCATTAGTGGTCCCCAGACCGAGCCGGGCCAGGTGAGACCCGCTCCCCCCCCCCACTCTCCCTAACTAGGGGAGACAAGCACCCTCCTCGGGGCTGGGGGAGGGGAAGGAGGCAGACACTAGCTTCCCACTTGAGAAGGCACTCCCCCACTTCTGACCTGGCAGGGAGGATATCCCCCCAACCTCAGGGAGGTCCATGCTCAGTACTTTTTCCCCAACACCTCCTAGACAAGGCAAGCGCTGGTGGAGCTGGAGGAGGATGATGCCTGCTACGAATTCCGTCGGCAGCAGCTCGCCATCCACCGTGTCCACCTCACCTTCTTGCCCTATGACCCTCCTGCCCCCCACCCCCATGATGTCACCCTGGTAGCCCAGCTGTCCATGGACCGGTACGGGAGGTGGGGAAGGCGAGGGGCTGATAGAGGAGACGGAAGAATGGGGTTGGGTAGAGGGTTAAGGAACAGGAGGGGCTGGGCAGCCATCCATCTCTGTGGGACTGATTTCCCTCTGGCTTCCCAAGATTGCAGATGTTGGAGGCCCTCTGCCGCCACTGGCCGGGCCCCATGAGCCTGGCCCTGTACCTGTCGGATGCGGAAGCCCAGCAGTTCCTGCACTTTGCACAGGCCTCCGAGGTGCTGTCTGCCCGGCGGGATGTGGCCTACCACATTGTGTACCGAGAAGGGCCCCTCTACCCCGTCAACCTGCTTCGGAACGTGGCTCTGGGCCAGGCCCACACTCCCTATGTCTTCCTCAGTGACATCGACTTTTTGCCAGCCTACTCCCTCTATGACTACCTCAGGTATCAGCCCCTTCTGGACTCCTCATCTTGGGGAAGATGAGGCAGGAGAGCAGTGAGGAGCTAGGCGAAGGGGCTTCAGGGGCCCTTCCAGCTCTTCATAGTTCCATGATTCCAAGAGTCTGGTTACACTGGGGGCCTCGAGGATGGGAGAGAAGGGGTTTTTGATAGTAGGGAGGCTGGGGCTGAGATTCTACGGCTGTACGGTGCTTTAGGGCTACAGAGCATCTCAGACGTGTGGTCATGGTGTTTGATGATGCTGGGCTGGGGTGATATGATGCCTGTTTTCTAGATGCTGAAACAGGCTCAGGAAAGGGAGTGACTTGCGCAGTCACACAGCTGGCTAGGTTCTGAGTCCTGGCTCTTTTTGGAAAACACGTTTTAATTGATTTAGCCTTTAGTCTTTATACCAGTGATTTCCTGTCACTTGGAAGGTCGTGTTCCCCAGTCTTTATTCCACTGAGACTGTCTACTTTTTGCTGCTACCTCACACCCTGCGAGGGCTGTCCTTTCCTGGGGTGGAGGGTGTCTCCCCTCTCATGTCTCTTCTTCCTCCAGGACCTCCATCAAGGAGCTGGGCCTGGCCACCCGCAAAGCTGCTCTGGTGGTGCCAGCCTTTGAGACCCTTCGCTATCGACTGAGCTTCCCCACCTCCAAGACTGAGCTGCTGTCCCTGCTGGATGCCGGCTCCCTCTACACCTTCAGGTGAGACCCCTCCCCTCCCATTCCCCTCCACCCCATCTGTGACAGCTAAGTGTGACCCGTGTGTCTCCTGGGCCTCCCAGGTACCATGTCTGGCCCCGAGGGCACGAGCCCACTGACTATACCCGTTGGCGGGAGGCCCAGGCTCCCTATCGCGTGGAGTGGGCAGCTGACTATGAGCCCTACGTGGTGGTCCCCCGGGACTGCCCGCGCTATGATCCCCGGTTCGTGGGCTTTGGCTGGAACAAGGTGGCCCACATAATGGAGCTGGATGCACAGGTAGGTGGGAGAGGTGAGCCTGGATCCTTCCTCCCTCCCTCCCCTCAGACCTATCCCACCCAGCCAGACGTGGGACCCCTTAGACTCTGTGATGTCTGAGCTGGAATGGCCTTTCAAACCCCTCATTTTACAGATGAGAACCCCAAAGGGCAGGCGCAGTGGCCAAGAGGAAGGAGAGGCAGGCTCCTGACCTCTGGCCTTGTGGGTTCTCCACTATCCCCTTGGGCCATGGCCCTCTCTACCTCATCTGCAGGAGTATGAGTTCTTGGTTCTGCCCGAGGCCTTTGCCATCCACTTGCCCCACGCGCCCAGCCTTGACATCTCCAGGTTCCGCTCCAGCCCCACTTATCGCCGGTGCCTCTGGGCCCTCAAGGATGAATTCCACCAGGACCTGTCCCGCCGCTATGGCTCGGCTGCCCTCAAGTATCTCACAGCCCAGCGGCAGCTCTGAGGGGGGTCTCCTGGCAGTACCCTTTCAGGACGGGATCCTCTTCCTGAGCCTGAGGGGGTCACCTTCCCCTCTGAGAGGGGCTGGGTAGGGTCCTGGGTATTTTGGCTGCCCAGGGGAGGGTTTGGAGGCTGGGGGGGTCCCTCAGGAAGGACTCCAGACTAGACGCTCCAGACACTGGAATGAGGCCTTGGGTCCTGGGGTCTCTACTTAAGTTATTTAAGGTGATTTGGGTGGCTCTGAGGCTGGGTGGGAGGGGAGTTGTTGGCGTTTGAGGGGTTGTTACTGCAGCTCTCACTGTCATGATGTCCAACCTCACTGCCACCAGCCATGATGGGGCTGGCCTCCCCACTCTGTGCTGGACTTTTGTAATTAAAGCAGCTTTTTTATTCTTTTCGCGTCTTCTGATTTCTTGGGATCAGAGGGCTCTGTGGGGAAAGTGTGGGGCGGGGGGCGGGGTAGGCAGAGGCAGGGAGGAGTCACCAAGACCCCAGGCACAATTATGTAACCACAGAGAATCTGAGAGTTTGGAGGGGACCTCCAGCCTCTACCATAGGAGTCCCTCCCCACCTGAGCCCAGTAACCCACAAGTGGTCTTGTGACCTGTCTGAGGGCTTCCAGCCGAGGTGGTAGGATGGCGCTGGAGGCTGGATCTGGAGTCAAAGGATGAGGGTGTGAATCCTAGCTTTGCACTTAGTCCCAGGGTGTGACTGGGGGGCAAGTCTGGGCCTCAGTTTCCTCATCTGTAAAATGAGGAGATTAGGCTAGCTAGTTCCTTACAACTCTAAAACGGGGATCCTGGTTCTGCCCGAGTGCCACGCCTCCCCTTCTCCAAGCCCTTCAAATACCCTAACGCAACTCTCTTGAGTGTTCTCCAGTGCCTTCAACTATCTTCTTTAGCCTTTGATTAGAGGTGCCTGGACTGGCCCAGAAGCCAACCCCACCCCACCCCCAAACCTGGTGCCCAAAGGGCAAAGCAGCCCAGACTGAGACAAGCAAACAGACCGCTTGGAGAAGAGTGAAAGGAAGAGGGCAGGGGCATCTTTGGCTCCCCTCACCCCAAACCCCAACATAGTGAGGCCAACACCAGACTTCATTTTGTTTTATTTAGTAAAGTGTAAAAATAAATACAAATTTATCAGCTGCCTTCTGCCCTCCCCCCTCCCCTCCACAAAAACCCAACCCCCAACAAAATACTTTTAACCTAAAAACCTACTTGGGGGTTCCACAGAGACTGAAATCACAAGGGCTCAGAAGTCAGAGAGAGGGCCGAGAATGAATGTGGCGACTCCCCACCGCCAAGTCATATTCCCACCTCTGCCCCAAAGTCAGATTTTTAACATCCGTCCCCAGCTCGGCCTTTTGCACGTTCAGAGGCCAAGGCTGGGGAAGGGGAACTGGAGGAGATGACGAGGCCAATCATGGTGGCCTTGCTGGAGGAAGCACATCACCCTGGGCAAGTCATTTCATAGGAACATGCCTTGGCTTCCTCATCCTCAGGAAGAAATGGCCGGCCTGGCTGGCTGGTCTTCTAGGGGTCCCATCCAGCTCAATATCACATGATCCCTTAAGACTGGCGGCCAGGATGCATTGCAGGGAGAGGGGTCCCTGTGCTAGATGAGGGAAGAGAGTATTCTACAGCCCAGGGAACCAGGGCTATTCAGAAGACCACTTTACGCCCTTTCTAAATTACAAAAAAATAAAAATTGTCACCATGCATCCACTCTGTTGGGATTCGGGGATGGGGAGAAGGTATCCCACGGCCTCCTCTCCCTTCACTTTACAGCTGGTGAGTGGATCATCAGCAAGAATGAGGATTCCCTCGCAGATGACCACAAACAACTCAGGAGAGCTTGCCCATTTGTGGGTCAGGCTCAGATTCTTTTAATCTCCCCTGGGGCCATCTTCCCAAGGATTCCTGATGACTTAGGGATTTAGTGTGGGCTCACTTTGAAAGCCTGGCCTCTCTCTGTAGCCAGATGTTGAGGCAGGGCTAAGCCACCATGTTCTACCGAGCATTCCATAAGAAGCGACTCTTCCAGATGTTTCTTGCATCCTTTCTTGCCTTAGACCTGGTGGAGGGCCCCTTTTCCTGTGTCCCTTCTACAGTGGGCAGGCTTGAGGGCCTGCCTGGAATCAAGGCACTGTGGACAAGCAGAAAACTGATGAAATCTAAGTGAGAGGCAAAAGCCCTAGAATGGGGTTGGAGAGAGCTGGAGAGCCTGCTGGGGTGACCCACTGATGGAGGTGACCAGCAGCAGAGGGAGCAAACTGCCCATCAGTAAAGGGCTTTGGCGGCTACTGGGTGACACCAGAGAAATGCTAGAAATGTTCTTGGAGGGTAACTGACTGATCACCCAGCAGAGCCAGGACTAGATGTCTTGAAAGGCAATGAGTAAGGGGAGGCATCAGAATAAATCAACCTTCTGGGGATGAAGAGGAAGGGGAAGGGGGAAGGTGAGACAAGGTGGAACTGGAAGAAAGAGAAAGGTCTGGGGGCTTAAAACCAGGAGAGCCCTCCAGGCAGTAAGAATAACTGGGCTAGAGTAGAGGGCCTCCCGAAGGTGGAGGCAGCTGGGCGGAAACAAGACATCACTGCCCCAAGGCTGTCTATCTGAAGCTCAGCACCTTCACTTGGGAGTCCTGCCCCGGCTTGTAAGGGCCCCTGAGGACAGATTCCCTCCCACACCAACCCAGTCCGTTTATCCAGGTCTTTACCCCCCTCTTCCTTGCAATTTCTGATGCAAGAGGAGACAGATATCCTAGACCTAGGGGACTGTCCCAGCTGAGGGAGGGACGCAGCAGCCAACTGCAGAAGAGGAGGAGAGACAAGTCTGCAGGAGGGTTGGCAGAAGGCAGAGGATGAGAAGCAGGGAGGTGGGGGTCTGAGGAAGAGGCCGAGAGGGTGAGCGGCTACCTCCCCAAGTCCTGAAGCCACAAGTTTAGGCTTGTGGGGGGATGCAGGTGGGGAGGGGACTTACTGATGCTCACTGGTCTTTCTGACAGCGGAGTGGCATTCTAGGACCTCAGTGCATCCTTCTGCTTGTAACTTGTGCTATATTTACACTTAGGAAAGAGACAGCTTGGGGATGATTTCACGTCCTAGTCTGCACCTGGCTTATATCCCATCTGGCCTATCCCATTCTGAGAGTACTTTTGAAATTTCCCAATGCCTTCCTCCCCACGGAGCACTCCCTCCCAACACCTTTCTCCTCTCTCGGAGCAAAGGCTCCGAGACACGGGTTCCAATTTTGCAGCTACTTTTAAAGAATGATAATAGACACTCTTGAGTAGCTCAACACACCCAGGCAAGGCAGAAAGAGCCCCTGTCACAGGGATGGGGGAGAGAGCACAGCTGGTCTGCCAGCTATTCAGCCAACTATTTCCGGACAAGCCTGGGCTGATCCCAAAGCTCCCTCATTTCTAGGGGAAGGGATGGCCTGGGTCTCCATGACCTCAGCTTCGGAGCTGGGTGGGGATCCCTTCGTCCTCCTCGCCCCATCCCTACCAGGTGCTGACTTTGAGCCTGAAATATGGCACTAAGGCCCTCTGTCTCCAACCCTTCCTCTGAAGCTTCTGGGGAGATGGGCAAGGGTTCAGGATACAGATGAGACACGGATTTCAATGTTGACGTCGAATTTCACCAGAAGGATATTTTTAACACTGCCTCTGCCCCCTTGCAAGTGGGAGGGAATGGCTCTGGCTAACAGTTTTTCTTGGACATGACTGGGGGTCCAGCTGCTGCCTGCAGTCGGAGGTGGGGCAGCAGGAGGGTGAGGAAAGATGACCCACCAGGTTCCCACGTGGGGAATTCTTAACCTGGTAGGGATGTCTCTCTTCTGCTGGGCAGCCAGAGGAAGCCTGCTGTAGGAAAGCTCTCCAGATGCACACAAAGCTGACTCAGCTCCAGGGACGGGGGGGCTGCACTGGTCCAGGGCACCGATTCCCTTCCCCAAGGAGAGACACTCAAAGTGTCTGTCCACCAAGTAACTACCACGGTTTTCTCAGAAAGGGAAGAAGCAAAGACTAGAACTAAAAAAGCAACATAAAACCAATGCCAAATGATTTGGCCAAGACCTGTCTGGGAAGACAGCAGCAGAGAATCCATTGCTTTTCTCTACCTGGGATCCAACATGGATGGAGACTCTCTGAAAAGGCAGGTGGGTAGCCTCTTCTCCCTGGCACTCTGCGGGGCACCAGGGGTGGATGTGGTCACCTGAGGGGAGAGTAGGCCTAGCCACCCTTTCAGTGCCCTTGCTGAGGGAGCTCCAGGGCCCCTGGGGGAAACACTTGGAGACGGGTTCTCTTTTGCCTCCAATCATCAGTGAGAGCAAGAGATGGATGGTCCCTTCGGAGAAGGGAGAGATAGAGGGAGGGGGGATTGAGTGTGTACCCCAGACTCAGGGTATGAAGGCTCTAACTCATCTGCCTAGAAACACGCCCACAGCAGAGCGGCCTCATGAGCAGCAGATGCTGGGCTCAAAAATTAGAACTACACAGTCTTCTCCAGTTCTGACGCCTTTTTAATAGAAATCACTGTTTTTAGGAAACAAATAGCACTTGTGTAAATTTTTTTTTTACAATGTTTCTTACCTTGATCTTAATTTAAGTAACACTAGGAAGACCTCAATAGCTTTTATTTTCCTTTTTAATTTAAAAAAAAGTTGTTGTCGTTTTTCCCCAAGATACAAAGATTTTGCCCTTGCATAAAAAAACAGTGCCCGAAACGATGACACGAGGACTCACAAAGACTCACTGCATCTCACTGACACTAGGACTCCTAATCTATACCATGCAAGGTCTCATCTACCCCGTAATTGGACTGTCAGCCTGAAAAACAGCGCTTCTATTCCGTATTTTAGTTTTTGTTACAAAAAAAGTAAAAGAAACATTTTAAAAAAAAAGAAAAGAAAAAAAAGAAATGTCTCTGTTAAGTTTCACACATCTGGGCTGTGGGGTGCTTTGCTCAGGCTCTTTTCCGCTTTATAAATATAGAGAAGGGATGGAGCTCTGTTTTCAAGTAAAATCACCCATCTGCCTTTTTCCTCGGGCCTCCAATATCCCCGGCAGTGGCCCCAGGCACCGGACTTTGGGGGCCCCCTGCTCTGCTCACACCCCCCCACCCCAGAAAGTGCAGCTGGCCCCGGGGCAGATCCAGGGCCAGCTCATTCACCAAAGCGCTCAGGGCTGCTCTGGAAAGATTGGGGGGAGCCTGAGGTGGTGGGGGTGGGGATCACCCGCCAAGGTGGGAGCTGGGTGCTCAGGGAGAAATAGACCTGGGAGCCGCTTGCCGTGGCCATCTCCTGGCACCCGTCCCCTCTCCCTCTGCCACTGATATTAAATACTGCTTATTTGATATACTTTTCCCACCCTTGCGCCCACCCCCTCCCCACCCTCCCCTGCCCTCCCCGCCCCTTCTGGGCACTGCGATTGCTTAAATCTGGATTTCCTTTTTTTGTTGTTTTTGGTTTTACAGTCGTGAGAGTTTAGAAACAGGAAAGCCCACACACTCTTTGGACTTCTTTTCCCCACCTAAACCAACTGCTCAGCGAATAAGGATCTGAAACCTTCTCTCCTCTTCTTCCCTGCTCCCCAGCCCAGCCCAACCCAACCCAACCCCGCGTGGCTGTGGAGGCTGCTGCAGGCACACACTGGTGTAGAATAGAGAGAGTAAATATATATTTCACTTGGCACGGTGCTGGCAAAGCACCCCCAGCTGGCACTGTTTCATGTGATGCGGTCCAGACTTTGCACGTACACACAGAATAAGGAGGATCGATTGGCAAACTCCGGCACCACCTGGCACAAGCATCTTCTCTCTCTGGAGCCAAAGCTTTAACCAAAGGAATCCTGCCCTTCCCAGAAGAAACCCGGCTCGGCTTTTCTGGCGTTCTCGGGTCCCACTGCCAGCCCCTCGGCTGGGCCCCGTTATTTAGTCTCTTCACCCTTGTTACAGTTCACTGTGCAGCTCGGCGAGGGCGCGGGCACCGGCGTGGAGGGTGCCGCGGGCGCGGGGGGCGTGCAGTCTGGGCCGTTGGGCACGGCCGCCAAGCCAGCCTCAGAGTTCATGGGCTTGGACAGGTCGATGCCGTGGATGAGGCGTATCAGCTGCTTGACCTTCTCCAGGGAGCTGTGCATCTCCTTCTGCCTCGCCAGAATGGTGTTCTTCATTTCCATGCATTTCTGTAGCAAAAGAAGGAAGAGGGCAGGGGCACTGAGTGGTCGGTCCTTGGTCCCCCGCTCAGGGGTGGGGGGTGGGGGTGGGAGGAGGCGAGCAGGCCACTGGAGAGAAGGGCTCAGGGGCAGCCACCAGAAAGCCATTTTTCTAACAACATGCCCTGTGGCAGGGAGCATCTTTAGGCCTGTGCTTCAGAGCCAGCGAGAGGGCTAAAGAAGAGGGAGAGAGAGAGGGAGGCAGAGACAGACAGACAGAGAGAGGGGGGTAGAGAGGGGGAGAAAGACAGAGATAGGAGAGACAGACAGAGAGACAGAGAGAGGGGGAGACAGATTCAGGAGAGAGAGACAGACAGACAGACAGACACAGAGAGAGAGAGAGAGAGAGAGAGAGAGAGAGAGAGAGAGAGAGAGAGAGAGAGAGAGAGAGAGAGAGAGAGAGAGAGAGACTCTGTGTGTGTGTGTGTGTGTGTGTGTGTGTGTGTTGGGGAGGGTGTTCAGCCTATTTCTAAGCTCCCCTTCTCCCCCGCTTCCATCCAGTGAGCCTGGCCTCCACCCTGTTCTTCATACACAACTCCATCCATGGTTCTGGGCCCTCTCTCTGGCTGTCCCCAGACCTGGAACATTCTCCCACCTCTGCTCAGACTACTGAGTTCCCAGGCTTCCTTTAAGTCCCAGCTACAATCCACTTTCCCACCCCCTCTGAATTCCAGTGCATTCCCTCTGCTAATTATTTCCTATTTATCCAGTACACAGCTTGCTCTGTACATATTTGTTTGCATGCTGTCTCTGATCAGAATGTAATCCCCTCGTGGGCAGGAACAGTTTTTGGCCTTTTTTTTGGTATATGCACAATGCCTGGCACAAAGAATGTTCATTGGCTGAATGACTGTCAAAGGTTAAAGAGAGCTACGGAGAACCAGACTGAACCTGAAGGCACTCCAGGATCCGTGCCGGTCCCAGGCCAGCACAGCCTCCACCTGGCCATCAGAGTGCACGCGGCCTCTCTGTCTTTCCTGCCTCACTTTCTAGGCAGCCTCTAGTTCTGCTTCTGACAGGTGAACATGGGGCCACAATATGTGGCTAGGGGGAAGGGGGGGGAAAGTCCCTGAGCAGCCTGCTTCCCAGCATGGGCTAATTAATGGCTTTCCCGCCGTACCCCCCCATGCTGTAACACACATTCCCACACCCACACAGCTAAAGGCTGGAGGGGGCTGGTATGCTGCCCACCCCCCCAATCAAAGTCGGAAGAGGAGACCTCCGCAGACACGGTCCGGCCCGCCCCTGCTGGAGGAGCTGCTTTCCACCCTCCCCAGCAGGTCACACCCCAGGGTCCCCCTGAGGCACTCTCTGCCCTCTCCGGCTCCCACCACCGAGAAAGAGCTCCTCATTCTTCCTTTCAGAGCCAAGCAGACCAAACGGAGCCCCTGTTCTACGTGGTCAGTACTTGAGGATTGTCCATCCCCATGACCTTTCTCGACCAAAGCAGCCCAGTTCGACATTTGAGACCCTTCCCTATTCTGTGGGAGCCCTCTACATCAAGTCCCTAGAAGGGAATACCGCAGGGCGACAGTGGTCTGTCTGCCCACTGGGGCTGAGGGCAGCAAGGCCAGTCTCTCCTGGTGCTCCCTATGCCTTTCATAATACAGCCCAACATCCCAAGGAACTCTCTGGGCTGCCGAGCCAGACCTCATGGCTAGCTCACTAACAGCCAAGATGTTTGGGAGACAAAGTGCTTTCTAGCCACGCCTCACCCCCATCTTGCTCTTGTGACCCCGATTCTATGCCTCAAGGCAGCTGGGCGGTACAGTGGATAGAACTGGGACTGGAGTCAGGAAGACCTGAGTTCAGATATGATCTCCCATGTCCACCAGCTGTTTGACCCTGAGCAAGTCACTTAATTTCTGTCTGCCTCAATTTCCTCATTTATAAAATGGGGATAATAATAGCCCCTTCCTCCTGGAGTTGCTGAGAGTATCAAATGAATGGCTCTGCAAGCCATAAAATGCCACATAAATGCTTGCTATCATGTCATTACCATCAAGATCAAATCCCCTGTACGTCTCCCCCCGCTCCTTCTCTTCTCTGCTGTTCGGTAGAAGAGAAAAGAAGGCCCTCGCCAAGTCCAGCCTTTCCCTCTCCCTGGGCCCTCGGTCCAATCCCCATCACCCCTCTCTCCCCTGCACAGACGGCTTCTTCACTGCTTCGGGCGCCCTCTCTCTCTAATCCGGAATATCTGCTGCTTCCTCCTTTGCTGTTGTAAACATGCCCAGATCCCCTCACGTGCAGTTCACCCCCCTCCTGATCCCCAGACCCTCCCGTGCTGTCCTCTTCTCTCTCCTCAGACACCCAGACTCCTAGAAAAGTGAGGCGGCCCTCCGTGCTTGAACTTCACTCCTCGCTCGTTTCTTGACTTCCTACAGCCTGCTCTGGTCACGGTGACGGATGGCCCCTGACTTGTTCAGTCCAGTCTTCATCCAGGCCTGAGCCTCTCAGACAGTGAGAATCATCCCCGCACCCTGCAGCTCCTTCTCCCCTGAGATTTGGGTTGTACTAGTCTCTCTCATCCGTACACCCCTACTACACGTGGATGCGTACTAAATATAGTCTTTGTGATCCTTCTTCTGTTCTCTCTTGGAGACCTCATTAGCTCTCCTGAGTTCAACAATCACATTCGAGTAGATGACCCCAAAACTTACATTTCAAGAATGCTTGTTAAATTACCCTAATACTAATATTTTTTTAACCCAAGTATGACACTTCACATTTGACCCTACTAACTTCTATTTTATTCGATTAGTTCCAACATTCTGAGCCTGTCAAGACTTTGTTTTCACCTAGATTCTTTCAGCATCAGTGCTCAGCCCTCCCAATTCTGTATCCTCTCCAAATCTGATCTTTGCCTGGTATCCAAGAGAATGGCACAAATGTCAGAGGGCGCAGGGCTAAGCCCAACGTCCCTGGGGAGGCCTCCTGCCAAGCTGACAGCAGACCATTAATGACTGCACCTTGGCTATAGTCATTAGATCAGTTCTGTATCCACCTACCTGTCGTAACACTGGGCCACATCTTTCTCTCTCTTCTCTAAGGAGAAATACTATACGTTTATGTTTTGCTCAAGTTTAGGTAAACACCATCAACAGGATTCCTCTGAACTACCGAATCAGTAACTTGGCCAAAGGAGACGCTTGAAGAAGCCATGTTTGCTCTCTGCGCTTACTGTTTCCTCTCCTAGAGGCCCACTGACCATCTCTCTAACAGTGTGTTCTAGAATTTTGGCAGGAATTGAAGCGGAACTTGGCTTACATAGTTTGTGAGCTCCATTTTCTTTCCTTTTTAAAAAAAAATTAGCATTTATTAAGTGCCTACTATGTGCCAGGCACTGTGCTAAGCATTTTATAAATATTATATTACTAGTTTCTCACCACTGAGTTAGGTGCATTTATTATTACATTTATATATGATTTATTTTAAATATATAAATATATACATATATACAAAAAGTATATAAATAATACACAGTTTATTTTAAAATTAAGGAAACAGGCTCAGAGAGCTTTAGTGACTTGCCCAGGGTCATACAGCTAGGAAGGGTGTGAGGGAACATTCGAACTCAGGTCCTCCTGACTCCTGCCTGGACTTCTGTGCACTGTAGCACCCCCAGTTCCCTTGTGGCACCTTTCCCAGCCGCGATCACTAGTAGGGGCTCACCGACCGCACCTGCCAGTGTTCAGTGAGGGGACAGCCCTTTGAGGATCTTCTTTATCTTGGGAATCTATCAGCCATAATTCTGTTGTTTCCCTTGGTGAGGCAAACAGATGCCCAGTAAGAACCGAGCAGCTCTCACTTGTCTCTGTCACTGGTGATTATTCTAGCCCAGGGCTGGGCAACCTGTGGCCTCGAGGCCCCACGTGGCCCTCTAGGTCCTCAAGTGTAGCCCTTTGACTGAACCCAAACTTCACAGAACAAATCCCCTTCATAAAAGGGACTCTCTATGCAGGACTCTACACAGGAGTCGGTCCCAACTCTCCATCCAACTGCCCCTATACACACTGGTCCTGCAGTGGGGAGCCCGGAATGTCTGCTCTCCACTGCCCCTTCCCAACTGTCCTTTCACCATTTCTCAGCAACCTCTCAATTAAAAGTATCTACCCAACAAGCCTGCGACGCCTGCTGCATCATGGTACCCAGGCCACTCTTCCTGCCTGGAACTGTCTCCTCCCTATTATATGCTAGGGGACTCCAACACCCGCATGGACGCTCCCTCAGACTCACTGACTGCCCATGCTGTCGGCCATCACATTCTGCATCTCACCCTTTGCTTCACAGCCAGAGACTCCGGCCTTCCCACATCTGATCATAGCCTCCTATTACTGCCCCTCCCCCAAACCTATTCTCTCCTTGTGGCAACCCCCCAAACTTGGGCCCCTTTACATTTCCCTCAGCTGCTACTCCTCCTCTGACTTCGTTTTTCTCTCTTTCTAATCTGGACCAGTTGGCTACCGCCCTGTACTCCATACTCTCCGACCCTCCTCCAGTCCTGGGGCTGCTTGTCCCTGGCCACAGCTCAGCTGGATTCCCACCGCCACCTGCCTCCTCCACTCCTGCCCAGGCGCTTATGGGAACCACACCAAGCGGGCCTGCCGTGGCCAGACAGTCTGTGCCCTCATTCCTCCCTCACTGATCCCCCAAGTCCTCACACAGAGTAGCCCAAACCTTCCTACTGCTCCATGAGCCTCACCTGTCTCTCATAGCTTCGGCCATGCTACCCCAACTACCCCAACTACCCCAGCTGTCCTCTGCCCTTCCTCCTCTTCTCAGTTAAACTCCTAAAAATGTTCACTTATGGCCTGTACTTCCTCTCCTCTCACTCCTCCAACATTTGCGATGTGGCTTCTCATCTCACCACCCCACAGACCCTGTTCCAGGCTGCCTTCTCTCCTGCAGCTCCCCGTGCTGTCTTCCCAGGTCAGACTCTACCTGAGCCCCCACTCCCCTAGCTGTCTCTGTTCCCGACACTTTCTCATGGTGACCTCGTCCACTGCCACTGGCTAAAATCTCACCCTGGGCAGATGCTGCCGTCTTGTTTCTGACCCCAGCCTCTCTTCCCAGCTCCAGCTCCGTATCACCAACTGCCCAGTGGACATTTCTGATCCAGTGTCTGAGAAACACTTTCCATTCAACACATCCCAAACTCACCCGTCAACAAAACCTTCCTGTTTCTGCCAGGGGCCCCAGCACTCTTGCAGCCCTGTCACCTTGCCCACACACCTAAACTGTGCCCTAGGTTGCCAAGTCTTCGCATTCTTTCCCATGTGCTCTGCTCACACAGGCAAGGCCTCGCCTCAGGCCCTCGTCCCCTCTCCCCACTACCACCCCTCCTCTACACAGCTGGCCTATGACCCTCCTGGAGCGTGGATCTGACCGGGAGGCTCTTGGATGAGTCCGACTGCTGTCTGGCCCTGGCAGGCATGTCCTCCCAGCCTTGGGCTCCCCACTTGTGGCGCCCTCTTGCCCACACCTGTACCTCTGTCCTGGCAGCTGAATGCTGTCCCTCGTTCCATTTAAGATGCAGCTCGAGCACCGCCTTCCACAGGCGTCTTCTCACTCACTAAATACCTGGGGTCTACCGCTTTGCATTTGTTCTGTCTAGACTTGTACGGGCACACGGAGCGGCCCGTGACTGAGCGGAGCAGGGGCCGTCCCGCTTTCCCATCCCGTGGCCTCACCAGGACCTGGCAGTAGCAGGCTCCGCCCCAAGCCAGCCCAGCGGGAGAGCCAAGTGGGCTGGTCTGAGTGTGACCCCTAGGCCGCGGAGGGAGGCCCGTGAGTGTTAATCAGGAAGTGAGCGAGGTCTCCTTACACTTATAGAATTGCTGAGCTGCTTCACCTTCTGCTCCAGCTGCTCCCGCTCCTGCTTTAAATCTGAACTCCATTTAAGCAGCTTCTGTTTCTCCTCTTCTTTCGCTGTAACAGAAAGGGGAAGGTACTTACACGCGGACCCTCCTAGAAGACACCTCACCACCGGTACCCACATTCGAATGGCCACCACCTTTGGACATGGGTCTTATCTCTCTCACTTTACAGATGAAGAAACTGAGGCTTAGGAAGGTAAGGGGCCTTCAAAAGAGCACAAGGCTCGTGAGGGTCCGGGCCAGGACTCAGGGCAGGCCGCCCCTCCGATCTCCAGGGCTCTTCCCACTTCCAAGGGGGTCTTTTGTGCGGACGTGGGCACCCCCAGGACAGGACTGTGCAGGAAATCCCTGAGCAGTCACCTGAGCTCTGACTTCTTATCTACTCAACTCGCTACTTTTTGAAAAGGAAATCTCCCCCTTCTCCTAACTTGGCCATAGCTGCTGAGGGCAGCTGGCTCTCCTACTCACTCAGCTTCATAATCCCGGAGTTTTCTTTGATGACATCAGCTGCCAAATTTTGCCCATCTGCCAAATTTTGCCCATCATACCTACAGAATCTCTTTCAGATCTAGCCCCCCTTTTTAATTTGCCCTGAAATCACCCTAAATTTTGGCCCTCTATCACCTAGAACAGCAGTTTGGGGTTTTTTTGTTGCTGGTGTTATTGTTTTTGGCTAGGCAATGGGGTTAAGTGATTTGACCGGGGTCACACAGCTAGCAAGTGTTACGGGTCTGAGGCCAAATTTGAACTCAGGTCCTCCTGAATCCAGGGCCGGTGCTCTGTCCACTGTGCCACCTCGCTGCCCCACAGAATAGCAGTTCTTAAAGTGTGGTCTGAGGACCCCAAGGGTTCCCCAACATCCTTGAAGAGGCTCCATAAGGTTAAAATTACTTGGTATTTTTGAGAGTGGAAAGGGTCTGTCTTGAGACTCTCGAGTTTGAGAACAGATGACTTAGTGGACAGAAACAGTCTCCTTAGCTGTTCTTTCTCCTCCCAGGCTCTTAGCTCCCCAAGCCATTCCTCACGCAGTGAGCTTCCTAAGTAATTTTTCTAGTTGCATCTCTGCTCAAGAACCACGGGTGGCTCCCTGCTCCGCACTGAATTATCATAAAGATTCCTAACCCTGGAATTCAGTCTTTCACATGCTGACTCCAAGTGGCCTTTCCTGTTGTTTTTTCACACACAGAGCTTTCTGGTGAAAATGGACGGGCTTCCATCCTGCAGCCTGCTGTTTCTGTTCGTGCTGTCATGTGTGCCCACGATGGCCTCCCTCCCCTCTGATCTCTCTTTGGAGATCTGCCACCAGCACTGGCTCTCTCAGGAAGTTTGCCCTGGTCTCCCCGGCTGGCAGCAATCACTGACTTCTCAGTTTCTCACTTCTGCACATTGCCTTGACATATCTGTCTCATTCTGGTCATCTGTAGACAGGTTTCCTCTTTTTCCTAACTAGGCTGTGAGCTCCTTAATAGTGGGTACTGTATGTCCTATCCTAGCACCTAACGTTACGCCTTGCATATAGTAATCACTCAATCAGTGTTCACTTTGTTGAATTCAATTGATGGTACTGAGTTTTTGGAAACTATGGCTCTAGGTTAACAGGTTAACATTTCTTGCTTCTTCACCAAACTTCTCATCTCTTTCAATTAAAAGCTTTTAATTTTAAAGGTTCAATTTACTTTTAAAAGCCAATGTGGCTTCCGACCAGGGATGATGGAATGAGGTCACTACCATTCTGTACCTGCTTTGTAGGCAATATAGGAATGAACAATTGCTAAAGTCCCAGGCCAGGGAATCGCTTCTTCCTTTTTCAGCATCTGAAAGAAAACACCAAAAACATTCCAACAATCAGAATTTCACTTTGAGAATGGGGCATGCACACAGAAAAACCTACCAGGTTGTTGGCAGACATAACCTTGGAGAGACAGTGCCTTCCAATACAAAGACTGACGGAGGAATGTAGCTGGTTCTGGTCTACATGGGCCCTTTCTCACGAGCATTAGTTTGGGATGACAAACCAGGAAAGCCTCTCCTTGGCTTTCAGCTTCTGCTCAGGAAAGCACTGAGCTTCCACTTCAGAGGAGGCCTGGGAAAGGTGACAGGAAGGGAACAGCCTGGCCACTGCCCCAGGGCTCAGACAGACAGACAATAGACAGGACCCCTCTAAGCCTTCAAACGATGCAGCACAGAGGTGGACTGTGGGCTGTGACCTCCTCCCTACCTCCTCCTGCCCCTGGGATGCTATCACTGACACTGATAAATTGGTGTGATGATGGCAATTAGAGCAGGCTTAACCGTGGTCTCACCTAGGCTTTCTCTCAATTTTCAGCATTTTTTTCCCCTTTACAAAAATATTCAATAGAACTCAATAACCCAGAGCTTGATCAAGTGGAAAATATAAATTACCTAGGGAAAAATTCCTTATTTGATAAAAACTGCTGGGAAAATTGGAAAGCAGTCTGGCAGAAATTAGGCACAGACCAACACCTTATACCACATTCCATAATACATTCTAAATGGATATGTGATCTTAATATTAAAGATAATACTATAAAAACTTAGAAAGAAAACAGATCACATGCCTCTCACAGCTAAGGGTGGTCAATGTGTTCATAACTAAATGAAGGACAGATGCTATCACAAAGGATAAAATGGATAATCTGAAACTGAAAAGCTTCTGCAAAGACAAAACAGATGCACCTAAGACAAGAAGGGAAGTGGTCAAATGGGAAAATATCTTTGTATCCAATTTCTCTGATAAGGGTTTGGTATCCAAAATATATAAATGATTAATATATATATATATATATATATATATGTATGTGTATATATATGTATGTATGTATATATATATGTATGTGTGTATATATGTATATACACACACACACATACATACACGTAAGCCTACGAGTCATTCCCCAATGGATAAGTGTTCAAAGGATACGAACAATCAGTTCTCAAAAGAAGAATTGCAAAGTATTAATAACCACACAAAAGAATGCTCCAAAGCATTAATATAAGAGAAATGCAAATCAAAACAACCCAAGGTTTCATTTCACACCCTACAGAGACAGATGAGATGGGATGAGAGGCCGGGGTCTCCCACTCAAGCCTTCCACTCTCTATTACCATCTTGGTACGGTCTGGGAGCATCCCGTGGACTTAGGTTGTCACAAAGTTAAAAGAGAAAACATGAGCTTTTCTCCAGCCAGGAGTTCTGGGAGCTGAAACAAAGTAGTCCTGGGCTTTTTTGGCTTCTGGGGTGATAAGAATTTATCCAGGCTCCAGGGTCTTCCATGGTGGAAAAGTGAGATAGTGCTTTATAGCTCGTTTCCTGAAGCTGGTGCCAGAGGAGGTGAGTGATGGACCCACTGCCTCTTTTCCTAAACAATCAGCTGGGCATTTCTTCGTGGGAGATTTTATTCTTGGGAGAAGCTGAACAAACACAGAAGGTCCAGGCACTGGGTCGGGACTGTTCTTGGGGCAATGTGGATTAGAGAGAAGAAGACAGAATGCTGTGCATGCTGACAGTCTAAGGGGACAAAGGCAGTGACGGGTTAGCACAGGTCCTTTCCACTAAGGGTTGGAAGCTTGTATAAATCTCTATTTCCAATTGGACACTCAGCAACCATGTCATGAAGAGGCTGGAAAAACTCAGAGGGAACAATGACCATAAATGCATATTTTGTGAGGTGGGGAGAGGGCAGGAGCACCAGCTCAGCACACAGGGGAGTGCTGGCAAGCATTCTAATGGGGGTGGGGTGGGTGTGTGTGTGTGTGTGTGCGCGCACGCGCGCTGCTTCTAAAAGGATACTCTCATCCATATGCATCAAAAGCGAGCTGATTCCAAGTTAAGGGGCAAATGTGTTTCATCCACCTAGCTGGGCTGGTCATGCAGGGGTCAGAGTGTCTTCACCTCCCTGGCCCTCACACAGTACCTGGTCTTGACATTTGGGACAGATCCACATGCCCTTGGGAATAGTTTTCAGAGGAGGGTCCAGACAGTCCAGGTGATACACACGGGAACACGTGTCACACATTAACAACTGCCCACTTTTCCTGCAAACGCTGCAAAAATCCTCATGGATATCACCCTAAGAAATTGAGAGAAAGGGGTGAGAGAGAGGGCAGAAAAGTGAATTTTGACTTTTGATATTCATACCCTAGATGAATATTTTAAGCACAATCAACTGCTATGGGCAGAGTGACAAGCCTTTATCACCTTTCACCCAGGTCCAAGAGAAGGAGCAGAGAGCTGGCAGCACACAGACTCTCTACCTTCCTCCCTCCCTCCCCCAGCCCTGCCCTGGACCTAGTAGACTGGCCACCTGGGATGCCCTGCTGAGAGCTCTGATGCTCCCCAAGGGGCTAAAATGTGTTTCAAATTTTAAAGTCAGGGCTTGGAGAAATCCTCTACAACCAAGAGGCCCCAGGTTTGAAAAGGTGATGCCCTCAACATTTTTTAGAGTTCTGTGAAGGAGGCAACAAACACCCCCTGAATCTCAAGCTTTAAAGTCATTTTTGGTGACCGAGGGTGGGAGTGTCAGAGCACAGCCCAAGTCCCTTCATCTCTCAGGGCCCCCAAAGCCAACCCATCCTGCCCCTTCATTGTACAGATGAGGAAACTGAGGCCTGGAGAAGAAGAGTGACCTGGCCAAGGCCACCCAGGCAGTAGTCAGCCAGTCAACAGACATTTATGAAGCCCTTATGCTAGCCAGGCCAGGCTCTGCACACCTGAAGGGGGTAGGAACCGGGCCCAGCTCTGCAAGGGTGCTCCTTACTCTGAGCCAGTGGTCATTGGCAGCATGATGCTGACCCACCCAACAAAAGCCCTGCAGCAGGTCTGGGAGAGCTACAGCTCTGTAATGACGGTGGCCGAGGACAGAGGGGGCTGCCACTCTGGCCCGAGTGTGGGCTTCCTAGAGGAAGCAGGGCCCTGGGTTGCCGTCACCATCTAGGCTGCCTGACCTATGGGCCTCATCTAGAGACTCCACATGAGGGACAAAAGACTAGGTAAGAGAAAAGTCACACTCAGCTGTGACTTCAGAGGGAAATCCTGAGGCTGCTGTGACAGAGTGGCAGGAAGCTCGTGGGATCCCTGAACAAGAGGGGGAGGATTTCCTCCTCAAGGAAAGGCAAATTTTCTATACTCTCACCAGGTGATCTGGTTCCCTAGAACTAAGGAGTGGACATAGTTACCAGAGTACAAGTGGGCAGATTTTAATCTTTATTAACAGGGAAATGTTACCTCTGGGCAATAAACTAGACACTTGGGCCCTGCAGAAACAGCCAAACCTGGGGTGACGAGCTACTCTCCTTCCTAAGATGCCCCTCTTCTCCTCTGCAGGGTCAATCCCTCGCACCTCACAGCCCCTGGCTGTGCACGATGGTAGCAGCTCCACAAAAGCTCACGCAAAAGAGGCTTCGTGGCTTGGTTTATCTTTGTCATGGAAGTGGAGGCTTGGTTTTTTTCAATTAAGAAATAAGGGAATATGTGAGGCCCAGCTGAGGTCTGCTCAATTTGTGGAGCGGAGAATCCAAAGGTGAAGGTAAAACAGGGCCCCTCAGGCCTCCTCCTGACACAAGGAAATGTTAACCCTCCTGGGTGGCCTATGGGAAGGAGCACATGACGGAGCCACTTTATCCCGTCAGGTTATTTCTCAGCACAAGGACAGGTCCAGGGAGGCCCAAGAAAATACTGTACAGAATAAAAGGCTTCAGGTCTGGAGGCCCATTGATAATGACTACTCTGAATCAAAAGGCAAGTTGATAGAGGGCTAAGCTAGGACACCAGCAGGAAGCCCTGGTCTCAATCAGCTGCAACCTTATCACTTGTTAAAAGCACACACACAGACACACACACAGGCACACAGACACACACACAGGCACACACACAGAGACACACACGCGCGCACATACACACACAGACGCGCGCACACACACACACACACACACACACACACACACACACACACACCCCCATCATGCTGCCCAACGTCCTTCTCTTCTAAAAGCCAGGGATGGGTGGTGGCACAGGGCACATCTGTGCATGACTGACCAGTTGGGTCCCATGGTTCCAGCTTCCTCTACATGGCTACTGATCCCTAGGATATGCCCTGCCTCTCCACTGTTATTGTTTAATGAATGTTGCTGGGGCTTATGTTCCCCAGTAGCAGATATGCAGAGCTCCATCTGGTGATTTTGATCACTGCCACTATTGGGGGAAGTGTAGAAGTCAATTTATCTTTTTAAAAATCCATTCCACTGGCTGTAACCTAAAGGGGGCTCTAAGCAGCAGGTCTAGTGACTTCCACCTCCAGTCTTCTAAAAAGAACGTTTGCATTTTAAAGTGGAATCAGACAAAAGCTTTTGGTTTGCAATCTGATCTTGGCAGGCCCTGTGGGTTCAGTCTTTCTAAGAAAAATGTCCCCCCCCCAAGGCTTGTGAGCAGGAATACAGCAATGGCTTCTCAACAGGGATCTACCACCCACTTGGGGGCTCACACCAAGAGACCTGTGAGTCTGTGAATTCCTTTGGCAATGGCATTGTCTATGTTGTGCCAGAATCTGACTAAGCGCTCATCCAAAGGACAGAAGGAATTCAAGCCCGAATTGGGCCAATCAGTGACCTGCATTCTGTGCCCTCCAAGGAGGAGGAGGCAGAGCTTGGCCTTAGCACTTGGGGCTTCTTCTTCATTTCCTGACTCCTAAGGATTATGCTTGGGCTGCTGTTAGCAGGCTCAGGGTTCTCTGAGGGCACACTGTCTGAGGACACAAACTTTGTGATTCAGCTGAGAGGTGGGCTTCTCTCCTGCCATTGGTCTAAGTGGCTATCCAGTATTAGGGCCTCAGGTCACACTCTGGTGGATGCAAAGTGGGTGACTTGTGGCAAGGCCTCCCTAATGAACTGTGCTGACCCACTCCATTCCACCCCAAAGGCAAGGCCCTGGAGCTGCCTTCAGCCCTAAGAACTTGTGGAGGACTAACGGCTGATGTTGGATGGTTATTTCCAAAATTCAAGTGGGGATGAGCATGGAAAAACGAATGCTGTCCACTTACATGACCCAAATCTGCTTATCTCTTGGGTGGGTGTCATTTTTAAGTAATCAAGTCCAGTCACTTCGAATCTAGGTCTGGGCATCCTGGCCTCATGTAAGATTCTTAATAACAGGGCCAGAAGAAGCTCATCTCCTGAGTTCATACAGTACATACGAGGCTGTGGAATGTCCTTGAGTGATCAAATGTTACCCCAAGGGGGAGGACCCCTGAGAGCAGCTATCCCCAACTTTAAGCTCTCAGAGAGAAAACGTTTTCCAGATTACTTACGTCTGTGGAGGTGGGGCTGGGCAGGGACACAGGCTGAACAGGTGCAGGGAAAGTGAATGTGGTCTCTGTCTTTTCATTTTCAGGGGAGTCAGGATGACTGGATGGGGGGGGATGCTGGGGTCAGGGCTCCAAAGCCCAGTACCGCATTGTATTTTGGTGGACGACCTACATGCCGAGAGAAGGGAACAAAACGGGAGGAGGGAAGGGGAGAGAGGGGAAGATGATCTTACATACCTTTGGCCAGTGATCCTCATTGGCTAGCATGGAAAAGGAAGTGAGGGAGCAGACAGGAGGTTAGTACAACAGTCACAAAGAGAGGAAGAGAAGCTGAGATTCAAACGTCATTAGAAACATTGATGTGACTCTCACAGCAGCAGTGCAGCTGAGATGTACACAGCCTCAGAGAGTGAGGCACGGTCCTAAGTCGTGCTGCCGGATCACTGCCAGGGCAGCTTAGAGCAGGGCCCTGGACTCCCATGGCCTTTGATTTCAGGGGCGGAAGTGGATGCCACAATCCCAATGGGGAGTTCAAAGCTAAAGATCCAGGGAAACAATGTCTGTTCTCCCTGATTTCTAGTCTGACTTCCATGGACCTGGTTGACCCGGGGATCTGTGCAATCCTCAATCCTACGGCTGGGTGCCAAGGACCCTCTTCCTTCTCCTCTCTTTGGCCCACAAAGTGCTCATTATGCATTTAAGCCCGGATAGGGGCAGCTCAAAGCAACATTCAAATGAATCCTCCTTTTCACTTACTAGCAGGTCAGGGAAAGATCTGTCATAGGAGCAGACCAACTAATTACTAAACAAATGTCTGGCTTATCAATGAATTTTCCTCCTATCTCCCACTTCAGTGGGAGTGACTGACAAGTGTTTACATTTACCAGTTCTCTCCGTAAGCTATAAGGATCACCGGCAATGAGAAGTCTGAAAAGGGGGTTTCTTCTCAAGTCCCCCAAGGGGCACCTTAAAACCTCAAGCTGCAGAGGCTCCCCACAAACTGGCTCCAGGCCTGACAGCCCCACTTGTATCAGGACACATGTGAGATAGATCCGTTATCCTCAGTGCCACATAAAGGAAAAGGAAAAGGAGGCCCAGAGGCTGAACAAAAGTGCCCCTCACCAGGGGAACAGGGCCTGAAGGCTGAGCTACCTGTTAGAAAGGCTGCTAGTGCTAACCTGGCATGGAGGTTGGGCTAAAGAGACAGGTCCTCTGCACTGACTTGTCCAGCTTGCTTTGATTGGGCTAATTTTTAAACCCAAGTATACAGTCTTAAGTTTATCCCTATTCCTTCCTCAATCCAGTCCATTCTTATGGCAGAGAGAGAGAGAGTTCTGGATCCCAACCCAACACCTAACACATTTGTTATCATGTCTAGTTTCATATCATTTGCAAATCTGATGTCACTGACAAAAAGCCCAGCCCAGGGCCAAGCAAAGATCCCTGGGGCACTCCGCTGGAGACCTCTTTCCAAGATGAAATGACACCATTAATGATTACTCTTTGGGTCTTAGCTATTCAGCCAGTTTGGAAGCCATCCAACTGTCCTACCACCAAGCCCACTCTTTGCTCCTGCTCTCAAAGCCAGCGAGAGAGCCTTTATCCAGCACTTTGCTAAAACCGGGGTCATATCTCATCTACAGCATTTTCTGATCCTGTACACTAAGAGAAGGAAGGAAACTGAAGTTGTGGCTTCAGCAGCACAGGGGACTCCCAGGCAAGCAAACTCTCTCTATACATGTAACCTGACAGTCTCAGAGAATTGCCATAAGTACTGAGAGATTAAGTGAACTGCCCAGGGGTCACAAGCCAGTATGGAGAAAAGAAGGACTTGAATCCTGGTCCTTCCGACCAGGTTAATAAATTCGTCATAAAAGGAAAAAAAACCAGACTTGTTCTTGATCAAGTCGTGATGGCCCTTCAGGATCGCTAGCCCTCTCTTTAATTTTACGTTCTAGAATCTTGCCAAGAACAAAGCCAAACTCACTCATTGGTCTTTTTTTTTTTCCTGAAAAACAACTTTTGTCTTTCTCAGGTCCTGTAGCACATCCCTGGCTCTCTGTGATGTTTCAGAGACCCCTGAGTCAGACTTCACAATTGTGTCGATCAGGTTTTGAGCATCCTGAGAGGTCTGGGCTTTGGTGACATGGACACGTGAGTGGCAACCAGAGGGGTCCTTACTCTTTTCCTCCTCCCACTTTTCTTCTTCCTGTCGGCTAAGTCTTTCCCTCTCTATTTCCAGGGCAGGATCATGCTCCTTGGCTGGGACGCCAGCTCTACTTTCTTCCAGTGCTCTGTGAGGTCCTGTCCCTTTTCCTCCCTGGCCTCAGGTCCTTCTGACCCTCTTCTTCCTGGACCTTGCTACATGTCGGTTTTCATCCTTCACTACCTATCCCTGCTTCCACTGCCTGCATGTGACTTTAAAAGAATCTGTTTTCTGATGAGTGCCCTGCCCAGCCACACTGGTTTCTTTAGCCGTTCTCCCTTTTCCTCCTCATGGCAGCCTTGGACGTGGGCTGACTTGCCTTGGGAATTCTAGTCCGTGGGATGCTCTTAGCCCAAGCTGGGGTGCACAGCTGAGCATAGCCCTCTTTCCTCCCCTCCCTCACAGACTCTAAGGCAGAGGGGTAGGACCCAGATACTATGAGGAACCCCTCAGCAACAGGGGGCTCTGCTCTGCCAGGTGATGCCAAAAGGGTGCTCGGCACACTATGCTCTTGGCGAATGGCTTGGTAAGCATGGGGCACAAAGGTGGCACTGAAGCCACCCCCTGCATCTTTTGGTTAAACATCAACAACCTTAGTGAGATGTCCCCTAGTCTTCTTCTTCCTATTCTCAATGAATGAAGAACTATTCTCAGGAGGGGGCCGGTGCAGGGCACAAACACAGACAGCAGAGCATTAGCAAGGGAGGGATATGAAAGACACTCACCTCTCTTCCGGGTCCCAGGATGCATTGTGCTTTTCAGGTATGTGACTGCACTCTTCTTACGCTTTGGGAACACAAGAAGAGAACTTAACTGAGTTGCTATAATAAACACACAGTGTGAGCAAGCTGAAAATATGGGACTTGGTGATTGTCCATAAGCTAATTCTTCAGGCCTTATCACCTTCTGATCTCAGCCCTAACAGGTCTTACTGCTGAGAGACCTGGCTCAGACCCCCACCCCCACCCCACAATCCTTGAGTGGCTGCAGTGTCTACACTCAGAGCCCGCCTAGCACTGGACAGGTCCCATAATGGCTGACATTTCAGTCCTGAGCTTGTGTTTGTTCAAACTCAGGGACAATAGGGGGGAAACAGCTAGAAGACATGGATTGCTGCCCTGGGCCAGGGAGATGCAAGGGCCCTGCTTCTGTGAGGTGGGGCTTCAGCAAGGACCCCAAACAGCAGCAGTGAAGACCAGGCCCCAAGGCTGGCCGGAGATACCTCGGGCTCAAACACGGCTCCGCTGTACACAGGGTTGGCTGTTGTCCTCCTTTTCCTTTCTTGCCTCTTGCTCTGGATTTCTAGGGACAAGGAGAAGGTCCGATCAGAAAAGGACGGTTTGGGAGAGCACCCTGTTCCAACGGCAGGCCAGGCACCTGGAGATGAGCTCCCAGGCCCTGTTCTGGCAGCAGAGTGAGCTCACCCCCTCCTACCGAAGAGAAGCACACTTGCAGCCAAGCAGGAAGTAACACAGGCCATCAGAGGAGGGGGACACTCAGAAAATCAAGACCAGGACTCCCAGTCAAGAATGGAAGAGAATGTCTCCCCTGACGGAAATGACCAAAGTAAATATATAGGTGCTGAGACCATTTTCTGTTCCAGGATTCATTCCTTCATGTGGCAACAATGATTAAATGCCTGCTATGTTTAGGGCACGGGGCTAGGTATGAGGAAAACTTTGGAAACAAAGGTCCAGACCCCTACCCAGGCAACACCATCCCTTTGCTTACCTTCTAGATGGTCATGCGTCACCAGCCCTAGAGATACCATGAAGGCAAGTTTCTGCGCCAAAGAAAGAAAAAAAATGTCCTTTAGGGTCACCATGACACACTTGGGGTTCTCAATAACCCACAGGGAAGCCAGCACAAGGAACTGATGACTACAAGGAAGAGAAGTCAAAGTGAAAGCCCAGGCCCTTTGGCTCATAGGTAGGAAGCCTATCTACTCCAACAGCAAATGAAACAGGCCCCAAGGTCTCCGGCCTCACCTTTCCCAGTGAATGTAAAGGCTACTGTCCCAAATGAGTCCTTCAAAATGAAGAGGACTTACTGGGCATTAGTAATCCTATCAAAGGAACTCCAATTCTCAAACACTTTCCTGGATATTCCCCAGGGAATGCAATTACTGAACTTCAGAGAGAGAGAACACTTGAGAACATGGGGCTTTCTCTGTGGGAATACGTGTACAACTGTGTTTATCAAGAGGGAAGAAAGGCAATGAAATGCCTGGAGGGCAAGCATCCCCCTAACAAGTGAGGGAAAGGAGGGCCCTGTCTGTGTCTCTGGAAAGGTGAGGTCTTTATTTCCTGACAAATACCTGTGGATTCTCTTCTCGCTTTGGCTTAGGTGCAGCAGGTGGGGTGACGGTTCGACTTTCTGCCTGCTTCTCTTCTGTTTCTGTGTGCGATTTAATGGTCTGCGAGAGGAAAACCAAACATCACAGTTTAGAATCTCTTTTTTCTTGAAAAGTAAAAGAACAAGCCCAGCATTTTTGCTTCCACCCACAACGAAACAATAGGGATACAAATACACCCAAATTGGTAGCATATTAACCAGAGTCATTATTACAGGTTCTACTTCAGCAAATAAAGAAAAGCAAATTTCCAGGGAAAATATTAAGTTGCACAATCAGCAAAAATACGCAAAATTGCAGAAGCCTGAATGATCACAACGAGCAATGAAAATTCACATGTAACTTTCAGGAGTCAAAGAGGCTGCCCTCTCCAATCTTCGGGGCTCACAGGCTCAGGGGGCATTACTCCAGTGGCAGGCCAGCATGACCTGCTTCAAATGTTCAACTGTCCACAGGCACTTCAAAAAGACCTTCTATAACACTGACAGTTTCCAAACAATACCACCTCAGTTAAATCTTTCCAATGTATCTGGATGATGCATTTGCCTTCCCTCTCATGGTGTAACAGCTGAAGGAAACTCTAATCTGGGATCAATCAACTGGACATCCATTGTGGGGTATAATAAACCAGAAGTGGTGCTCAGACAGGTGGGGCCTTAATAAGAGGAAGAACAATAGTAACAGGAATAACTTTTGGAAATGTAAATAGGCACACCTAGGGGTTGGAGGGAAAAGCTGAACAGGAACCAGGTGAAGGAAGCAATGGTCAAGAAAGCCTGGGGCCAGGGCAGCATAGATGGATACAGCTCTGGCCTTAGAGTCAGGAAGACCTGAGTTCAAATCCAGCGTCAGACACTTGACACTTAGTAGCTGTGTGACCCTGGGCAAGTCATTTAACCCCACTGCAGAGAGAGAGAGAGGGAGAGGGAGAGGGAGAGGGAGAGGGAGAGGGAGAGGGAGAGGGAGAGGGAGAGGGAGAGAGAGGGAGAGGGAGAGGGAGAGGGAGAGGAGAGGGAGAGGGAGAGGGAGAGGGAGAGGGAGAGGGAGAGAGAACACGTGAGCCTGGGGCCAGGGAAAAAGGCAATTGGCAAATTCCATACCCAAGCAAAGAGTAAGGAGCTGGAGATGACGCTGATGTGACAATTCCCTTTTGCAAAACTCTTATCAAGAAGAGAAGTTGGCACTCCATTTAACAAAAGGATGGAGACAGGTAACCAAACCCATGAACAGCCCCACGGGACAAAATTATAAGAAAGATCAGAAGAGTGTTCCACCTCCTGACTGCCTGGCTCCCCGAGGACCCAAGTGAACCGACCACTACAAAGGTCCAAAGAACCTATCTGTGAAAAGATGGAGAAATGAATGACTTAAAGAGCACCTGACAGGACACCACAAGGAGAATCTTGGCTGAAGATGAGGAAAAATTTCATGGAAGTCCTGGAGAGACGCTCCTCCTAATCTAAGAGAAGTAGCTGCCACAGCTCTGGATCACACAGGAGAAGAAAAGCAACTGCCAGGAGAAAGGTAATCTTGTCCCAGGCAGGCAGGAGAGATGCTTCCATAATCTCCCCTCTTCATCCAGGCTCATTTGCATAACAGTGACTACCCAAGCTAGCCAGTCTCCTCAAACACGGAAAGCTTCCATCTGCCAAGAGAGTGGACAGTGCAACGGAAGCATCTCCCTTTTTAACCAAAGAAGGCTTTACGCATGGACTCCCTAAACACCAAAAGGGTGTTTAAAAATGTGGAAACAAAAGTATAGACATAAATGTAACTTATGACTTTTTCCTGCTTCAAGAATTTCCATTCCAAGATTTGTATGGTCTGATACTGAGTGATGTGAGCAGAACCAGGAGAACACTGTACACGGCAACAGCCACGTTGTGCGATGACTAACATTGACAGATTTAACCCTTCTCAGCAAAATGCTATCCACATCCAAAGAAAGAATTATGGAGTTTGGATGCAGATCGAAGCATACTATTTGCTATTTTTTCTTCTGTTATGTTTTGTTTCCTCTGTCTGGTGGTTCCTCCTATTGGTTCTAATTCCTACTTACAACATCACTAAAGTGAAAATATGTTTAATAGGAATGTATATGTATAGCCTATATCAGATTGTGTGCCATCTTGGGGAGGGGAAGAAAAATTAAAACTCAAAAGCTTATGGAAGTGATTGTTGATAATTCAAAATAAATTAACAAAAAAAAATTTAACAACAAAAAAAAAGAATTTCCATTCTACTGTTCTTTTTTTTTTTAATTTTTTAGGCAAATTGGGGTTAAGTGACTTGCCCAGGGTCACACAGCTAGCGTATTATGTGTCTGAGGCTGGATTTGAACTCAGGTCTTCCTGACGGCGAGGGCGGCGCTCTGTCCCTCACGCCACCTAGCTGCCCTACTAGACTATTAGTATTGTGACCACCATGATAAACAATAGCTAAGACTCACATAAATGGTGGCTCAGAGTTAGCTGCACAGTGCCTTCCTCACAACCACCCCGTGAAGTCAGTAATACAAGGGCTATTATTCCCATTTTGCAGATGGGGAAGCGTCCAGATTCACACAAGCCCCTGAGGTTCTGACTCCGAGTCCAATGGCCTTCGGATTACGCCATGCTGAATAGGTACCAGAGCATCCCGAGAATGGATTCTGTTACCATGACTAGGTCTTTCTAAGTATAACCTCACTCTACCCAGAGATGGGCCAACCTGCAAAAATAAAGCCTGGGAGGATTCTTCCCCTGAGGAGAGTGAAAAAAGGCAATCTGGCTTTAAGAGAGAATATTATTTTCCTTTCTAAGAATTAGTTGGCAGCTCTTCTATTGGTGTCCTACCTGATGTCAAAAGCCTTTAAAAAACAAACCGAAACCTTTCAGAACTAACTTCAGCCAGGCCTGGAAGCACATGGGAGTTCTCTGTATGTCCTCTCCATTCCATATCTCGTTGAGTAATATTAAGAAATAATATTTTCTTAACATCTTTGTCTGATCTGATTGAGAAATCTCCACAATCTTTAACAATTCAGCCTTTTTCTCATTCTTATCAGAGGCCTAGCCACTTTCTAAAAGGAGAGGCCTGATCAGCCCAGGAAAGAAAACTCCCCCCAAAAGGGATTAAGAATGTAATAACCTGACCAAAAGTAATGAACAGAGGCATCTCCTGAGTTCACCTCTGACCAGCTTAAAAGGACAATCCTTAGGAAGAGCTGTTAAAAGGCAGATTTAATGACTCTAGGAAAAGGTTTCTCCAGTATGCTCTCAAAGTTACTATTGTTCTGTATGACGAATCAAAACATCACCTAAATCTTGTCGTCCTGTTCAATCTGGATAGTGGAACTTTGTCTTTGGCTTGGGAATACTATAAATTGTAAGTGGAAATGGCTGTGTCAGGGAGATCTTCAAAAGGATGATGGATCTCTGTCCCTTTGGGTTCTTTCATTCTAAGTTGAGATGCTTAGAATGGTTTAATTAGTACATCTACCTCTGGCTGACCTGTGCCAAAAACATAGTACTGAGTATTTTTGCCACAAAAGCATCACTAAAAGGTTAGGATTCAAGAACAGAAGAAAAAACTGAAGAAAAACTTTTTTCCAGAGAAACAAAAACCATTCTTCCTTGGAAGTATCATCAAAAGGGGAAAGGGTGACAGTTAACAAAAAGAAAAAAAATCTGTTGTCTAAATTAATCATTTATGAATGTCCTTCAAAGCACTGTCTGTGTCATGGGTCATTTTTTGACAGCAGAAAGATGAAGTCTTGGGTCCTGGGAAAATGGGATCCTGGTACTATGCTCTGGTCATATTTTCTTTCAAAAACCTTCAGGGGCTCTAGACTGCCTGCCAAATACAAGTATAAATTCGTTATTGTAGCATTTAAGGCCCTTCACAACCTGTATACAACCTAGCTTTCTAGCCCTTCTCCTACTATTCCCCTTCATGTCCCCCTCCAGTCAAACAGAAATCCTTTTTGCTGCACCTCCCCCCCAACCTAAAGACCCAGCCACCTAAGGTGTGGCCCTGAATAATCCCTTGCACACACTGGAGTGAAACGTGCTCAGACCTCTTGCAGGCAGCACAAATCTCCTTTCTTCTTATATTAGGGCTCTCTGGGGGTCAGCACCGGGTGCCCTTTGTCACACTACAAACTCCCTGACAACAGGTTCTGTATCATGTCTATCTCCATGGCCAGCAGCTATTAGAGCACCCCGCATGCTGTAGATACTACGGTTTGCCTTCGTTCTCAGCCTTAGAGAGAGAGAGGCGCCAGCAGCACATCTGGCAAGCCTGGCCCTGGGACAGCACGTTTCCAAAAGGCCTTTTTGGTCATCACCATCTGGCAGGCTCTCCGATAGACAGGGCTGCGTGTAGGAGTCAGGTCCTGCTTTGCTGGGAAAAGTTCCTCCTCCCCCATCACTGGTTTTTGCTGAAGGTAACAAGAACCACCTGCCCTAAATCTATCCTGTTTCTCTTCTTCTGGGTGTTTCTGTCCTAGGGCCCTTTCCCTGAGACGCTCTGGCCTCATTTCTTTCTGAGGGGATGTACACAGACTGGAAAGTATGCATGAAAGCCAGCCTTTCAGTGGGGCTGAAAATGTCTCTATCCTCAAGGGAGAAAAGGACTTTGCCGGATTCTTTTCAGAGGTTTGTTTTTGCCCCTTTCATCTCCTTACTTCCAGAACAACCATGTGGGGGCTGGGATGTGAAGCTCTTGTTTCTGACCTGCTTGAAACGAATGTGGTGTGTTCTGACTACAGGGGCTCCCAGCCTGTGCCTCAGCATCCTGAGTGAGGCAGCGGCGGCAGCAGCAGCAGCAGCACACTTTGTGGGCTTCCCTGGAGAGCCAGAAGAGGGCCCATGCTCTCCTACAAGAAGCCTGCTGAGCATCCCTGGATGCTGGAAGGATGGCTCTCTGTAGGGCCCCTGCAGTGGGTACCTGTTTCTCGAGGCTTGGCTTGCTGAGCTGCACAGTCTGAGGCCCAGCCAGGCGGGCCCCGGGAGCGGCAATCACAATGCTGGTGAGCTGAGCCATAGGGAACGTCTTGGCAATGGTCGCTGTCTGCCCATTCACAACGCGCACAGGGTGGATGGAGTTCTGGGACGTGGGCAGGGACGTCGGGGTGAATTTGGTCAGCATCACAGGCCTCTGGATGAGCTGAGGGGCTGCCAGCATCGGAGGGGGTGCGGGTGCGATGGGGATGTTGTTCTGGGCCACTGGTTTGGGCCGGACCTGCAGGGAAATAAAGAAAAGAGCAGCCCTGACTCACTGTCTTCCCATTCAAAACATTTCCCAGGAGCTAGATGCAAGAGTTAGTAAATGAACTGAAGTAATCTGTCCTGTTGGATGAGCCCAGTGCCTTGAGAGAGGCTATCAGCTCTTACAGAACCTTTGATGCCATCCCAGGCCCCTGGCACAGTCCATGCCTGAAGCTGGGGCTCAGGAGTCCTTGGCACCTGTGCTCCTCACATTTCTTCTTTCTACACAGAGCTGGTCACAGTTCACTTTCTAGCTTCTTCATAGACGTCACAGTCCTGGCTCCTCCAACATTTCTGGCCTTTGAATTTCCTGCTCTCAGCTGTCATCCCACCTCTGCTGTGACCCTTGAAAGCTCTAAACCACAGGTTCCCAAACTTATTTGGCCTACCATCCCCTTTTTAAAAAAATTACTCAGTACTCCCCTGGAAATCTACTTTCCTTAACCCTTTAATGTTTTTTTTTGAAATTTAATAATATATTGTAAATTTGTGGATTTTTCCCTGCATTGACATTTTGATGACACAATATCGCACCATGCAACTGTATAGTATTGTATTATAAACAAGTCATTACATGCACACATTCCTGCTAATGCAGGCTGGACTTCCCAACAACGTGCGATGCTAGCCTGCCAACACTTGCTTGTTAAGACCTATCGGCAGACTTGACCACTGATTTGATTGATTATAATTCGCATTTTGTGTGTTTATCTGGAAAATAATGTAATCACTAGGACTTCAACTCTGTTATACAACAGATGAAACATGTATGAACGGTTTTTCAAAATTTTCTTCTCTTCTCTTCTTTCTTTATGCTTCCACCGCCCCTTTATTTTTTATTTAATGCCCCAAATTGCACCCAAGGCTACTACCATGGTATTGGATCATTCTAGAGCCCCCCCCCACCCCGAGGGCAGTATCACCCACTTTGGAAATACATGCTGTAGACTTACTTTTGCTAATGGACCTCCTGTGAGGGTGGTCCTTGATGGGGATTCCCATCCTGCCTGCCCAGCAAGTCGACCTAACAGAAGTTTAACTGTGCTAAAACACAGTGCTAGTCACTGTCTGAGAACTGAAAGAATGCCCTGAGGGGTCTAACCAGCTACTGCTACTTGTGCAAAGACCCTTTGGACAATAATAAGACACTAAGAACACATTTCCACAGTCCTCACAACTCCATCATTAGACATTGTATGTATCATTACTCCTCCTGTGCAGATGAAAAGAATAGGGCTCAGATGACGTGTCCAGGGCCACACAGCTTGGCCACGAGCTCAGTCTTGGCCAAGCCTTCATATTCTGGGCTTTAAGTTAATTGGGGCACTCCAATCTGCTCCCCGACTTTTAAGGGAAGAACTCAACAGCCCTTTGCTAGTGACACTGATTCCTGCTTTCTTCTTCACTTTTTATGTTAGCATACAACCACAGGTTCCTAATACAGGCGGAAAAAACCTCTCTGAAAATCATTTTGTTTCTTCATTGCTACCAGGAAGGATCTGGCCAGATTATTCCCAAGTTTCCCATACAGTCCAGGGGTGCTTCCAATCTAGACAATATTTCTAACATCCTGTCTGTTGTTCGCTGACCCCGTCCTAAGACTGTCTTGTTCAGTGCCAATGATGTGCCCTTCTCTGGGGTACAGAAATCGGCGCTCAGAATTATCTCTCAAATGTGACCTGAAGAGCACGGCTCTCAGGCTGCCTTTGCCTTTGCTGGACTTGTCTTCGCCCACTTACCTGGGGAAGGAAGTTTGGACGAGGAGTGAGTCTGGGAGGAGGGATGAACTGTGGTACTTTGATGGGCTGAGGAGGTGTCGCTTGAACCTGCTAAGCAAACATGAAAGAAACAGTTAAACTGGGAGGGACGGTTTGCTCGCAGGACACCAAAGCTCAGCTCCCTAGGAGTGTTTCAGGCTCACTGCTCTTTGGCAGACGGGTTCTCCAGCCCTGGCCACCCTTGCCCCTGGCATTCACTGGGATGCATCTTCTTACCCTTTCATTCTTCTGGGAACCCCCTTTCTCTTTCATCACACACCTGATTGTAGAACATGCTGGTGCAGCAAGCTTAACCAATCTCCTATGAAACTCTTTAATACCTGCACTTATGTATTTAAAGAAATTCAAACTGGCTCTACAACACAGGGAAGTTTTGTCAAGTGTGGCTGGTCGGCCAAATGGCTCTTCACCTAAGAGAAGGGTTCTTATCTGAGCAGGCTGAAAATTGCAGGAATAATGAATGGGCTTCTGGCCAAGGTACGAAGTGTACCTGACGACGACTCACGAGAACGTCTTTGCCCGGAAATTTTGCAGATCTAATAAAAAAGGCTTGAAATTGAAAAGGAAAAGATAGAGAGAAAACTGCCCAAATCCATCCACTAAGCTAGATGCCATAAACAGTAACTCGAGAGTGGGAGGGAAAAATAGCACTAGGAATACCCAGAATTAAAAAGAGAAAAAACTTTAAAAAAGGAGTAAGCAATCAAACCTCCAACATGGGGTGTTTATGTACAAGGACAGCGTTAATAAGCCAAGTGATTTAGAGAGCCCACCACAAGGAAGAAAATTTGACTTCCTGGGTATGTCAGAAGAGACTCAGAAGAATGAGACCCATGCCTGAAATGTGAATCTGGAACATGATACCTTATTCACCAAAAACAATTGGGTAAAGTGGAGGGGGGGGAGCTATACAGAAATGGAAACATAGTCGGTGTCTGTCTCTGCGGAAATGACTCAACAAACTTACATATGACTGGAATGAAATGTTACTGCAACATAAGAAACAAGGAGGGGAAGGAATATAGAAAAATTCAGGAAGTCTGACACGACACATACACAACCACCTGGACACTGGAAACAACATCATACAATGATCATGACCCAGTGTGATTTATCTCTTTGCAGACAGAGGTGGGGTATTATGGGGAAGGAGCACTGCATACACTGTCAAATCCAGTTGATCCACTGGTTAATTTTGTTAAACTACTCCCCCTCCCCTTTAATTTTTTTTATTTTTGTTATAAGGAATGGCTGACTGTGGAAGGAAACAAGGATTATATTAGGAAATAAAGGTAACATAAAAACAAAAGCTATCAAAGATTCTTAAAATAAAATCAAAGCAAACATAAACAAAACTAATCCTATCCTTGGAGTCTATTAAGGATCACGGGAAATAGATGGGAAGAGTTTTTGCAGCACATCTCAATCCATGAACAAATGACTTTGGGTATCTAGGCGTCTGCCGGGGAGCCCCCTTCTCCCAAAGCGGAGCAATTTCTTGACTTGACTTAAGGGTCATTTTATCATTCAGGGACAACTTCTAGTCTGGACTTGATTTTCACCAGTAAGGAGAATGGGATACTAGGGTGGAAATGATAGGAACCTTGGGGGAGGGGGAGGATCTACTGCAGTGTAGATTTTGTGATGGAGAAGCAGAAGAAAAGTCCGACACGCATCCTAGATTTAGGGTGAGCTCTTCTCAGTGGGTACAATCTCATGGACTCTTGATTTTACAGGAGAAGTCAGTACAGGAGGGCTCTCATGAATAAAATTCTGAAGACGGTGACCAGGAAATGATGTGGATGTATAGGGAGTGTACCTAAGGCAGAAAGAGGGGCAGCAGAGAAGAAATACCGGAATGTGGCAAGGTCTAGGAAGACTTAAAGTGAGTTCTCTCTAGGAAAAGGGAAGGATCAGAAATGGGAAGGAGGAAGACAGTGAAAAGCTGAGAAAACTGAGGGCTCTTTAGCTCTTTCCCACTATGTAGAATGAGATCTGGAAAGGACAGAGCAAAGACAGCCCACATGGAGCAGAGCAGAAACCCCAGAGAAGTCAGGAGAAAGCAGGAGAGCAGCCAGCTGTCTTTGAGGAGGCCGAGGCACCAGATACAAGGGGACTATACACCCTATGGTCTACTGTCACTGATTCCTGAAGGGCTGTGATGATTAAGGAAGCAAGGGTGTTGCTGTGAGCCCAGAGGACAGTCACCTCCATCTTTAAAAAGGGGACTAAAGAGGAGCCTGTATAATACAGACTTTGGGAAGAATGCCTTCCAACATCTAGAGTGGCTCCACCTGACTTCCCAGCAGAATTTTTGACTGGATCGCTGATAGAATGGTGACTGAGGTCTGGAAAAAGGGACAATGACAGCCAAAGAGCCAGCATGGCTTCATCAAGACAGTTCATGCTGCTTCAGGTTCATTCTTTTTTTTTTTTTTTTCAAATTTTTAGGCAATTGGGGGTAAGTGACTTGCCCAGGGTCACACAGCTTATAAATGTCAAGTGTTTGGTCTGAGGCCGGATTTGAATCAGGTCCTCCTGACTTCAGGGCTGGTGCTCTATCCGCTGCACCACCTAGCTGCCCCAGTTTTCATTTCTTTTTGACACAGTGACATGGCTGACAGAAGAGCAGAAAGAATCCTCTGGGTATGGGTCACCTGTTTCAGGGAGACATTCTAAACACAATTTCTCACCCTACCCTTAAGAATAAGACGGAAGGATGTGGGGTGGACGACACAGGCAGGCACTTGAGTGGGTCTGGCCCACTTCCATTAGAGGAATGGCCAGACCTGAAGAGATGGCTTAGCAGTGCAGCGTCAATGTAAAATGAGGTCTGAAGCGGAATGCCTCGGGGACCTGTGTTTGACCCTGTACTATGGAACACTTTTATTAATGACGCAGACAGGACGTAAAGATAGGAATGACAGGGAATGTGTTGGATGACAGAATCAGGATCCAGAAAGATGGCTGGGCCACGCACAGTCAAACACAATGCGAAGTTCAACACTTGGACTTACAGAAGCACCTTCTCAAGTAAAACAGGAGAGCAGCATGGCTAGTAATGGTTTGTGCGACAAGGATGGGGGTGGGGTTACTGTGCTGCAGATCCCTGGGTATCCCACAGCAGCCGACCTTGCCAGCGTGAGGCTACGTGCGCTCAAGACCGGGAGGTGACAGTCCTGTGGCGCTCTGCCTGGCCCCTCCTTTCCGTGGTCCGTCAAGTGAAATGAGAACTAGGCTGCTTTTTCCCTCCTGGACTCCTTCACCTTTAGAAAAGAGACCAGCAGCACAGAACTAAGCGGGCCGAGTCCTGGAGGCAGGGAAGCCCATGATGGAAGAGGGATTAACAGTGATGAGAAGTCAAAAGGTCACTGGGGGAACATTCCCAGGGTCAGCTCCTTTACAGGAGGATCTAGCTTACATATATCACGCTGCCCCCATCAACAGTAAAGGTAACGATGATCATCCTCATCATTATTATTGATGGTTATCTAGATTATAAAAAAATATTATCAATAGTTAAATAGATAATAATTATAATTGACAGATGTATAGATAACAATAATAATAATTCCCAGGGTTCCCGTGAGGTTCAAATGAGATAATCATTGTGAAGTACAGCGCCTGGACCATAGTAAGTGCTACAGAGATGTTAGCTATTGCTGTTGTCACTGCGGTTATAGGGCTACAGGTCTTGTACACATTGTTTCCCCCATTAGAACATAAGCTCCCTGAGGGCGAATCAACAAGCCTTAATAAACGCCTCCCTACTAAGTACCAAGCAGTGTGTGCTCAGTGTTGGGGATACACAGAAAGGTAAAGGTCCCTGCCCTCAGTGAGCTTACAATCTAACGGGGGGGGGGGAGACAAATGTGCAAACAACTACAGACAAACATGACAGAGACAGGATAAACGGAGGGAAGGCGTGAGCACGAGGTGGGAGCTACAGGAGCCAGGAGGCAGAGATGAGGAGGGAACACCTTCCAGGCCTGAGGGACAGGTGGGGAAAAGGCCCAGAATCCAGAGATGGGACCGTCTTGTGAGAGAACCAAAAAGGAGGCTGGTCACTGGACCCTAGGAAAGTGTATGAAGACTGGGAAGGGTGGGAGGCAGGCTTTAAAAAGCCAAATGGAGGTAACAGGGCAGCCGCTGGGATCTACTGAAAGGGCGGTGACCTGGCCAGGGGCTGCTTTAACTTCTACATCCTTAGCCCTTAGCAGAGTGCTGGGGTTTGGCACACAGTACGTACTCAGGTGCTTACGAAATCAATGGGCTGAGAACTTCAGGTGGTTTGTGAACCTGTTTATGGGCTCCTATGAGTCTCTTTTATCTTCTGCATTTCAGTGGGTTAAATGCCTCCTATTCTCATCTCCCACACACTGTCCCCGCTCCCTCCCCAAAGCTGGTGTGTTCATTCAGTTCTAGGTGCCACAATTTAGGAAGGACATGGAGAAGTTGGAAACTACACGTAGGAAAAGGACCTGAATGGCGAGGGGCCCTGGGTTTGTGTCCTGTAAAGAACGGCCGAAGGAGCTAGGGATTTTTGGTCTAAAGAAGACTACTTAGGAGAGACATGATAACCATTCTCAAGTATAGGAAGGCCTATCCCATGGGAGAAGGACTAGACTGCCAACAAGACAATCTTGGCTTCAGGTAAAGAAAGATTTTCTAACAATCCACCCCAAAGTACAACATTCTGCCTTGAGGCTGGGGGGGTGGGGAGGGCGCACGGTTCCCCTTCCCTGGGAGTCTTCAAGCAAAGCTTTACTCAGTCTTAACTCCAAAGGAGAGTCTGATGTGCTCTGAGGGCCCAACAAACTGGTATGGACTGATCTACCTGATAGCTTCTCGTGGAAACCCCTCGTCTGTTTCATTAGCTCTGATTTGCTTTAAACATGTTAAACACACCAACAACGAGGCCTCTTTCAGAAGGGCTAAGATCTGGCTGTTGGCTGGCCTTTTGAAAAATGGTGCAGACAGACCTCCTCCCCCAGTGCTGAGCAGAACAGCTCAGAAAATCATTTTATCCTTGAAAGTTTCCTAATTATTTTTGTTCTGGGCCTTTCTGCTGGGGGCCCCCTTTTTTTTTCTTCTTGACAGACCACAGGCAATGATGATGCCATCAGCGTGCTGAGTTTGTTAGTATTTGTAAAGTGCTCTATGTGCCTCTTGAATTTCCTGAGTTTGATCACACACAGGTATATGACACGTGCTTAAAGAAATCAATGTCAAAAGGGAGTCTGGCACAGAACACACCAAGGGAAAGTCTGAAAAGTCCCCTGAATGGATCCAGTCTATAAATATCCAGAGAGATTCCAAACCCTTGTTTACAGACACACAAGGACCACAATTACTGGCTTACCAAAGTCACGGTGTTTTTTGCCACAATCTGAACAGCCTCTGCCCCGGGCCCAGCGACCTTACTCGACGTCTGGAGGTTGACGGGTGCGCTCTGCACGTCGGGGCTGAGCACGGCCTTCTGGCTGTTTATGGCAGTCACCATGGCAATGGTGGGTCTCTGGCCCACAACAGAGGCAGGCATGGTTGCGGTTGCTGCTTTCAAGACAAGAGGTAGCGTCTTTGTGGTGATCATAGAAGCTGTAGTTACAGTCTTCTAGAGGAGAGAAAATACATATCATGACAATGCAGTGCATCTACATTGGCCGCTATGACGCTACTGAGTTTTGAGGGAAACGCAGCATAATTCACACAGTCCATCGAGGTGCTATACATAACGCCCTTTCTTCTGTTAAAAACCACACCTGGCGTTATTACTTTGGGGAAAGGAAGTGCTTGTTCATCCAAGTGTCCACATTCGGCTCCATCCTTCCATGTGTAAGCTCGTGCTAACAAATGCAGCTCATACAAGGCACTTTCAGCAATGAATGGGCCTCCAAAGACGCAGGGAGGAAGGCGAGCAGAAGTCCTATGTTGAACTCTGTATTATTTTGCCATTCATGTTCTTAAAATGGATTAATAAACTGTGTAAAAGTTGCAAAGTTGATAGGGGCACACCTTCTCTACCCTAAATTTTAATGATCTCACCAATTGAGGGGAAAATCACCACATAATGTTAATTATTTGTCACTGAAACAAAATTTTGGGTAAAATCTCATTTTCTGATTATTACCCTGGGGAGGAAGAAAGGAAACTCACACAAGGGTCACTGTAATTTAATTCCTCTGAGGCTCCTAGTTTTATGAAATGTATCAACCCATTAAATGAGTAAATATTAGTTCTAAGTATCTGAGGATTACCCAATCCTCGGATTTTGTAGTTAGTTGTCATTGACTACAGGAACTTTCCCTGGAGAGTGGCCACGATCAGCGGTCAAGAAAAGAAAGCAAGGGAGAAGCAACCTGCCCTGCAGTGAATATCAAGATGGGGTAAGGGGCTAGACTTGTTTCCATCAATGCCACCTGAACCCATGGATCAAGATTTGTACAGGTTCTTTCACTGCAGTAATCCAATCTGTCCACTACAAAGTAAAAAGAGATCGAGAACCACTACACAGGATACCTGACCACTAGGTACCACTGAAGGTCCAGACAGTCTGAGAACAAGAAAAGCCATCTGGTCGAACCAGCTATCTGGCTGATGCTAACTCAGGCTTCTGCTTTTTAAATGTCAGACTGATCAAAAACCCTCCACGCTTCTATTGGCAAATCTAGATGTCTCCACAGGTAACATACATTTTTTCCTTTACTATTCATCCACTTTAGTTTCTGTTCATCAAACTGATCCACTTTGGGTCCCTATTTATCTGTCCTATAATCCTTCTCCCAACACACACATGGGCTTTGAGCACCACTGCATGCATTTAACTGAACACATTCATTATTTGGCCCATCTGATCCCCACAGGATATAATTCAGTCTTTCTTCACAAATAACAAGGGGCAAAATGCCCTCAACCTTTGCTCTCCCCTACTTAATCACTTTCCCCATTTTCCCTAATTTCTTCAATTATAAACTAGAAACATCAACATGTAACTATTACTCTGTGGAAAAGACAGATCATTTGCTATTTTGAGGTGATAAAAACTATAGCTATGTTACCTTACTGAGCTATACCACAGTAAGAGACATAGCAATAAGCTGTTTTTTCTGAGCATTCTAAAATAAGGAAAAAGCCCTTCACTATGAGTAAACAGGCTTTGTCAGATACGCTGCACATTCTGTGATCAGAGCTCCTCACAAGGGAGGTCATTCTGCTTTTGTCTGACACACCTTCCATTCATGGAAATCACCATCAACACTGGACCTGATCCTAACTGTCAGCCAGAGCAGGTAACAAACAAGCTCCACTTTCATCCACGTTGTGACCCGACCCCTACAATGTTCCTGCCAGAGTGGGGTTTTAACGTTTTCATTCAATCATCAAGTGTCCTTCAGGCGCAGCTGACAGAGCGGGGAAGGTGTCCATGCCACCCACCATCTCTGCCCAGGACCTGAAACAGGACTCTCCTGTCCACTATTCTAGGCAATAATGCATAAGCCCTAAAGGTGACAGTGGCTCTGCCTTCCTGATTCCATGCCAGTCCTTACGCTGGGCCAGGGAGTAGGTGAACACAAACCACCAAGGATTCAAGGTGGAAGAGTTCTTGTGGCCATGGGAACCAACAACTTTGCAAACCTAGAAAAAAATCATTTTTCTTTCTAATTCTTCCCACAACAGAAACAAAGGAGGGGAAAGAAGGGGAAAAGGACGCATCTGCAAAGAAAAACTTTAAATTTTGCTTGAAGTAAACTGATGCGAAGTAAAATTAGTTTCATGTCTGAATACACTGAATAAAAAGTGGCAGTTTCCTGGATATTTCACTAGAGGGCCCTTTAACTTTGAATAAAATTCAACTCATGACACAGAGATGACCTGGAAGTTAATGTCCAAATGGGTAGCAAAAGGGCACTGAGAATCACAAGATACTTAGTTTGCAGTCAATTTTTTTTTTCCTGCCAGCAAAGCAGAGGGTACTCACATAAGATCAGACAGGCTCCGACACACATGCAAATGGAGACTTTTTTGAATACAGAATTTATTTCTCCTGCACACCTACCGTGGATTGCTTTGTCTGTTACCGCGGAATGTCACTGTTCTACACAGATAAGACGTGACAGCAAGGAGACTCCCCCTGTTTCCTCTGTGGGTTTATTTTGCAGTAAATTTTCTTAATCATTTCTTTCCTTCTGTTTATGGTATAAATGAAAGTTGCTTTTTAAAAAAAACTATAGGTATTTTGATTGGCATTTAAAAAAAATTAGACCTAAAGAAATGGAATCTATTCATCAGACTAGCAAATGCCAAGGTACTCGGACAGCAAACTTTTTGTTACTACCAAGTAAATAAAGACTGCAAGAGAAAGGGAAGGCAACTAGACCCTGCTCTCTATCTCCTCACATAATCCGGAACACCATCAGAGTGGAACATTTCCCTGGGCTATAGAGTAACAAAGAAAACGCTTTCACAACAGAAAAGGAGCAAATTCTACCTTACTCCCTCCATATCATCTCGGTATGCTCCAAACGTGCCATCTCACATGGATAAGCTAGTTCGAGACCTATTGAAAAACAACACACCCCGTGATCATCACAACCTGGCCAACTGACATTCCGAGTCAGCTCACAATTCCTCACCTCCACAATGTCTCCCCTAAGAGGGGAAGTAAAAACCACACACTTCTAGCTGTCAGAGTTATTGTAGAGCTGTCATTCTCTTTGTGGCACTGGAATCTTTTAAGAATGATGGACAAAGTACTTTTAAACACATAGCCTCAAATGCAAAATTCTGTTTTCTAAGCAGCCAAAATGTGCACTATATACCATTCCTCTGGGAGAGAGCCCTGCCACACCATCACCAAATATTTAAGTACTGACAGACACTCAGCTTCTCAGATTAAAGCCTCCCTCATTTGCTTGAGGACAGATCCTAGAATGAAATGTTCCTTTTATTTTCAACTTGAAAACTCGGTTCCTATCATCCAGGTTTCATTATTCAGGGTGTCTAAAAAGTCTCAGTGCTGGTTTAAGCTATTATAGCTTATAAAAGCCATCATAAGCTATAATAACATAGCTTTTAAGTTATATTATTTATAAGCTAAATTGTTTTCAAAAGCTATTAAATTATAATAGCTTAAGACAGCACTAAGATTTTTGAGACACCCAGTCCTGACCATGGCCTATTCATGGCTGATAAGCCATGTCATGACTAGCTCCAAATCTTATGATGACACCTTCTCTGATTGACACACATATGTTACAAAGCTGCTTTTGAGATACAACATTAAATCAGTAACTTTTCATACCTCTTTCTGTACAGATAGCATTCGCCATTCACTAATGTGCCTCTATTACATCTGGATGAAGAATCCAGCCAGAAGAAAATTCCTGCTGAAGGGTCATTCTACTTCTAAAGATGACCCCGATATGTGTCCCCTTGTATCGAGATCCTGGCTTAAGTCCCTGATGAGTGAATCCATCTGAAGCACCCTCCTGAACTTTGCTGACCACACCACAACATGCCACCACAACGGCTTGGATCTTCTGTATGAAGCTTCCTTTGTTTTCACTGGGTTGGACACAGTAATAGCTCAGAAACACATTTGTTCTTTTGGGCCATTTTGTCCACAGGAAAAATCTGTCACACCACTGCTCTGCTCATTCTAACACAGGTCCAAGGATATAGACCTTGGAACTCTTTCATTTCTAATATTTAAATCTGAGAGGGGGAAAACAACTTAACTTGGCAAACAAAGTCCCACCGATGAGCAGTGCTGGCCACAGTTACTAATTTCACTGAAATTATAACACATCTTCGATTCTGTATTATGGAAAAACTTCTCAGAAGCAAAAGGCTCTATGCCTTTCTTAACCTTAGACTAATGATGCCTTTTTCTTCTGGGTAGGGGGATATAATTTCCCCTTCCTTCTTGAGCCCTAGCAGTCGACATTTACATTTCTAAATAGGGGTAACAGCAGTCCTGCTTCATGGGGCAAAGCTCAGCTTGTTCTATTATGGTGTTACTGCTCTTCTACAGGGCTCTCCTGACCAGAGTTCTGTGGGCAGGTCCTCTAGATCACACAGCTAGTTACTAAGTGGAAGATTAGCCTAGGCACGAGCCTAGGTGTTCTAGGTCAGGTATGTATTCTTATTCTTAGCCTGCACTGATGTAGGAAACAATGTAGGAAATGCCACCAAAAGCCTGGATGACTTCCCTGGGCTGTCGAACACTGTCAGTCATCCAAGGCCTGTGTGGAGCTGGCTGGGTTTAGCCAACAGGCTCTGGGACTGGTTCTGCCCTATGGAATGGTCACCATCTGCAGGAGTGGGAAGCTGCATGGCTTTTGGGCCAGTTCTGTGGGAAAGAATAGAGGACAGGGCCTAGAGGGCCTCTAGGATGCCTTCCACCTCCAGAGCTGGGGATGAGCCTGTGAAAATTCCACCTCTCTTGCAGAGCTGAGCAAAAGGCTTACTCCCTCCAGAGAGCTCTCAGCCCAGGCTCACCTGTGATGGGGCGGTCAGGTTAGGAGAGGGGGCAGCTGGTTGCTGCTGGTGGTGGTACTGCTGCTGCTGCTGCTGCTGCTGCTGCTGCTGCTGCTGCTGCGGGAGTGGTGGCAGAGGTGGGAGCGGTGGTGGTGGCTGCTGCTGGGCTGGCGTAAGCTTGTTTTCAGGCTGCGACAACGGCTGTATCTGGAACTTGTCTGGCTGTTCCTGTTTTACTATCAGATTCTTCCGAAGCTGTTCCACGACTCTTTTCTACCAGATAAAGACAAACATCAAAGGTGTTAGAAAATTACCCTGCTGAATCCCCTCTTATTGTATCTCTACTCACATAAACTAGAGACAGCATCTACCTTTGAAGAATTCAAAGCACCTCAAAGGAACAAACATGAAAGATGCAGTTAAGAGACACCGTTTTTAAAAGGAAGGAGAAACTGAGACTTATTAACAAGTTAACGGTGGCTTAAGACAGCCCAGAAAGTCACTGGGGATTATCCAGGAGCAGAACACAGATTTACTTATTTCTGGCCTCCTGCTCTCACCTTGCTCCTGTCCCTTCAATCTACTGATTCTTTTAAAACAACTAAGTCACCAGATGAAATAATTTCTATACTACCCATCGAAAACACATGGCAGATTAAAAAAACGTAAGAATCCCTTGCCCTAGGCAGTTCCTATATAAACTTTCCTAGTTGTACTGTTGGGAAAAAAGAGGAAAATGGCATAGGCCCTCTGAGCAGATATAACAACGTGCTGATAATGGAGGGAGATGGAAGCACGTGATAAGGTTTTCAAATCAAAGTATTTTTAAATTCTCTGGACTTTGTTCAAGTGGAGGAAAATCATTATCAGATGAATCTATTTTTGCACTCACTCATTACACCCCTTGAAGGTCATTTGGAAAGTACTATGTATATGGGGGGCACCAGGGAGGACAGATGTTGAGACCTGACCTCTGGCTCTCTGCTGCTCCTCTTGGCTAGAAGGAAGAATGTCTGAGGGGTCAGACAGATGGGTCTGGGAGAATGTGTAGGCTGGGCTGAACTCATGCATTCCTCAGAGATGGAGTCGGGTTAGGCCTTTCACTCCATGAGTGTGCTAGCCTGGAACATGGACCCTCATTTTTCTGAGGCAGGGGTGAAGAAAAAGAAAGTGAATGAAAAGTACAAAAGCAGAGGTTAGGTGTCTTCCTGTTCATGTTCCCATTCCCATTTAGGGTTCTAGCACATCTTCCTGTACTGTGTACTCCCGGATCCACAGCATTTTTGTTTACATTTTCAAATACTTTAATATTTTCAAAATTAATTCCATCAAATATTCAAAAATTAGCACCAATGTTAAATCCTTATTCCTGAATGACTTTTCAGAAAATGAAATATGAACTAGGGGCCAATTTATTAAAAAGGAAATTCTTGCACACCCTGTAGCGGGCACGTTCAGAGTCTGTGGAAGACCAAAGCGCAAGTGAACCACAATACGGAAGGCTTCTGAAGCCTGAGACTCCCAAACTCTCCGACGCCCATTTCTTCTGCCTGAAAAGAAAAATGATGACAATACCAGACCTTTTCTCTGGAGAGTGGGGGCAGTGGCAAGGGTAATTCAAAATTTTACACGTAGATTTTATTGTTCAGTGGCTGCCAGAACATTTAGACATTTAAGAACTGAATAATTATTTAGAATTGCTTTCAGCTCTCTACCCTCAGACATTAAACATGTTAACAAACTCTCTAAAATGCTACATCAGCAGTTAGCAGAGAAAGGGCTGCTCGAACATTTACAGAAACCAGCTCAAATCAGGGGGAGGGGGGAAATCAAGAGGAAATAATACAAGACCGGTGTGACACCTGCCAAAAAATGAACTCTGAATAAAAACAGCACAGGAGACTAAATAATTACTGTACCAGGCACAAAAGGCAAGAGTGTTTTTCTCTTCTATAGCCATCCTTAGGAAATTCAGTGTGAATGGTGCTCTCCAACTGCCTGCCTAGCTGAAGTAAGCCAGCAGCAAGAGACAATGCAAGGAACTTGCTCACAGAGTGCTATGTCCAACAGAAGGGAACTGTAGGGAAAAGAGGGAGAAAGGGGATAGAGGCTCGAGTACTCCTCAGCCATATGGCTATAGCAAGGTGACAACCAATCAGAGCAAGAGTTAGCCGAGTAGGAGTCAAGTGAGTCACATTGCATTCACAACTGTTCCTCCCCCAGGGCCTGAAACAAAGCCCACAGAAGCTTGGGAAAAACAGGATCCAAATACTCACAAACTTTCATTAGTCCTCCGGAGGGGAAAAAAAGGGAAGAGGAAGAAAAGAAGGAAAGAAAGGGAGCCAAGAAAAGGGGCTACGTCTGCAGCCTGGGCTACGGGGACAGGTCATGGAAGTTGGGAAAAGCTGTTTTGCTTGTAAAGGCCAGTGACAGCAGGTCACAAAGCCCACTCCGAGAGGTGCAGTAAGTATATACTAGGTGGATCTTGGAAGGGGGAGGGGGGTGCAGACAACGGCCAATACTTTTTACGTTTCACTGAAATAAATGTGGAGGCGAATACTGATTGCTACGGGTATTTAAATTATTTTCAACACTGTATATGAAAATACAACTTCAACAGTCCAGGAGTTGGAGGGCTCCTTGGGTTTGGGGGTGGCTGATGTAAATATTTAGTTTAAAGAGTCAAACTCCGGCAGCTGTTTTTTGAAGATAGTCAAACCTATAGTCCTAACATGGGTCAATGCAATGCAGAGAGATCTTCCCCATCCATTTCAGGGCAATCCTGATATGCTTCAGTATACCTTTATGTAGCAGATAAAGAGTGGGGGCAACTTGGAGCTTTAGAAGGTGCATCTGTAATGTACTATGTAAGGTCAGCTGAAGTTCACTAATGTCCCTTGCAAAAGGCATCTTCCTTCTGCCTCCTGAATCTGTAAATATTAATCCTTTTAATCAGAGAAATTATGAGTTTTGCTGGCAGATGGAATGTCTTCTAACTCTTTAATGGCGATAATACTGTTGTAAACAGTTTGACATTTTCAGCATTAGACACATATAAGAAAAACCTTTATTAATCCCTTTGGAGCATCTCTGCACAATCCTGTAGCTATGGGAAAAACCCACTATTCACAAACAGTTCATTTCTTAATCTGGCATTTACAGCCTAATGAGAGTCTAAAGACAGAAAAGACAAGGAGGAGATAAAATGTGGAGATGGGGGTGAGGGAGGAAGAGAAGAGAGAGAGAAGAGAGGGAGAAGAAGGGAGAGAAGGAACGAGGGAGGAAGAGAAAGATAAGGGCTTATCACTTTCCAATCTCGATACATTCTTTATAAAACAATAGGTGGGCCTGCCAGGCCTCTATGCTGGCTAGTAGCAGCCCCCTTCAATCCATCTGTCAAGAGCTGTTCCATAGCCCCAGCATGTAATTCTGAGACCCAGATTCCCTTGACATCCACATCACTAGGTTTCATCAGGGCTTGTTCAGGCAGAAGAGTTCACAGAGCCTCTGACATCCCATGTCACTGTTTCTAAGACAGGTAGCCTTGGTAATCAATATTGTGACATTCAGCGATACTATCATCTTGTTCACATGACAGCAGGCCCAATCTCAAAGAAAAACACATGGAGATTTGTTGGTCCGATTCAGCAGAAAGTCAGGCTGGCTTCTCTGCCGCCTAAGCCAATTTTTCTAGGCTCCTATGCCCTTGTACAGTGTGGAAGCCAGATGGAGGCATTTTTTCCTCTTTAAATCAGGCCACGAACATCTCTCTCAGTTAAGTCTCACAGCTTTGAAATAGGGCTCCTCTACTTGGCCTCACAGGGGACTCAGCAAGGTTTGCTGCTCCCAACCATAGATGTTTTCAGATTTCCACAGGCCCTTCTACCCCACTCAGGACAGCTCTCTCTGCTCCTGCTGCATTCCCTGTTTTATTCTGATTAGGAGCCTAGTACCACTCTCTGCGGGGTCAGCGGGATTGCTTTGCTAAGTGGTGTTGAACACGCTGTTGGGAAATGGAGTGACCAGGGCCGTACTACTACACAGATAGCCTCTTCTTCCTTCCAGTACAACAGCGAAGGCACAGGATAGTGCTGTCGAAGACAATCCTGAAGACCTGGAGAGGGCTGACTGATTTGCTTTAACTTTCCATCATCTCTAGGAAGCCAAAAACTAATCTCACAAGTCTTCACTCCCACAATACGGAGGGATTCTCCCCTACTACTCCAGACAGACCAACCACTCAGACTGAGACAGATAAGGAAAACTCAATTTTGAGCAAGGAGAAAACCTGTAACTGAAGAAACTAATATTTGCTGATGAAGCTAAATTTTACTCCAAGTAAAAACCCTACTGCTGTCCAATGTGAAATTTAATCACTGCATTTATAAATAATACAGAGAGATATCAACACCAAGGCTGTAGAAAGCAGATATGATGACAGTTTCTGGAATACTGTCACATATTTATCCTCTAAAGTGGAAGTTATATGTCCCTGACATAACTCAGCAGTGGCAAAACCACAACTGAAGTAAAATATAAATGTTATCTGGGGGAAAGGAACATATATATGAGGATTCCTCTAACACATGTCATAAAATGCACAGAGTACCTTCGGAAAATGAGATGAACAACACAAAACCAACCCCTTTTAATACAGCAGTATTCAATGAGGAAGCCTGCACTGAAGTTATTAGAAGGAATGCTACAGAGGAGACACACAGTAGGATTCAGATGGAGGAGGAAATGTCTGTGGGAGTAGTTGTAAAAATAGGCTGAGCTAAAAATAATTATACTTTATTCACTTTCTAAGGCTCTAGAAGGTTTTCCCCAAGCTTCTCTGGTAATCATTACAGTTATAGAGTTGGATAAACAGCTTCAATCTTCTCACCAATACCTTCAAAACACCACCTGTTTGCCAGAGGCAAAAGCCATAACTTTTTTTTTGTTGTTATTTTTAAAAAAAGTTTTATTTATGTCTTTTGGGGTTTTTAATGCCATAATCACTTCCCAATATGCTTCCCCTCTGGAATCCATCTTTATAACCAATAAAAACAGTTAATCAAAATCAACCAATAAAGTAACTATATCTAATGGCGTGGTCAGTGTCCCTCACCTGTAGTCAGTCCCCTAGAGAAATAGACTTCATCAGCTGGCCTCTGGAATAAAGGTTCACCACTGCACTTAATCTGAGTCCAAGTGCCTTTTATTTCCCTTTCATTATTAGGAACTCGACATACATATATACATACATACATATACATACTTACATACAC